GCGAGAGAAGGAAGTGGTGGCGGTAGCAGAGGACGAAAGACCCCTCCGCTTGCGGTTCATGCTGCCATTCCACCAGTTCTTGACGGCGTTGTCGCTGCGGTTGCCCAGTCGGCGGGCAATCTCAGCCCAACGCTTACCCATGTCGGTCACCATGCGTTCAATTAACAACCCCTCTTCAGCGGAAATGGGCTCGCGGTTGAGAGAAGGTTTGAGGTTCTGGTGGAAACGCTCCCGACATTGCTTGGGAGACCGGTAATGCATGTGTTGCGAGATGCGCACCCAGTTGTTGGGGCCTTGTTCGCGCACCAACTGGACAAGCAACTGGTCCTCCTCGGGAACCCAAGGACCTCGACGGTGAGTCTGAGCCATTATGTGTGTGTGTGTGTGTGTGTGTGTGTGTGTGTGTGTGGTATAGTAGATGAGGCTATTGAGGTGGTTGAATGGTTGTGGTTGAGGAATAGGTCTGACGGAGTGTTAGACTTGAGTCAAGAAGAATGAAAAATGAAGATTGATGGATGATGAGAAGAGACAGAAGTGCGAGACAAGAGAAAGTTAAATAAGAAAACCCGTTTACCAAAAGGTACAGGGCGGGGGAAATAATTGTGGGAACTGTGAAAAGAAAGTTCGGATCTGACTTGACTTACAGATAGACGACAGGGACCGGTGCAGGCGCGTCTCAATAGGGAAAAAAGAAGAAAATAAATAAAATAATAAAATAAAATAAATAATATATTCAAAAAAGCAATAACCCGATTGAGGGATGGATCGATAAATTGAACTGATTTGATTTGAGATGATTTGACTGGTGACGGCGATGACCGAAATTATTTATGCGAATGATCAACTTGTAAAAAAAAAAAAAAAAAAAAAATGAAAAAGGGAGGAAACACAGGAAGAAAAGCAATGGCCAGCGTAACCGAGGACTTGGGAATCAATCGAAGATCGCGCCGCTACCGTCCGGTAGATATACGATGGGGCCAGTCAGGAGGGACTGACGACAGCAAGCAGGATTAGTCGCTGGTAGTGGTAAGTTGTATCGCATCCCGAGAAATTGACCAGGGAGACGGGTCCAAAAAAAATAAAAAGAAAAAAAAATAAAAAATTGAATAGGGTTCCACTGTGCACCACGCTATATGAAGGAAGATCCGATCCAAGATCTCGGAGCTGACAGTTCGGAGTGATACTGTATGTACGTACGTCGTATTGTATGTATGATATGGTGTATGTTACCATGTTACCGGTGGGGATATCCCTTATCGATTCACCAGAATAGACCAGGTGACCATCAACCTTTGTTAGTCAGATAGTTTAATCATGCGCGATGCCATCCAGAGTACATATTTTCTAGACTCTGGCCTCCTTCTCGTCTAGGAAAGTTGTACCCTGAATATACTCCTTACTAGGTGCACTGGGGTACTACGGTATGTGGGATAGTGGAGTGGATTCGTATCTTAAAAAAGCACCAAAACACACTATCGGTGGAAAAACTTGTTATACAGTATCTGGTTTGAGTATAACACTCGCCAGATCGTGGGGAGATTTGCCACTAACGATTTTACCACGGGTCTGATATAGGGGGGAACCGCGCTGGATTCAGACCGGTCGTGTGGCAGATTGATTGATGTGGAGGCTATTGATTCAATTGTCGAGAGAACCAGGTTTACGGGTCAGATCGTGCTTGCCAGACAGGGGTAATACTCGGTCACCATTATGTAGCGATACACTACTCTATGTATTCAGCTACTAGGAATGGTGTGGGTAAAAAATAAATAATAAAAATAAAAGTTACACAAGTCGACTATGCAATCCAACCATAAACCAACCAAAACCAACCAGCGGGATCCATCGGGGTCCAGAGTGGCCCATGCTGGTAAAGTTCAAGCCCTGACAGGACAACGGGAGCGACAAAAACGGCCCTCCTGGTGGTGGTCAATTCGTGGATGTCAAATTCGGTTTACCATGGAAAGGAGAAGCCAATAAACCCATTACCATGCGTGTGCATGAGTCGTGGGAGTAAAAAGAAGGCCCATTCTAGACAAAATAAATAGAACACACTATTACGGAGTACGGAGTACGACATACCGAAATCTTCAGCGGGAGTATCTGAAGAATGACAGATCAGTTACGCATTGTTCTGGTAATATTTCAATCAACATTTGATCTAGTATCATCAGCCAGCCGCAATTTATGTCATTTTCAGGAGAGGTGAAGAAGCCCCAAAGAAGGAGAAGGAAGATGAGGCTGTAAATTTTTATTAATTTATTTTTTTTCTTCAGATCGGTATGGACCCACTAGCCCATGGGCCGTTGGGGTACTGCACGATATGATTCGTCCAGAAGCGATTTGGAATTTGGAATCCTTAAAGTTTTGGGTACTTCCCAGAAACGGCTACGATCGACGTGGGGATTCCGTATAGATCAAGGAAAGATACGGCATACGGTTGACTTGCGTACATAGCGTACAACAAGGACAGACTACTTTAGAATACAAGGCATTTTAGACTAAAATGGGGGTTCATGGTATGAGCGCAAGCGAGATCAGACCCGCCTTATCTTACTCTATACAGAAAGTAGCATACATAGTTACGAATACATACCAGGATGTTGGGACACAACCCATACTCCATATTGCACATGATGAATATTCAGCCAGCCTCACCACGCTTGACCGTTTCTTTCACCCCCCTTGAGACCCATTATGGTTCTCTATTGTCATCGTGTGATTATTATTTTTTTTCATTTCCAGGTGCCTGGACCGCTATCCATCTGGAACATGATCGAAGATTGATAGGTCACAGATCATCCTTTTTTCTTTTTATCTGTTCTATTGGTAACCCAGTCACTATACGAGTCATCTTGGTGTGGCTATCGTCGCATAATTCCTAAACTGTCTGTACATCTCCCATACAGCGGGGGTTACGGTGAGTACTGTGCATACTCCGTAGTTGACTAACTCGGTTCACGGCGATGGCATGGGCCTAGACTACGTGCACGATTGGATTTGAATTGACAGTAAACGCTTGACGAGGATTGACCACTCCATTTCCGTAGCTTTGCTGTCAAAATGTCACGTCAATAGCTTCGAAGTCTATTACTTGCCGTAGAGGTTGTATGCTCTGTATTTTCTGTATGCTCTACCGTCCGTCCTTTGGGCGGTCACGGCGATCCTCGATCCAGGACACTGATTGGTAGATCTCTGACCACCGAAGAACTGCCATGAAAAGCCCATGGTCAATCATTAGGGGTTATTCCGTATGGGGTATTCAAGATGTGCCCCTCCATCTTATCCCACCCCATTCCTTCCATCCATCCCGTCTTCAATTCATAATCCCAATCCCGGACCCCTGCTAGTTCCAGTTCCAGGATGTCTGCTGGACAGGTACTAGTGTATACGAATTAGCGCAGTATTGCACACAGTGACGAATTTCAACTGAGATGATGACAATTATGCATGATCCTTGTTTGGTACAGAGTATCGTGTGCTGAAATCCGTGCGTCAACGGGTTTTCCAAAAATTTTCGGGTCCCGCTATCGGGCTAAATGAATAGTGCGATAAACTAAAATTGTCAACAACTGAGCTACTCCAGACCGAGCTTGAGCGAGAGAACACTTAATAAAAAATTAATTAAAATTGTCGTACGGCACGGAAAAATCAGTGCGGGAATCGATGCTGTCACTATGGGTATCCCACAGCATTCTTAGTCTTCTCTGAACGTACTCCATAAAGTATATTAATTCTTCCGCCAATGGGCTTGGCGTGTTTCCCGGTTTGGTTGATCCCAGCTGCGCCGCAGAAGGATCTAGCGACTCCACTAGAACCGTTGAATGATACGTACTCCTACACTGTGTGCACATACAGGAGAAATCTTGGTCTTGGGCTTGGGCTTAATTGCTTATTCCTCTATGCCCAACACTATTAACAGCATAGGCACATGAGTACTCATGTACATACACGAGTCATGTACAAGACCACGTAGTCCAACAGTAAACGTACAGCACAGCAAGGATACCCTACCAAGTCCACGTTGAAAAAGGACACATACATCAAGGCCCCTGATCGGTCGCATGCTAAACCGCACCTCCATCGCCCCAACATACTCGCTACGATATATTAATGATGATGGAAAGACTCCGGATAGAGTAGTGGGACTAATGTCACGAACCTCCCCGACAGACACGGCCCCTGATTGGCCTAGTGATTAAGGTATTTGGAATTCATGACCTCCAAAAACAGAAAGTGATAGACGGGACCGGTGCGCTGATCGAGTCGTTGTCTGTTAGCCTGTCATTATGTATTCCAACTGTCCTACGTTTTGGATGGAGCAATTTGCCGATTGTTGTTACGTTTTAGTTGGCCTGTTTCATGTCCCGCGTGGACATGTCATGTCTGTCAAATGCCAGGCCAAGACACCAACTGTCCCGTCTGTAACTGCTATTTCGGAGTATATACGGAGTAACAGATGCACACAGATATACAATCCATCCGAGAATAGCTTGTGCGTTACCGAATGGGGTATCCGAATGATTTTCTACTTTATTAATTCTCCTATGATGCTATGTGACAATAGTATCAGTACAAAAAGCACTGAAGATTCAATAAATCGATTTTTATTTTTGCTTTCGTTCTTCGTCTCAAGGCCCAGATGGAAAAAGATCCCGATCCCGGCACAACGCCATGATCCTCGCACCCACCCCCATGGTACGAACCCATGTATCCGTATCTGTTTTTTATCCCGAATACAATACAATACGTACTGTGTCATATAGCGCAATCGCCGAATAAAGCCGCATTATGTCATTCGCCCGCGTTTAACTACTACAAGCTAGTGACTGGATCTGAGCAACGAGGAGTCGATATTGGGAACAATGCACCTGTGTCAGAGGGGGTCAAGGCAGAGCGACCAATCACAGGCTCTGGAAGTATTTGAGATAAACCCTTGTTGCCCCGCAGGGTCAGTCCCTGTTTAGCGCTTACGGGCATTGTGGATGACACTCATTTGACAGACATGCTTGTATAGACAGGGTATATCCTATTATGATAACTTGGGTTGTATAACTGCAATTGCACGTTTCTGACTGCTTACTTTGTTTACTATGCTGCTGACACACTGACACTGACAGTGAACGGCACCGCAGACGAAAAAAAAAAAAAAATTAAAAAAAAAAAAAAAAAAAAAAAAAAAAAAAAAATAATAATATATTAAAAAAGAAAGAAAAAGAAAAGTGGATCGAACGGCGCTTTCGCGTGTGTTGGATGTTTCCGGACTGTCGGGCCAGAAGACAGATGGTAGAGGCTCGAGCATACCCGTAGCAGATTTAGTTAGCAGCCATGATAATCAAAACCCCTATGCTATTACAAGAGAACTCTGTATGGAGCACAGTAACCATTACGTGGACCCCACGACTGATGCACATCAACAAACTTGACACGCACCAGTTGTATCAGACTGAAATCTCCTTATTCCAGCTATGCGGACCCCCCCAACAAAGAGAGTCTCCTTGTTGTAGCAACTATAGAGCATGTTTCCGTATGTGCCACCTTACTCCTGTACCTCGCGCGGGGCTCCGAGGATTTGGCCTCCGCTCTCGTAAACGGTGCATTTTTGCTTATGCTTATGCCTGTACAAGGCGGAGTATGTAACAATCTGTCATCGCCCTTTATGCTGTTCAACCAACCTCTCGTGCATCTGTGTACTATGTACATATCCATGACAGTTGTCGGGGTTCAATATGTATCCCGTCGGGGACCTTGAAACCGGGTGGTGCCCGAGGGTTCTCCACGGGCTATGGTCCGTCCGTTTCCCTATTTCGGGTATAGCTTGGTGAATGGTAATAACGCCTTAATTTGTTGTGTTAATGTGTTAATTCTCAAGGTAAGGTGTGACTGCACTACTTTGGACTTGCTCCATAAACTACTACTTCCTTAATCTATTAGTGCTATTATTATCCATTAGCAACTAGTACATTGTTTTCCGTCAACCTCTGCGATAACTCTTTCCCAAAGCTATTGCTATGTTTTCCGGGCACCGGTCTCCAATCTTAGTCTCTAGAGATATTTCGAATCCCCAGCCTTGGCTTGAAACATGCCCCATCGAACGCGCACAACAGCCTCATGCCAATCGCAGATCGCTCCATCTTGCGACCGAACTATTGAGTTTATTGTGGGGTAGACCCACCTCATACATCCAGATCTGGTATTCAATTCGATATCTGTGATTACTCCGTACAGGACACTTCTCTACCACAGCCGAACGTTGCAAAGCACCCACATGCTGTACTCTGATACGCCGTATTCTCCGTACCCCCGTACACGGTGGTTTCTACCTATTAACGTCCGTGCAAGATTAGACGGATATCCCGCTGTCAGGCGAGTTTATTCGGCGTTGTTCGGTGCGTGTGCGTGGTTTCTCCTGGATTCCATTAACTGTCTCTGGGCATTCTTCAGGCGAATGGTGCGAGTCAGCCAGCCAAAAAAAATAAATAAAAAGCAAAAAGAAAGTATCTTCACGATTAGATGCATCACTATCTACAGATCCAATCTAGAACAAAATAAGTTCCAATCTTCACAAAAAGAAAACAAAGAAAGAAAAAAAAACTCAATCAGTCCCAACTACCAGGTTCAGATCTCGAAACTATTCCCGTCCGGGGCTGAAGAGCGTGCACGACTCAGCAAGGCGAGTCAGCAAAAAGGAATATCCCTTACTCCACGCCCTAACTAGCAAAACTCAATAATGGGAATTCCTTTTGCCCCTTCCAGAATCGGTTTAGAAGTGCGAGGTGCAAAGTGAACCCAATTCGTGCATGGGTTGTGCCGCGGAACTTTTCTCAACCTCCATCATCGTCATCATGCCCCCTTTCAATCGAGGAAAGTAGTAGACTCCGATTGTCCGCCGCGTGACCGTTAGAAAGCGTGGTTGTCTTCTCCGTATCCCAATTCATCGCTTCGGGTACTCCGACGGACTCAATTTTGGTCTTTCCGTTTTCAGTGTTTGTGGCTGGTGGCACATTGTTTGTGGCTTTGTTGTGGCGCGGCTGAGTTATTTCCTTTTTGGAATGGGCACTATTATACGAGCAAACTTGCATCTAAGCGATGTTCAGCTGAACAAGGGGGATTCGTAAACGTCATTGCTGTAAATATTGAACGCGTAGTTGTATTGGTCTGGACTCATTCCTAAAAGCAATATGTACTAATCAGTCGGTGTGTGGCTCGATCGTGATCGAGAGGTCATTGTGGGAGTGGCTTGCTGGCTAGATAGCGTGATAGTGCTCGAACTACCAGAAGTATAGTATACTGCATGGTTCTCTATCGAGCATGCAGTACATCACAATAGGTATCATAGCCAAACTAATCAGCCACCGAAATCTCCACGTGTGTGTAAACATATATATGACTTCGCTTCGGGCAATTGAATGACGAGGTTTCATTTTCGTAGTGTTACGGACGAAGTTGTAGCCGTCGGTAGTGATATGACTGTAAACGGTGCTAGAATGGCGACTGACGCCATCGCCGTCTTCGCTTGTTCCTACAGTCCCAAACGAGCCCAATTAAAATCCCAAGTAAGCCAATTGTACAGACCAGTAGGACTCATTTCGGAGGATCTAGGCCCAACGTCCCATGCCCAGTCAGATAGTTCCACCAACTCCTGGAGAGCTGAGCACTCTTTACTGTTCTATTCATCGCCCCGACGCACGAACCCCTAAGGATTCGAAATCAAAGACTGCTCAATATAAGAGCCAATCGGCTCGAAACCAACCAGTGACGGCATTGTACTCCCCGAGTAGAGAATGTCGTGTTTATCGCATTAGAAATACGGGAATTGCCCGCAGCATCGATGTTGCTTAAGACACCGTGAAAGAATATGGTATCTCTCGTAAGCCAGATCTCTCCAGATACTGTCTAAATGTTGGCCCTAGGCCTATCAAGATTAGTGTATATCCCAACATAACAGATAGAGATATTCGTATCTAGGATGAACACATCAAACGAATGGAATCCTTCAACTGTCTGTGTTGAGATTTTTTTGCTGGAAAAGCTTTCATGCCTTTCTCCTGCTAACTAGGCAAGTTGTTTCGGGCGCTTGGAAACATATTAGACACGGGTTTTGCGCTCCGCTTGGACTCGAGCCTTTGCTCACTGTTTCTTCTGATATCCCTTTTCTAGGGCATTGCATCATTCGCTATATAGGTTATCGACTCCATGAATCCAAAGAGCCTTCTGTTGGATCCATTCGATACACACAAGACAGAACGTCTGACACAATATCATGTGTCCTCTTCAAAGAACGCAGATGATTCACTGATAGCTACCAGAGCCTCCTCACTGGTGTACTAACTCTACACACTGAAGACTGTCTTGGACATTGACACACCGGGTGCTTGTGGATATTCCACGGTTCCGGCCTGGCCTTTTTCCAAATTGGTGAAATTCCATGAATGGTATCTGCCCTCATTGTGAGCATGATGTCGATATTGTAGCCTGGCTCAAGTCACTGACGCCGGGTTTTGCCCACATGAATCGCGGACTGCACTGGTATTACGGAGTCGCAGCCCCTGAGCGTTCACTCTGATGTCGATCGTAGGGCCGTTGGAGATTGGAGATCCGGTTCGGCCAACCCTTGGACCTAAACGCGGATGTAATAATTGTCTCCACGGGCGGTTGAATTGATGTGGTCGACGAGTTCGGGAAAGTTTTGTTCAAATAAGATACAAAGTGAAGGATTCCATCACTGCAGAATAACAAAACAAAGTAAGCACCATACAACATGGTATCCTGTTGCACCGTGTTAAGTCATGTTGTATTAAAGCAGTGGATACAGGGACTAACAGGATTTCCAGCATACATTGGTAAAGTTTTTTATTGTTAGGTGACCATCTCCCTCAGAGTCGGCTCCTTTGTGTTGTATTGGCGAACCAAATCACTTTAGAGACGTAAAAAGGCAACCCCAGAAAACTGGTTGTCCTATTCAAGGTCGCGGCGTGTTCCACAGACACTGACAGGAACCTCCTCTCTGATTTCTTCCTTCGTCAACTCCATCAGTGATAGAGCGGGTAACTCAAGACTCAAAGCTACCTGCTCCTCTGACTTTATTTGCATTCGGCTGATCCTGCGTTCTTCAAACATGCACCGTATGCTTGTGGATCACCATATGGGTTACCAGGTCGCCGTGATACCGGTAGTTAAATTTCGAGTTCAAAGAGCCGCTGTACAGAGGAGTATGCTGACATTTTAAGACGTGTAACTGTCGAGGATTATTCAGATTTTTACCCAATCGACCAACGTAAGGCGTAGGTAGACAAAAAAGTTGACTCGTGACCCCATGTCAAAATTCAGAAAAATCCTTCCTTTCTCGAGCGGTGTGTACCTCGAGGGCCAGGTCTCGAGAGACGCTGGCTGGATGATAACCGAAGTCCAGAAAGTCTTGGATTCTTCCGTTACTGTCAAGTCTGTTTGGGAACGAAAGGCAGCCTTTTGTTCTATCGAAACGAATATAGCAATGCCGGAAACCTTCGATAGACGCATGCTGAAAAAGCAATGTTTGACAGGGCCATCACTGATAGCGCTGTAGATGCTGGATAATTGCTATTGCAAGTGAATTATTCTGTGAGTCCGAGTTTATCGCCAACAATGCAACAATGTAAATTCCTCCTACATAGTTGAACTTATTGTCATATCAATACCATCGACTCGCGGATAGCAGTGTTTGTTTCATCCAGTACATAGATAGATGCTTTTGAGAAACCGTGAAGCAGGAGGTCATTCAGCTCTAATAGCATCTCATTATTTCCAAACCAATCACATAGCGGAGGTATCAGGTATCGTCATGGACGTGGCTCATGGACTTTGTTTCAAAGCAATGTGATGGCTGCTTCGATTGCTTGGAGTCGAATGAGAGAAAGCACCCAGGATGATTAGATTCTTATAACATTCACTTCTAGACGTGGCCCGCTCTTATGATGTGAAAGAAGGCATAGAAGTGATGATTGTCGGCGTTAAAAGTCACTCCGCACGCGCTTTTCCTAATCAGGCGGTCTGAAAGGCGAGCCGCAGAGTTCGCGACCAACACCCGGTCACAACTCATTCACTTTCTCACCTCTTTTACAGCTTTACATTTGATTATTTTACTGGATAGCATATTGCTTTTTCATATCCTCAAGTCTACTTCGACGCTCTCTACGACGCAGATTCTCCACCATGGAGGTCGCCGAACAAGCAACAAATGGCACCGCTCCGGCCAACACAGACATGGACATTGATATGGATCTCGATCTTGGACCCCTTCCAGAACCTGAGCCAATTGAAGATGTGAGTGCGCATGATGCGAAAATGACGCCGTTCTAGTCGAGCTTCTCTAACTGGCCGCGTCTGCTAGGAACCCGAGACGACAACATCATTCGGCCATGACGGTGCCTTCGATGCTCAGACGATAGAAACACAATACGAAAAAGTTCACATCCGAGGCGTCGACGACCTAACGACGGGTGACATTAGACAATTCGCCATTGACCACTTCACTACCGAACAGCCTACCCGCGTCGAATGGATCGATGACACGTCCGCGAATATCGTCTACTCGTCGTCGGAGATCGGTCTCCAGGCGCTGGCTGCCCTTACACAAGTTGGTGAGGATGAGGATACGTCTGCGGTACCTCTGCGTCTGCGCTCAGCTAAGCTTCTCTCATCGCACCCCGACTCTGTCCTCCAGGTGAGAGCAGCGGTGAAAACGGATCGGAAGAAGCCTCGTGCGCACGAAGCGAGTCGGTTCTATCTTATGCACCCCGAGCATGACCCCCGCGAGAGGCTGCGAACGGAACTCTCAGAAAGGAGGCGTCAAGGCGGGGACTCCGGTGATGGCGATTATAGGCGGAGACGGTTCGACGGTCGGGAGCTTCAACGACGGCGGGACCGTGATAATGACGAGCCTATAAGTGCGGACATGTATGACGATTCTGGTGCAGGTGCAGGTGATACTGGGCGGAGGCGTGGAGGGCGCGAACTGTTCCCCGATGAAGGGGGTTCCTCGGGCCGTCTTCGAAACCGCAGTGCATCCCCCGGCCGAGACACCCTGGAGAGTGACCGACTGCTATCGGGTCGGTCTGAACGGCGGTTCAGGGAGCGATCTCCCCGTCGGAGCGGAGCGAAGGAACTTTTCCCAACCAAGTTAAAATCGAACGAACGCGAGCTTTTCCCGAATAAAACCACAGACAGTTATATTAAGAAAGAATTATTCCCAAGCAAAGTCAGCAACCATCGCCGGAAGGACGCTATCGATGCCGCGGACGAGACGCTGTCGAGCAGAATCTCAGCTCCGGTTGGTGATTCACGGAACAGGGGTGTTGAGCTCTTCCCTGGGTCTTCCAACAACGGTGGTGTCAACATTCGTGGGACAGCTCAAGACGAAGGCTTCTCAATTCGTGGATCCTCTAATGGTCTGTCGATAAAGGGTAAAGGAGCATCGGTCAAGGAGTTATTCCCGTCTACGTACAGCTCGAACTCCGGGAAGGAGCTATTTTCGAACAGAATCGAAGGGCGAGGAGGTCCAAGACGGAGGGCAGAGGACATGTTTGGTTGAACAATTCGATATGTGGCATGGCATGGTTGGAGTTATTCATAAAAACGTAGATAATGATGTTGATAATCTCTACTTTTATTGCTAAGAAAAGATACCTAAATCGATATCCAGCGTGGTTTTGCTTCAATCTATTTCAATTGATCCAGTAACGTGATTGGACCAGCCGACCTATGGCCGGAATTCCCTAAACCGGGATCAAGAACACTTGACACCAACCGCAACAATGGCTACAACATCCCAACCAGCCTCCTTGGCTAGTATTATAGTCGCCCGCTTTCTACGGTCGAACAACTATAACGATACCCTGGACACTTTCATCCGTGAAGGGGGTCTATCCGCAGACGTGGGGCAAACCGACAGCGGAAGTAGCAACTGGACCATTGAAGGCGTACTCGAGGAGAAGAAAGCATTCGACAAGAGCGTCAATTTCGAACGATACAACGAGGATGAGAAGAAAGATGTATGGACTGTCCCAGGTATGTCTTTCCATTCTTCCAAAAACAGATAACTAACTGCATCAGCACCATCAAAACCAACAATCATTCAAACACCAACGTCGTCAAATCTCCTTGCTGCATCCGTTGAGCAATGGCAACAACACCCAAATGACAAGCCATCACCTCACCTAGTTGCCACAGGCGCAGACAGACAGCTCCATTTCTTCAAAACAGCCGAGGGAAATGAACCTGTCAAGGCCTTTGCTGGCCACTCCGACTCGCCAATTCTGTCTTACGTATCTGTCCGCAATGGCAGATATATCTTCATGACCAATATGTCCGGCCAGCTTGTCTTGCAGTGCGGGGAAGATGTCCTGGGGAAGAGGAAGGATCATGCGAAATATGCGGTTAAGGTTGTTGCGCATGAGGATCCTTCGGGGAGGGTGTTGGTTGCTACGGCGGGATGGGACTCGAAGATTTGCGTTTATAAGTTCGATTTCCCAGTTGAAAGTGAAGGGGAAGACGTGATGCTAGACGAGCCCATTGCGTACATAAACCTGGACACTAACCCGGAGACTATGCTGTTCGTTAAGCATGTTGATCTGGGGCATACGATGCTGCTCGTTTCGAGACGAGATTCGACGCATCTGTATTACTATCAGGTTGATACTACCGGGCAGAATACACCATATGAATGCAGATTACTCGGAAAACAGAATCTGGCTCCTCATTCCAACGCCTGGATCACCTTCTCCCCATCCAGTCTAGCCCTGCATCCACACGACCCTGGCCTCCTGGCAGTCGCAACGTCATCTCTCCCGCACATGAAAGTGATCTTCGTGCGCCTCCTCTTCCCATCAGCAGAGAGCTTCAACCCAGAAACCGAACCTCAACCAACCCCAGAACCCATAACCCAAGCTACGCAAGCATTCGAAGCCCTAGCACTCCAGAACCGCGAAGACGCGGCTATCCTGATCCAGGCGAATACATTCGCGCCGCAAACTGCGTACTCGACGCCGCAGGTTCTGTGGAGGCCAGATGGGTCTGGGGTTTGGATTAATGGGGATGATGGGGTGGTGAGGGGGGTTGAGGCGCGGACGGGGAAGGTTGTGGGTATGTTGAAGATGGGGCATGATGTTGGGTGTAAGGTGAGGACTATCTGGGCGGGATGGGTTGAGGTTGAGGGTGTTAGAGAGGAATGGGTTGTTACTGGTGGGTTTGATAAGAAGCTTATTGTTTGGAAGGGGTGATTCTGGTAATGGCAATTGATTTATTCCTAATAATCCAGGCTATACAGTCTACAGATGTCGCCTTTCATCCATGCACCCCGGGCCACTGAGTAGACAAAGGGTATTTGGTGATTTGAGGCATGTCTTATCTCGGCACGTTAGATAATCCTTCAACATTCGCGCATTGAAATGACGCGGTGTTGTACACACATATGCCTGGTTCTAGAACTGTAAAAAACCAAGAAACCAACGAAGAAAACCGGTTCTTTGTTGACAGTAGGAAGCGATTCTACCTGACTGTAGAAAAAGGGTGGACTACCCCTTCAAAAGCCGTGGCATCGAGACAAAAATAATGAATTTATTTAACCGTCATCGCGCGAAACCAGCCAGGCTATTCGACATGACGTTGACGTGTTTTGTTGTCATCGCACGTTAAAATGACCAACCCAAGTAGCTCTCCATTATTTTATACCCGTTTATGCGACCTCGCGCTTGCCCTCCTTGCGCTCCTTCTGTGGGGTTGTTAGCTGATTTTCTCGGAAATTGTATCGGGGTATTGCGAATCGGTTCAACGTACAAGAGCCTTCATAGTGCCGTGGAGAGCGTAACGGTGGTTGCGGCGGAACTTGGGGTCGACACCCTTGAGCGAGGGGTAACGCTGGGTCTTAGGCTTCTTGATACTGTTGTTGAAGGTGATATCAGCGGGTTGTTCTGGTATTGTGTCGTCTGATTTTCTTCGAAAGAAGCGTATTGCATGTAGACATTGGTCTGAGGTCATCCCCAAGGATTCCCCAACATCCAATCCCAACATCATAGCCCCCTTCCATTCCCAGAAAACTCATCCTCAAAAACAAAAAGTATATACGCACCCGTTACGGTGAGCCTTCTGGCTGTTGTGGTGCTGCGATGCGTTCTTGGACTCTGCACAAAAAAGGACATCAAGTCAGCGCTTCCGCCTCAAAAACTCGCATTGTCGAGAAATTCCCGTAACAGCATTTCGATATAAGATAATCCAAGTAGGGTCGCACGTACTGGCCATTTTGACGGAGTATGTCGCAACGAGGAGAGTGGACGTTGAATTGGCGGATTGTCAAAGAGGTTCTCCGTCAACTGTGCAAAAGGTCCGACGACCCAAGTCCGGCTCGGCTAGGGCTGCCCGTTGTGTGGGATTTCGCTTACGGGAGGCTTCGGCGGGCAGGAAGGGCCAGTTATGCAATATGAATAGTATACATATTATATGGCGTGCTCTCTACAACTCTGGTTATTCTTCTAGATAAGATATATTTACGCTCTGTTAGATTCTCCTTTCCTTTTGTTCTCCTTGCGTTATTTGTTCTGTCTCTGCTGTTGTACTCCGTACCATTACGGATTGCGGGACAATGTTGACTAAGCATATCTGGACCATGACCCATGGCATTGTTGTTATCTTCGATATGCACTAATAAAGTACATGGGATAGTTGCTGATTTACTGTAGTAGACGATACTGAGTTGAATATTTATACAGTAGGCCTATATAATATAGGGAAGACAAAAGGGAGTTGTTAGATCACAAGTCCCGATTCATGGACGTTCTAAGTCACGTGATATCAAATTGCGTCACGTGAATCATCGATGCGACATTAATGATAGGACCAAATTGAGCCAACAATCGTGGTGTCTGTAGGCGGAAACATACTGCCGTAATTGTCCTTATGTCCAGGGCATTTGAATTGATTATGCGCCTCTCCCTCGAGGGCAGCGTCCGCTCTATAGACCAGGCAGTGGGTGCAATATCGTACGTTGTTACCGTATCTTAGGCTTACTTTCAAAATATTTGTATCACATTATAGTCATTCGTATTTCAAAGACCCCGGAATTCTGTAAATATTGTGGGAAAATGATATATATTGAAGTGATGCCGATGTTCGCAAAGCCGTTCCGCAACACGTGATCACAGAGCCGCTAGGGAACAACCGGCATCCGACCCTCGCGACTTTCACCTCAACCCAGCTTCACGAGGGACAACTTCACCACCCCGCGCTTCCGTCCATTACAAGATGAACTCCTTCCGTTTTGCTCGCTCTGCCCTCCGGGCCCGCCCCTCCGTCTTCAGCATGCCTGTCCAGCGCAGAGGCTACGCTGAGGCTGTGTCGGACAAGATCAAGCTTTCCCTGACCCTCCCTCACCAGGTACGACTCCGGATCAATTGGACGGCTTACCAGACCCCCTGATTGTTCCTTTACTGATAAATGCGATAATAGACCATCTTCAACTCGACCGGCGTGTATGTCAATCTTGCGTCCTGCCCCGATCCGAGCGTTCCATGTTTTTTCGGTGTCCCCACATCTCCGACCTGAAGATGCATACTGATGAATCTTTCCGACGAAACAGTGTCCAGGTCAACATCCCCGCCGAATCTGGTGAGATGGGTGTCCTTGCCAACCACGTTCCCTCCATTGAGCAGCTTAAGCCCGGTCTCGTTGAGGTTATGGAGGAGGGCGGCGCCAGCAAGAAGTTCTTCCGTATGTCCGACATTCAAGTTTTCGACCTTGGTTTGCGATAAGATAGATTCGAATGCGTCGCGGCCAGGTTCTTGAAATTTACCCAGGGCTAACACTTGTCGCTACTCTAGTCTCCGGTGGTTTCGCTGTTGTCCAGCCCGAATCCCAGCTGAGCATCAACGCCGTCGAGGGTTACCCTCTCGAGGCCTTCAGCGCTGACGTAAGTTTCTACATTCGTCCACTGTCAATTAGTAATAGGACCATGCTGATTACGCATTTAAATGCAGTCTGTCCGCGCTCAGGTCGCTGAGGCCCAGAAGGTTGCCGGTGGTAACGGCAGCGAGCAGGACATTGCTGAAGCCAAGATTGAGCTGGAGGTAAGATCATTCTTTGGGCACGTCACTTTGAATCGAATGTATGCTGACGGCCTTGCTAGGTTCTGGAGACCTTGCAGTCTTTCCTGAAATAGATGTTTGATGTACATATCCAGCAGCTTCGACTATGAATTTGTAGAACTATATCAATTCTCTTAAGAGGCTACTCTAATTGAATTGTGCCACGTCCACTAATCTTTTGCTTTCTGTACCTTTGTACGGATTCTTGGTTTTCTGACATTCCACGGTTGCGCCTTCCCAACATGGTGCACTGGATGCTACTTTCCCTCAATCTTCCGTTCTCCCATTTATCCTCCTAACAATTGATAGATCCACCAGACGAAACCACCAATTCCATCTTCTTACGTTCTTAACGTTTTTATTAACTCACTGGAATAAAACAGGTCGTCAGTCAAACAATGAATCCACGATTATCTCCATCAAGTCCGTTCTCGCCTACCCGGCCTTCGAGACTGATCCTACACCAATGCTCTCTGAGCGAAGCTCAAACGCAACTTCGAGTGTCCCCCGGGAAATTACGACTCTACGCATCAGAAACAGGCAACAACGCAGAAAAGAACGAGCACAATGAAACGGACAAATATCGAACTTCTAGCAATACCTACAACACCCCACACAAAGCACCTGGTCTCTCCATCAGCAAATGCTTCTCTCACGATGCGAATGAACAATCAAGTGCTCGTAGCACACCATCACCTGCTAGCAGCCCTACGAATCGCTTCTGGTCTGACCTCGGTTCATGGCAAGATAGGGATAAAGTTGCTTCAGAGACAACAAGCAACCTGAAGCCAGTCTGGTTAGAGGAAGACAGCTACGACAGTCACAGCCTCAACAGCATTCCAGAATTATGGAAGCCGCCAAAGCCACGAAAACCGTCGTTTCTCACTTCTTCCGGCTCGGCTGTTTTTGATAATACGCCAAATCCTTCCGAGAATGCCCAGTACCCTACATACACTAGCCTGGGCGGGGAGAAGGACCAGCAGGATACGAAATCATCATTTCATGGTCCGCAATTCTCGTTGTCTTCCGGCGTTTATAAACCTAGCAAAATCTGTTTGAATGTTAATCATGCGAGAAGGAAGCAATGGAATACCAAGAATGAGATGTATCGAGGACAAGCAAGAAAGATTATTTGGCGTCCTTCGCTACGACCTGCTCTGTATCGTGCTCCTGCAGAGACTTACCAGCTACCGGTTGATGATCCGGAAAGACCTTTTCCAATGCCTATACCTACAATGGACAAGTTGCCGCTTCATTGGGAGAGTTTAAAGTATCGGTCATTAGATGGTCAAGAGATGGACAGGAGTGATAAGCGTGATGAGAATTTGACTCTACATCTCAGTAAGAAGGTTTTCGAACTTGCCTTGGTTACTTTCTCGCTAGATGAGTTTGAGCATTCTGGTCAAACGTCGGAGTCTAACTCTCTGTTTCGAGTGGGGTTTCGGTTGTCGGTATCACCACTCAATGCAAATTCTCCAATTAATGAGCGAGGGGTCATTGACGATGCTGTCAATCTATTACGGCTGAGTTTTGCTGTACCGGCATTATTGCTACGCGCCATCTCCTTAATTGTCATTACCGCCCAGAGTCTGAGATCTTCGAAAGTCCTCACAACAATTGTCAGATTCATCACGGCACTTTTGATTTTGTTTGTTATCACGATCGTATGGATGTGTGACAAGGTTCGTTTAGGCACGGTTTCCGGGTGGAAGGCAATCCGGAAAATTGATGGTTTTGACACGAAGTGACAAGGTGAGGTTTATATACAGTTATATCGCGAGATTATTCTACGGCTCTTCGTATGAGGCTCTGGTGGACTAGAACAATGCTGCATTAAATCGAGATTATAGACTTCAGAAAAAATGATATATTCATTACTATATTCCATACATTCATCTTTGCCCACCAGGGCATATGGCAGAAATGTTATAACAGGAAGCAGACAATAAAAACACGAGACATGAACGTTCGAGGTCATAAGGAAAACACGCCAGTTAACAAAGGAAAAACAAAAAGAAATCATCATCATCCCATATGTTCAAGTTCAGTCCATCATGAAGAACAAGTGCCGCATGGTCATTCCATAACAAGGAAACTCGGGTAAGATTCAGAAACAAAAGCACCAACCTGGAAAGCGAAAAGAGATACTTGTTACTTCCAATCAAGTAAAGTCCACACTATTCTGTCTCCTAGCCCTTTCAGCCCGTCTCCGCCGGCGATTATTCGCATAATCCCCACTAGCCTCCGTCCCCGTAAACGTCCCTGGACCCGGCGACGCATAACTCCCCGACCCATACGGCAGCGTCGAAGGAGGATGAGACTGATGCATCGGCGGCGGCGGCGGAGGCGCCATACCACTCATCCGAGAAGGATGCGGCGCATACGAAGAAGGCGGGATACTCGTGCTCGGAGCGATTGAGTGTGTGTTTTCAGCGGCTGCCCTTGCAGCAGCTTGTTGTCGCTCCATTTCTTCTTGTTGTTGACGTTCGATTTCCTCGACGCGGCGCCAAGTGTTGTTGGAGCCGCCTTCGTTGCCGGAGAGGGAGCTTGCGCTTTGGTTGCGGCGCCGGGAGGTGCGCCGTTCTTTGCGGCGGGATTCGCGATTTGCCGCGGCTTCTTCTTCGGTGAGGCGCCGGAGGGTGACGTGGCGGCCATCGCTGGGGATTTTCAATTCCACGGAGACTGGGGGGGAGGAGTGGTCGTCGCGGTGTCGGCTGTTACTGTTGCTGTTGCTGCGGCGGCGGCGGCGGCGGCCTGGGATAGGGATTGGGGCGGCGCCGGGCTCGGAGTCGTAGCCGGTTGTTTCGGAGGGCATGTCGTGGTGGTGGCTTGGTGGTGCGGGCGGGAGATCGGAGTGTTGGCCGTCGTATGTGTTGCGGCGAGGAGGGCGTCCTGAGATTAAAGATTCCTCGTGCGGCGGTCTTGTTACATCGGACGTGACGTCGGTTGCGGTGTAGGAGCCGTCTCTTCTGTGTTGGGGATCAGTGTAGCGGCGTCGGTTGCTGTTTGCTCGCGCGAGTCTGTCTTCTTCCATTTCTTGTCGGCGCATTTCTTCAAGACGGCGTTGGTCATTGTTCTTGCGGCCGCCAAAGAGGTTCTTGAGTGCTCCTAGGGCTCCGGCTCCGAATAAAGCATTACGGCCTGTGTTTGGACGGTCCTGGTCGTGATCGGTCAGATAGGTACTGTTGTAGTAGGATGAGCCAGGGCTCTGTGGTCGACTCGGGGGTCTGCTTGGTGGTCGATAGAGAGGCGTTCGATGAGTTGGTTCTGGTCGTCGGCCATCTTCCATTCTGCTCATCGTTTCCTCGGTCATGCTATCACTTCGAGTGTGCGCTCGACTATATGTTCCCGACTCGGTGTCGTCGTCACCACGACTGCGTCTCCTGTCAAAGAGCTTTTTGGCGAGGAAGCCGGCACCCCCAATAGCGCCTAGCTCGAGTAGCTTCTTGCCCCAGCCGCCGCCACCATCACCACGGCGCGATTCTTCATCAGAGTATTTCTCGTCCATATACGATGTATGGGAGTCATCATAATCGTGCAGTCTGTCTTGATGCTGTGAGCGTCTCCGGAACAACTGAGCAAGACCAGCGCCTGCTGCTCCTAATGCTGCCATTCGACCAATGTTGCCGCCGTGGTGGTGTTCCTCAGAGGCCGAAGGTCCGGAGACATAGCTTGCTCGACTATCGTATTCGCTTGTCATTGGATAACCTTCGGTATCGTATAGGTAGGACAACACAAAGAATGCGACGAAAAGCGTGAAGACTGCGATTGCGAACAAGATGAAGAACACTTTCGGCGAACCGTATAAGGTGAGACCCAATGGTATTTGGACGATACCCAGGATAGCAAGAATACGGCCAACCCAACGATGGATCTAGTGCGCAAGATCAGTAAAAAGAACATAACGGCGTAGGGACAAGCACTTACAACCAGCTTAAAGGGAACATGATATCTCTTCTTGTTTCTCTCGATTCTATGCACCAGATAACCCCACATAACCTGGAAGATGACAAGCACGTAAATTGCCAATCCAATGCCATGGTGAGGATTCGACAAGCTCCGTTCAGGTCCGACGGCAAACCAGCCGAGCACAAACACAATGGTACTCATGAACAAAGTCAACACTTGACACCACACATGCAATTTAAAAGCCCAGTATGGGTTCCATCGCGAATAGTATCGTATTATCAAAACGGATGCGGGAACGAGGCCGAGAAAGGCGATCGTCGCAAGAACACCATGGGCGCATATCATCGTACGGTAATTAGGCATATCACGGAATCGATTTCCCATGCCTATCACAGTCAGTCATATATGCCTGTCATCTAAAAATTTGGCATGTACCCACCATTATACTGCATGGTTTCAAAATTCAGACCCATTAAATTGGGAAGAAGAAACGTATCCCGACCCGAGTCCCATGTTCCATCACCAACGTGTAAAGTATTCGAGGAGTATGTACTGCTCCCGGGAGCAGACATCTCCGGGTTAGGCGACATATTGCCCTTTTATCAATTGTGGCTTTCCCTAGCACAGACACGCGATCTTGATAACTGGAATGTTGAAATCTGAAGGAGATCTATGCGATCCCCACCTCCGAAGAATGCACCATGCGGTGACAAGAAACGGGGCGGATCGATCTGGTATGCACACTCCAGTAGCTAGCCGATGGCAAATACCGATGCGGAGGATAAGAGACGGCGAACTCGAAGGACGTAACTGACGAAACGAGTGCCCTAAGCGCCGGTGATCGAGACGGAACAAGCGGGGGGTGAGACGGAGGTGATGAGTTGTCAAGATATACCAGGAACCGTCCGAATAGCAATGGTTCTTCAAAGGCAGCAAAAAAAAAAAAAAAAAAGGTTGAATAAACAACGAGAGATCGCGATGACCGAAGAAAAAAGAGGAGGCTGAGACCAACACGTAAAGCCGCCAGGGACACTCAGATCGGCACATCAACTGTTTTCCATTTGGGGTTTAGCGCGCAAACACATATCCAGGACAACCAGCCGCTGACTCAGATTTTGCTGTCCCACACCGCCTGTTGTTTTGAGCTTATTGCGTGCTTATCTTATCAGTCCCAATTTGGCAACGCGTGATAACGCATCAATCCACGATATTGATACCGACATCGTCCCTTCTTCTTGTTCTTCTACTTATTCTGCCTTCACTTTATTCTCGACTAGAAGAGGAGTGAGTTAGTACACCAAAATGACCTCCCAACTCGAAACCTTCACAAAGGCCCTATCCCGGTACGTTCCGTCCCGTCCCTACTTTGCGAATGTAACTGATAAGCAAATAAAGTCTTCTAGGATGGATATAGTACGCTCTCAGACCAGTTCTCAAACAGCTCGCACTCACCATGGATTAACAGTATGCTCTGCTGGTCCGCGTCCTTCTACCCCCAGCCAATCGACAACTACCGTCGTCGCTCAACTGTCGGTCTAGCCATCGACTTTCCCACCGTTAATGTCCTGGGCTTCGTCTGCTACGCTATATACACACTCACCTTCCTTTACTCCCCCGTGATCCGCGGTCAATATGCAGCCCGGCACCCGCAGTCTGAAGAGCCGACTGTGCGGGTTAACGACTTGGCTTTTGCGGTGCATGCCGTTGTTCTGAGTTCGTTGTTGTATTCGCAGTTCTTTCCGAAGATATGGGGGTTCAAGGTTTCGAGGCATCAGAAGGCGAGTAAGCCGGTTAAGGGTATTTTCTGGGGGTGTTTGGTCGCTGTGGGTGTTGCTGTTGGTATTGTTCTCCTTGCGAGTCCGGATGGGGGGTATGATCCCCGCTCTTGGGCTTGGATTGATGTGGTGAGTACTACATACCCTCGTACATTCCTATTGGCAGAGAAAAACATGAGTACTCGATAGTACTCAAAAGTACTAAACATAAACAGATGTACACCTTCTCCTACGTGAAATTACTCATAACAATCGTCAAATACGTACCCCAGGCATGGCTTAATTACAAACGCAAGTCCACAGACGGGTGGAGGATCGAAATGATTCTATTGGACTTCACCGGTGGCGTGCTCTCTTTCATCCAGCTGTTGCTCGACTCGAGCTTTGCGCAGGACTGGAGCGGCGTCACAGGCAACCCCGCCAAGCTCCTGTTGTCCAACGTGTCAATTGTTTTTGATTTGCTGTTCATGGTACAACATTACGTTCTGTACAGGGACGTGGATACGAAGAATCGGCGGAGGGATCCTGATCTGATTACTCCACTTTTGTCGGAGCCGGGTCAATTGTCGAGGAGTGCTCATATTTGATCGCTCTGTGGTCATTACGTTTGTTTTAGATGAAATCTTTTGGATCTTGATAGACAAGTAGTTGGCCATTGGTTACTGGTCACTCGTGCTACTTATAGGCAGAGACAAGTCTACGATTATCATTGGAGAAACGTACCTTTCCAATCCGTGTATGCAGGGAAAGAATATGGATAGAAATAAAGTGCGCAAGACAGACAAAGGCAACGACAGAAAACATGACGCCCATAGGCCTCGAATCAACAGACCTTTTAAATCCCACGCTGAATCCAGTATAAAAGCAGAAGCAGCACGTAGCAGTAGCAGTATATAACAAAACGATTGAAAATAAAACCTCATATCATAACTCTTGTGTCGTTGGTATCATTAAACGGGGGATGAATCATGGTTCATAAATCCATATGCAAATATACATCGATACCCATCGAAGATAACCGCGTCATTCCCGGCCGTGCCGAGAAAGTTATCTTCATGGAAGTCGGCAGTGATGCATCGCAATGCATGATTAATATAAGCAATTCATGTCATGGAGCTTAATTATTTGCCCGACGACGACGTCCTCGGCCGCTGCCTTCGGGTCGTTGCATTAAGACCCGTCTTAATTCGGGGTCATCTTTGTCCTTATCAACATGGTGAACTCGGACGTGTCTATTCTTCAGTTAGCTACGATTCAATCTCATTGCGGCAGGAGAACTTACCTTTGGAGATTATCAGGTCGTGGATACTTGCGCTGCTGATCCGGGCAGAATGGACATATATACCCGGGGGAGTTATGCACTAGCCCGTGCCGAATCATTTCATTTTTGCGTTTGAACCCTTTACCACCAGGGCCCCTGACACATCCCTCAACTGGGCAATAGTGGGGACGGTCTTGCGAATGTACATTCGCATGAGAACTGTTTGGACAAGAAATTGGTAAGCGAGCTTGGCCATATTCGTAGCAGTACCGAAAACTTACTTCAACAGATACTGAGTTTGAAAAGGCAGGGCATTGCATCCAGGATGGTGGCACTTGAAACTGCCAGTAGCGACCCCATTCAAAGGCGTATTTGCATCACCGTACGGCCTGTCATATGACCCAACAGTAGGTGGGTCTGTGGGCGTTGGGTAGCATGTTACGGGGCTCTTCGCAGTGTGTGTCGGTACATCATAAGGAGAAGTCACATAGTGTATATTGGACTTGTGCGGAGGAGGCCTTGGGCAGGGTGGATGCGACACAGGCGAGGGTACTGTCGATATATCTTTGGAGCTTGCGGGTGACCAATGTGAATAAGGACTAAGAGGAACTTGAGGAGGCCCCGGAAGCTGATGTTCACGCGAAACATCTACACGTGGAGACGGGCCATTGGTGACCGGATGAAGCGAGTAAGAAGGTGCTCCACTGGCATTGACCCGAGGTTCCTTTGCTGGGACGCCCGGCAGTTCGCCCAAAGCAGATTGCAGAGGCGGTAGGCTTGGTTGGTTCTCTGGTGACTTCGGAAGCGCTGAAGGTGATTGATGAATAGAGGGAAGTAAATCGTGTCTCGGAGTCTCCGAAGGCTGTAACATGGAGTACGCTTTCAGTTCGAGTGGCGTTCTTGTGGGTCCGACTATTGATGGCACTGGCGGCGGAAGTTGCGGAGGTATCCCTTGCTCACTTTTGATGTCTCGGGTTTGATTGTCTTGCTGGTGGAAATCATACTTGGATGCAATTTCCTTGGGTGCTAGCGGTTCATTTTGCAACAATTGCAGTGCATTTTTAGCAATAATCTTCTGCGGATTGAATCCCTCCTCTGGCGTGATCTCCCGTTTAAATGGGTTACTGAGCTCATAGTCTCTAATATCGGGTCGATTTCCGTCTAATTGACCTATTAGCACGGCACTGCCATGGCTAAAGCCGGGTTCAGAGTGGTTCGGCTGGCTCTTACGGGAACTGTCTGGCGACGTTCCCTTATCATTCCTGACGAATGGAGGCGGCTGCTCATCAACAAGTCCATAGTCGGGTTTTGAAGGCTCCAAACCAGGAGAGCGGCCGCCATCATCAGAATCATATGCGTGGGACATTAAGGCGGTGGTTTCACGCGCATTAGGTGCGCCACCCCTTGGAGCCTCTGCTTGCCTTCCTTCCCCTGTCTCTTCCTTGGCTCTTATCGATCAGATAATGGTGAAATCCCACAGGCCCGTAGCAGATTCTGTCGGAGACCGTAACTCATCAAAGATTGAACGTCACGTCAACTGGGCTGTTTTTCCCAAGTGTCCTGTCTGCCCACGTTAGTTCTCGTTCTCACGCAAGTGAATAATGGAAATGTAGAAAGCACAATCCGCTTAAGGAATCGAACAAGCTGTAAATTCGCTGGGCATTATGACATAAAGGTGGCGTGTATCACGGCAGATGCGAGCTTCGTGGTTTAAAGCCCGAAAGGATTCTAGTGCAGCCCGGAATACGAGTTGAGGGTGGATCAAAGGGTTCTTGGGCAGCCTCAGACATGGCAAAGAACACAGCATTCCACATCATTCCATCCTAACAGCTCAGCTGCCGGTCAAGGGCAAAGGGGCGGGGGGGAAGGAAAGGGAAAAAAAAAAAAAAAAAAAAAAAAAAAGGTGCTCAGCAGGCAGATGGAAGCAAATCACTACGTGAGATAGCGCTGACAACCAAGATCAGGTGATCTAATTGGCAGATTTCTTGGGACTGGCCCTTTTCTCTTGCCCACAAAACACAGAAAAAATCAAGATCGAGAAGGGGAGAAAAGAAGGTTAAACACTCACCTTAAAGTAGAGAAAGTGGGAATCCGTGCGGCTCGAATGGAGCAGAACCGCTTCTCTGGGGAGTCTCGGGATGAGGCTCAACGGGCTATCCGCGTGGTCGCAGATGACGGGTGTTGTGGGAAAGAAAAGGATTAAAGCCCGGGAACAACAACAACCACGGATAAGAATGAATATAAAAAAGGAAGCGGAAGAAATGTGGAGGGGTAATAATAAAGGGCAAAAGAACAGAGATGATGACGGATGGAGAAATAATAATAACAGCCCATCTTTGAAGAATCACCCGCGGAGAGAGAGCGATGAGGCTTAACCCCGGCAGGCGGTCAAGCCATGTCCCCACAGGCAGTTTGTGGTACAGTACTCTGCATACCGAAATTACCTTTTGGCACTGCGTCATCGTTATGCACACGCACCGTGGAAAGTACATATACAGCATTGAGGGACGGTATTTCGATTCATATTCAGAAGCATAAGGATTGTGTCTCAATATTGCTCCAATGTGAGCCTATCGGACTCCTCAAAAAGACCTAGATCGGATCACCTTGGCGCTTTACTGGCAAAGTCACACGCTGGAAATTGTATCCTCTACTCCACCCCCAGAGACCACGCGATCAGAGACTAAGCGATCCCAGGGTAGTACTCGGTACTCCAGGAGGTAATTGAGAGGTTTGATTTATGGCAAGTCTCCTTGGAGTCAGGGATATGATGCCCCTAAGACCAGGCCATCGTCATCTGGTATACAGAGCACGGAGTAACTCAGCGCATACTCATCACAAATCTGGATTTGCTACGGAGTAGCTACACCTGAGACAGTCCAATGCTGGCGACTCGCCTGCTCAACCCCCATTCCAATGAAAGCGATAGGGATTGGACGCGCCAAGTATCAGGGCAAGCGTAGGGTTAATGGCAATATCCAAATGCCACACAAAATCGAAAATTTTCCACAGAGTTGGGACATGACTCTGGAAACTTACCGGGCCAAGGCACGTTGGGTGCGGCTCTGGCTGTCCCAATTTTTATTGGCTACTAGTGAAAAGGAGGCTGAAGTGTTCATCTGCACTGAACCGTCCTTGCTCTGAGAGAGCACGGAACACAGAGTATGGGCTACTGTTAGTCCAGTCTGTCTCCCAAGTCCCAGGCAGATGCATTTTTGCCGATTCAGTTTAGAGATTGATCATTGTGTCGGCTTTATTTCTTTATTTTCCGTCTCTTGCGATCTGCTTGTGATCGAGCCAGTTCTGTTGTGGGATGTTTTCGCTTAGTGCCTAAGGCGACAAGGATTCCTTTACGTCCGTGCTTCCATGCAAGCGCAGTCAGCGTTGATTAAAGAACAGACCTGTTGTCCTTTTTTATATCGTGGTATCTCTTTGTCTTATTATTATCCATCCATGTCAATACTTGCGAATTCGTCCGCAACAGCCTTGTTTTGTACAGCCACGCTCTGCAAGTACTTGTGCTGCTACTACTCTGTACATGACTACGCACTTGCATTCAGTTGGATATGTATCCAAAGGGTTACAGACGATTACTCACGGAATCATCTAGCTAGAGACACTGACTCTAACCCCCACTCCATGAGTTTGAAGAATGGTGGGGATAATACTATCGCGCTCATTTTTTTTTTCTCGCGGACTCCGGAATTGTTACTCTGTCCGTACTCCACGACCTTTATTATCGTCCGTACGATGATCTTCATCACGACAAGGGTCAATCACTGATGACCGTCTCAGCTGCTTATATGTTCAAGCCGTTCTCAACGGTCCGTGCTACGGCTTCGGGTTCTACGGACCATCACCCATCACTCCAGGCTAATTTATACGGACATCTCGTCGCATCATGGCTGCCGTTTTCAATCATCGAACAGTGTTTCGCTGAAATCATCTTCAATCGTATCTTGAACACAATCAACCAGAAATCCTGCTGTTTGACGGTGGACAGAAACTTCCCCGCTCCAGTCGCTCGTAATATCCGTCCGGAATGTCAATCTATCCCAAACAGGTAGGCCGATATTTCATACGTCGAAACCGCATGATCTGGTCCACAGCAGTATTGGGACTTGTTGTCACACTGCATAAAGAAGACAGGGTTCTCATTAAATCTACCCACCTTAGCGCCGCGTCTTTCCGCTTCCCCGACTAAGAAGGAATGTGGTCCAATCGCATTGTCGCATTCCTTCCTTTCCCGATAGCCAGCCAGCCTTCTCTTAGAGAGAAGAAAAGAAAAGATGCAAAGGAAAAGAAGAAGCACTGCGGCCCGTTCCAGATAGGCAAGTCTCACGGGTTTTGCGGACAATGATTTTCCGTCGTACAACCTTGTGTATAGTGGTATATATATTTATTATTATTAGCTAGCTGACGTTGCAAAGTTTTGTACCTGTACGAACGCTTGGTACTTCGTATTCTGTGGTCTTGTATGGAAGTACAGTACATCTACAGAAGCATTCTTGGCAGGACATCTCCGATAAAAGAGCGACTATGTGTGGATCAAAGCAATATCATCGTTTGAAGAATGCCCACTTGCTATATTCTCATCCAATGATCGCGCTGCACTGTCCGTTCAATCTGCATTGTGACAGGATGTGCTGACAGTGGTCCCAAAAGTGGGACGGATACAATTGCCCTGTACTCCGTATTCAAGTCTGCAGAATGCGCTCGGCATGGAGATGGGGCTTGGTAGCCGCACTCAATTAAACAGAGTCCTGCAGGGTTGGTTCGGGATTTCCGTAATCTGTGCACTGTCGCATACGACATCGTCATTGGAACCGATGGCCATGGTATACGGAGTACATGCCGGAATGCATTGTACAAGTACTCTGTATGCCAAGATGATACATAAGACGGATGATTGACATGGTAAGCAATATTGACTCGCGTCGTCTCATTTCTGCACTTGCATCAATGAGGGATATACTTATGTAGTAGTCAGGTCAGATTGTTCTCCACATACCTACCTCGCGGAGAAAGAGTCCGGAATAATCATGGCTCTCACTGTGGGACTTGCATTCTTGATTGAATAACTCATTATGTACAAAGCATTCGATTGGTCGCAGTCAACTACAGCTTCCCCTTCTGCCGCGACTGTTCTTGCGCCCGTTTCACTCGCTCCCACGCATCCAGAGCAAAAGGCTTGGTCTTCTTGGCATACTCTTGAGCCCGGGCGCTACTGGCCTGTCTTAAGGCATACCGTGCGGCGATCCCCTGCATGATCACGGAGCTTCTCCAGTTAAAGAAGGAGTCTCCCCAAAGAATGTCATGTGTCGGATCCCAGCCAGCCAATTCGCTATACCACCGCACACACTCTTCGCGCTTGGGCAGACCAGGGATTACCCCGGGCTTGAACGTCTCGGTCGTATGATCCGTGCCATCCATATAATAGGGGCTTGTCAAGTTGCAAAAGTCCGACAAGGGATGTCCCACTGTGGCCATCTCCCAGTCCAGGATACCAATAACTCTTGGTTCAGTCTTGTGGAAGATCAAATTATCGATTTTGTAGTCGCCATGGACCAAGGTCCCTCGATCGCGCGGCTGGGTGGATTTGTTCGAGAAGAAGTTCACAATGTCTGTGAAGTGTGGTAGCTCTCCAACAGGCTCCTTGGTGTCCACGTCTACTGCTTGAGATTGCGCGCGGGAAACAGCGGAGAAGGTAGCAACCTGACGGTCATAGAACCCAGATGGCTTTCCGAACCGTTCCAACCCGACTGCTTTGGGGTCGACTCGGTGGAACTTGGCTAATGTCCTGACAGCGTCTTGCCATCTACAACGTTTAGCAATCAGCTTCTCAAACGCAACACGTGTCTTGGTATGCGATGACATACAGTGCACTCCGCTCCTCTGCACCTACTTCCGGCATCCCAGGGTCGGTAAACATGCGCCCGTCCAGAAACTCCATGATATAGAACGGTGTCCCAATAACATCCGCATCCTCACATAGGCAATACGCCTTTGGTACCGGCACATCTGTCTGCCCCAAAGCATGGATGACCTTGTATTCACGCTCGACCTTGTGCGCTGTCTTGGAGAGGAGCTTTCCCGGGGGCTTTTTCCGTAGGACGTATCGTTGCTTGTCAGCGCCGGTAATTTGGTACGTTGGGTTCGACTGGCCGAAGCTGAACTATAGCGCAGATTTATGTTAGCTCATTGTTTTATTTGATAGTTGGCGCTAGACTTGCCTGCTTTAGTTCGAATGGGGTCTTAATCTCGGGGACATTCTGGTTCAGATATCGCTCTAAAGAGGGGATATCGATTGGTTGGCGCACTTCTCCGGCCATTGTATATTCTGTAGTAGTAATCCTTTTTTATATGTAGATAGATGTATTCTCTTGATGAACGATAGAAAAAGCAACAATGAACACCAGCTGGTATCGCAGCTGTTAACTGGTACGCAACAACCGAACCGAGGCTGAACAAGCGGTGCGGAGACCTCGGGGATCCGCTGGGGTACAGCCGAGTCAGTGGTGACAAATGGTACAAACACGCCAAGCCTATTAACGCGGTCACGCGTCTAACGCCGACGCGTTGCTTGGGTCCAATCTACAGATCGAATCTGCAGGTGAAATTGAACAACACGCCGCAATCACACTATAACCAGTCAGTTCTTCTATTTCTGTCTCTCAATTGAAGCATTCAAATTGACAATGACCAAGGAGACTACTCCCCCTCCCACCACAACCACAACCGCACCAACCCACGAACCACCCTCACAACCGGCCTCGCCCCTCGCCAAACGAACAAAACCCAACACCGACAACGACAAGATGTCTACCCCCGCCGTCACCTCCATCTCTGCACCCCTCCCTCCCCTCTTCGTCAAGAAACTCACCGACACCGCCCAAGCGCCAACCCGGGGCTCTGCTTTTGCGGCAGGATATGACCTCTACAGCGCGAAGGAGACTGTGATCCCGGCGAAGGGGAAGACGCTGGTTGATACGGGACTTGCGATTGCTGTGCCGGAAGGTTGCTGTATGTTCACCACGTTCTACTCTATATCGTTTGGAAGCTAATGTGTGTATAGACGGCCGCGTGGCACCGCGGAGTGGACTTGCTTCGAAGCACTTTATTGATACTGGGGCTGGTGTTATTGATGCTGATTATCGGGGTGAGGTGAAGGTGTTGTTGTTTAACTTTTCTGAGGTTGATTTTGCGGTTAAGCAGGGAGAGAGGGTTGCGCAGCTTGTTTTGGAGAGGGTGGGTTTTTCCTTTTCTCTTCCCCTCCCCCCGCCCTAGATGATGCATAGTAAGGTGAATGCTAACGAAGGCAGATTTATACCCCTGAGGTTACGGTCGTCGAGGAATTGGAGGAGAGTGTTCGTGGTGCGGGTGGTTTCGGAAGCACTGGTGTTTAATTTTGTTAATAGAACGGTACGGATAGAAATGTCAATGGTTTACGACTGAATGATAATAATGGGTATCAATACTTTCCTTCCAAATGTATCATGCTCTATCATACATATGAATATCTATTGAAGTGTTTCCGGCAAATTCTCTTTCCTCCACTCCTGCGCTTGGAAACTAGCCGTTGGTTCACGAAGGAACCGTGCATTTCTTACCAATCGCACCTCGGCCGCCTTGCTCCGTCGCAGATTCTCTTGTTTCCGTTGCTCCTCTTCGCTAACATCTGCACTGTCTGAGGTAAGAGTGCGCAGTTCCGCATCCCTCGCCTCGAGTGTCTTCTCGAGCACACTGTGCATACTCTCCAGTACCTTAACAGTCGATTTAGCCAACGGAAGATCCGTAGGAGTCACTTCATCCGGGGAAACCCAGGACTTGACATTCCGAAGATCAGGCCCAGTAGCGAAAACAGCTTCGCGTAGACGGGCGACGGTTAGTGCGGCGAACATATCGCCCGTGCCGCTAAAGTAGCAGTCGAGTACAGGGACATCGATCCGGAAGAGACGTGGAGAACCATCTGAGCGGGTAGTGGAACCGATGACAGTTAGGCTGTTTGGTGACAAGGCGGTTTCTGATGTAAACCTGGAGATTTGCACAGAGGTTATGATGATGTGCGGAACGGAGTAGGTTTTGTGAATTGCAGTGATTGCTTCTGCGAGGGCTTTGAAGGAGGTGATTTTGATTCCGGAGAGGACTCTGTATATCGTAAGAATTGAACATGATATCTTTGAAGGGAACGCACTCTGCTTCGAATTGATTTGGTAGAATCAAATCCGCATAGCGAATAATATCCTTATAAGCCGGCACTACATCATCATTGACATACAGCCGGCCCTGGTCACCCATGACAGGATCCAGCACTGCCCCGTCAGCCCAGCATTCGAACAACCAAAACAGTAAGACTCACCCCAAAAGAAAGACCCCGGAGCCTTCTGAGCCTTCTGCTGCAGATCCAATCCAATAGCACCCACGGCCTCAACGGCCGCAGCACTGGGCGCATACCCGGACAACATGACGTCAAAGTCGGTGAGATTGCTCTGGCACAGGCCTTGGTAGAGATTGCTGATCTCCTGTGCTGTTGCCCTGGTTCCTTTGAATTGTCTATAGCCGGTGTGATTACCTCAGTCATTAATTAGCCAAGTCATTCAAAGATATGTAGGAGATAGGACTCACTGAAGTGGACAGTGTTCAGAGCAGCGACATCGCAGCCCAGGGATTGCATGACTATTGTCGCGATTTTGTTTCCGACATACCTAAGCTCTTCTATCAGTGTCCGTCTCTCTCATTTGTTTCTCCCAATACATAGTATAGGAAGCTGAGAAAAGAACATGTATGACATACCCGTACACGACCTATCGACTGTCAGTATGCACGACCTTGCCAAGAAATAGGAATGGACATACATGGCTCGCGACAGCAAGCACCGACGTCTCGGGCACCAGCACATCTGCCGACATGGTGAATTGCAATAATGATACCTGAAATAATAAAGGTAATGGGAAACGGAGGAAGAATTGACGATCTTGCGGATGGAGGGGTATTACATAAGCTGATAATAGACAGGAAGGATTCCCCGCAAGATGATTGGCCGGGTCTAGACTGTATGCGACCTGTCAATGAAGCCGGACTAGTAAACACTCCGTAGTATCACTAGTAGATGCCAGTATAGTCAATAACTGCATTTCGGAAATAACGGTGTTCATGGACATAGCATCTGCTCTAGAGCGCATAGCTGTCCATAGCTGCCCATAGCACCAGATGAACAGACCCTGAGCGCACTGATTCAGAGTTTCTTTTGGCTCCGTTTGCTCTTTTGGGCTGTTGTTAATCTCCGGCCGGATATTAATAGAAATAGTCGCCTTTGGTTTGTGTCTTTTTTGTCTTTTGCTTCTCCTGAATCCTGTTTCTTTCTTTCACCAAAGAAAAGAACAATAATACTAATAACTGGGAAGGTCTTCTGTCCTTTCCCCATCCCATCCACTCATTGATTGCCATGTCTGCAGTCGTTCGCTCGCTTTGAAATACCACCAGCCTTTAGGAAGTCATTCGTTTACTTGTCACTCGTTTATTTGCTCATTATTTTCTGTATAATTCCCTGTATCCCGTCGATATTGTACTGGCGCAGGTACTCCGCAATGTTTCAGCCCTACTCCTATTTCTACTTTTTCCTCATTGTTCTCGTCGCAGTCTCTACATCTGCCATCCCCGTCCACCATGGCAGCGACCTTAGTGGAGAGCAGCAGATCACCGATCGTCCGGAAATTACACCATCACTGGGACGTGCTTTGTTTGAACATCACGGGATCATCACAGCCGACGACAACACAAAGAACACAATAATCCCCCGAGGAACAACAGATTCAGACCTCCCAGCCCCCTTCGACACAAGCCTAGGAACAAACTACACCAAGAAATCCTGTCCCAAGTTCTTCACCAAGTTCCTCTCCGACTCGTCCCTCCAATCCTGCCACGCCCTCTCGCTCCTCCTCCGCAACTCAAACTCCTTCTTCTACACCCTGCGCTCAGAAACTGCGACATCGCACCTCCTCGACGTTGCTTGTTCGGCCTCTGTCTCGCAATGCACCAGCACATTATCCTCCTTGGCAAAGGAGTTGATCAAGGATGATAACTGCGGCGAGGAATACAAACTCGGAAACCCCAACGTCGTAGACGCTTACATCGACCTGGTCTCCTACGAGCCGCTTTACCACGCCTCATGTCTCAAGGACCCATCCACAGACAACTACTGCTTCGTCGATGCAGCGACAAACTCCACGAACCCCGCTGACTACGATGTATATTTTGTTCCTTTCGGAAATGCCCTCGAGGACCATGACGAAGCGAGTTGGGATAATAACACGCCCACGTGTAATACATGTCTGCGGGAGACTATGGGTGTGTATAAGAGCTTTGCGAGGGTTGATGGGCAGCCGCTTGTGCAGTCGTATCTGCCTTCTGCGAGGGTCGTTGATAGGCATTGTGGGGGTGGCTTCGCAGATTTGAATGTTACGGTTGGGACTATGAAGAAGGTTGAGACGTCAGGGGTGGCGGTTTATAGGCCGGGGTTGGCCTGGATGGTTGTTGGCGTGCTTGCTTTAGCATTTTGGGGCTAGGGTTCTATAATGAACGCTTGAAAGAGTGATGGATATGGTTATGGATTATGATAGCGTTATATTTCTTGTCAGTAATACTAATTGTAATGTTTCACATGTTTGAAATATGCCAACCTTCCAATAAATCATCCATTATTCGTACCGCATTAAATCAGAGGTATCTATATCCAAGCACGTAACAAGAAGCAATGCAGATGCCAATGTATAACACAAAATGGCTCGAGTTTACGATATCGTTAAGGGGTATGTAAAAGACGCTCAAAAAAGACAAAAGGCAACGCAACTAGCTGCGTCTAAGCCCATCTCCCATGGCTACTCCCATCAAACTCTGGGGCTCCTTAGAGAAGCCAGGCCCAGCTGACACAGGACTCGACGCATCTCGTTCCCGCTTCACGCGGAAAAATGCTAGCTTGGCAAACCGCCCAAGCTGGTTCCAGAAGTGCCGTCCAGCCATGTGAACTGATATTCTTTCCAGCAGATCTACCGTGGCTTCGCGCACGTTCTGGTCTGGGTGGAACAGTCCCATGCTAAGATAAAACAAGCCTGCCCGGCTTTCCGGTGTCACTGTGAGGAGCTGGCAGATCCCTGCATAATCCCTGACGGCGTGAGAAAAGGCGACGTAGATGGCTCCTGCATCTGTGTGCGACAACTTCAATGACCGTAGTCGATCGTGATGGTGGTGTAGATCTGGCTTTTGGATGGGTCGCGCCGGATAGTACAGGGTTGCAATGTCTTGGATGAACGAGTAATAGGACCGTGTGGTCCGCCAGCCTTCAATTCTCGATACAGATGCTGCCAGTTCTCGTTGCTTCATTGCTTCGTTCGGCCAAACATAGCCATGACCCCTCAACGTCGTCGGATCCAATGGATCCGCCTGTTGACTACTTGGACTGTCCGGCGACAATTCTTCGTTCGGGCCAATGATGAAAAGATTCGACGCTCCATAAACCATTTCCTCGAAAGCTGCAGCCATGCGTGTGAACTTGATGATATAGGCACGCCACTTGGCTCGGATGGAGTTTTCTCCATAGCGGTTAGTGATGCTGCGATGGATGTCCTCCATGAACAAGTTATCACCACTGTCTGAGTGTGAACTCGAATTGGGGTTAACAAAATGGCTCTGCTGCTGGAAGAATAAAAGTCCTTCTGTAACCGGCGCCGGCTCGATGTGGCTACTGATCTTCATTCGACCTGTGGGCAAGTCACAGAGAAGATCCCACCATTCGGGATGATTGGCAAAAGTAGGATTAGTTACGCCTGCAATAAAACCAGGAACCTTGAGAAGGTCATCGATCTTTGTCAGATCAGTGTATGGGAACGCATGACGCGTGAACCCGCGCAGAATTCCACCCGACGCCAGAGCGCAAGCAGCAAGAACAGCCTCAGCTACCTCTCCTGAAGGTCTGTTATGCCCTAGGAAGACGACCCGTTTCTGGGTCAGCATTGCATTGATCAGAACAATAATCGGATGGGTAAATGGACCGCTCGTCGTCAAGTGCGAATGAAGGGGGAATGGTTGTGGTGAGGTAGCATGAGGGGCGGCGAAAGTCTGGATAAGCTTGATAAAAGAGAAATCGCCCACCGTCTCCGGCCAGATGACCGTAGGCACTTTGACGGGGATGGGAATGTCATTGTAGACCACCTTGGACTCGAATTCGTGTGTATCTCGAGGAAGCACGAACCGAGGTGCAAGTTTCTTGGGTGACGGCGGAGAGGCATCATCTGGATATGATTCGCCCTCCTCTTCCAGACGTTGGTGTGCCATTTGTTCAAACTTTTCGATGAACATATCCTTCGTGTTCGTGGCTTGTAATATTTGCCGTTCAAGGAGAGAAAGTTTCGGCAGCAATGAAAGGTCCATAGAGTTGACGGCATCATAAAGGCGTGCCAGTGTTTCCGGATATGGGTTCTTGAAATAATCATCCAGCGCCAAAAGGAGCAGGGGCTAACTCGTTAGTTGGAACCATTTCCCGTGCTTCTTGGCAGACTTACCTTATAGATATGAAGGAAAGAATGTCGCGTACAGATTGCCATTGCTTTGACGACAGCACCTCTGCAACACATTAGCTCCATTATTAAAAAACAATAACTGAAGAGGGCATACCGCTTGACTGTGTTGTCCTGTTTTGTATTTACAAGGTTCAGGACATACATCAGCGGTGGCCCTTCACCACCGTCATCCTCATCATCACTGCTAACGTCGTCCGAGCCATCGTCCGAACCATCATCCTCTCCATTGTCCGACTTGTTTCCTTTATTCTTTCTCTTCTTCTTCTTCTCGTGCAAAGATTCATCGTCGTCGTCTGCACTTGTATCCTTGTGCAAGAAGAATATCGTCCAATCCTGACTTCTGACGTGAGTCTGATCCGGTAACATCAGTTCCGCCAACATACTCTCATCGCCACTAATTGCGGCTGGATACTGATGCTCCATGATCGGACCGCGGTCAATGTGGAAGGAAGCCACGAGAATGAACTCTACATGGCGTTCGGAAGAGTCCAACGGATACTGTGATTTGCATCGTCGGGGTCTCGAACTCTCTGGGATTGCGACGGTATTCGCATAGGTATTCTCGGACGGACGGCGCAGCAATGTTTGGGAGCTCGGCGAACGTTTGAGAACAGACGGGGACGGAGTCAGTCGAGGCAACGTGCTGGGTTTGGCCCGGTTGGACGTCGCACCAGATCCGGAAAGTGTATCATCGGACGGTCGATACGGCAGCGTACTCGTCATATTTAAGGGTGTTCAAAGGTGAAATGAGAGGGTAGCAAGGAATGCTGGTATCGAACTCCGTCGTGGCAGTAGATCTAGCACAGGAACAACCGCATAGTCAGGCCAATGGATTCGGAGACCCTGAATCAGAGCTGGCAAAAGTAGTCGAAGGATATAGTTCGGTCAGTCTGATGCATTCCCAGCCCAGGATATGAATCAGAAATTATATGTCGACTGGCACAAGGTCACAAAGTTTCGGTGGTGGTGATCGACGGGGAAATTCAGGGGGTTTCCAGAAAAGCCACAACCAACCATCAAATCTCCACAGCGGGGAGACTCACACAGTGCAGCCAGAGACTGCCTGCTTCGGGAAGTGCCATATGCAGGCTTCCAGAGGCAGGCGAGTATTCCCGGATAATAAACATCATGCCGGGTTTTTCCTGATAGAAATGTCCCATTCCTCGTTTGCGCAGTTCCTCGAGGAGAAGTCGGATCCATGAAAAGCAGCTCGAGGAGAATCGCAGAGCCGCTCTCCGCACGTGCCTTCGGTGCCGGGCCGACTGGATCCCGAGTTTGTTTACTTGGATACTTGCCTTTATGAGCGAACGTGATTATCATACTGATGCATGCGCTTGATGTTAGGAGAAAAGAACAGTTGAGACAAACACTGCACCATTCGAATATCCCTGCATATGATCTGTTTTCAATTTGTTTGAACCCTGAACGCCCCGATCTAATGAAATGGTATGTTGTCCCCGGCTTTCAATACTAGCGTCGGTTTGGCTGAAGAGGACCTCTCAAGATGCCCACGAATACCCCATTCAAGTCTTCTCCTCTGTCGTTTGGCTCCCCACGGGCCTCACCGTTTCGTCGACCTTCAACACCAAATTCCCCGCCGCAGGGTCGTTCGAGCACACCCGGCAGTTCCCCCGGTCGAACACTCCCGCCAGTTCCCTCGCCCAGCAAACTAAATCAATCGTACACAATTGAAGATGACCCGGAAGAGTCCCCCGGGTATCAAATTGGCGATGCGCCAATTCCTCCACCCAAGTTCAGCAGAGAGCTGCCTCCATCGCCAACCAAGGGAGCTAATTTGGGCAGTTCGTCTCCTATTTTGAGTACCAGACAGTCTAACAGCATGATGAATGCACCTAGTGATGCAGCGGCCAGCCTGTCGCCGGCGCAATTAAGGGAAATACGGGAGGCGTTCCAGGTGCTGGATCGGGATAATGATGGGTCTGTGAACCGAGAAGATGTGGCAGATGTGCTGGTCAATGTTGGTATGTCTACTGGGAGTAAAATCTTGACTCGAAAACTGTGTGGCTGACTTTCAATTTAGGTTTGAATGCATCTGCAATCTCGCAATTCTTCCCACCCGGGGCCCCTCAAACGATCCACTTTCCCACTTTCTTGAACACCCTCTCCGACCTAGTCAGCCCCCTGTCATCGCGCCAGGAGCTTGTTAACGCGCTGGCCGCCTTTGACGATGACGACAGTGGTCAAGTTGACGTGAACGAACTACGAGATGCGCTATTACACACTTCACCGGAAGATGGGGAGCATCCGCTTACGGAACGGGAAGTAGACGAGGTGCTGAGTGGATACACTGGACGCAGAGTCTTTGGAGGGAAAAGCTCCAAGGCTACAGGGGGTGGGAAGCGAGGAGAAGTGTTTCGATACCAGGAGTTTGTCGATTCGATCATGGGAGGGACGGAGAATGGGCGGCAAGCTGAAACTGCGCGGATTGCATAGAACGGGTATTCTATTAATATTTCTTGGAATAATGGCGTTGGACGGCACTGAACATTACTGGCGGTTAACTTATTTTATGTTGCTACACAATATTGGGCCGCCTATTGTAGGGAATATATAGATGCCCGAGTCAATGGAGGCTGGTGAATAGCCTCAGACTGCGACAGACAGTCTCGAAATCGACTCTATACATTTGATTTAACTGAATACCGTGAATGACTACTATAATCAGCAAAATGAGATGCCTATGCCCAAAGTGTTCTGTTATCGATAGTCCGTCGCGTGTCCCGCATACCCGCCATCTCATAATTCCCATTCCTTCTGCACAACCAACCAGCCTTATGAATTTAGCCAACAGCACTCTTTGATCTCGATTCGCTGCAAGGAAAAATGTTTTACATCTGGTGCTGCACCAGAATATTATATCTGTGCTAGAGAACGACACACCTGAACGTAACCGGAGGTAAACAAACATTAAACGAAAACGACCGAGATGACCTCCCGCCCAACACAAGCGCAGCTCAACCTCGCTGCCCTCGCATCCCCTTCTCCCTCCCCGCAAACGATGCGGTCTCTGCGCAAAATACAGTCACACCATACCCTTTCATCGAATACGTCCTCCGATCTTCAATCCATAACTTCCGCCGCCAATACCGACGAGTCTTCTATAGCGACGCAACAACATCACCACCAGCAACAACACCAACGACAATTAGCATCCCCCGCTCGAATCCGGACGCATGGTCGTGGACGGTCGAACAGTGATACGGGCTCTCGGGAGGCGACACTTACTGTTCCGAAAAAAAGGCGACCGGCTAGGAAGACGGGGTCGGGGATCGGGGTGAAGAGGTCGCTCTTGGAGAGCTACCTTAGAGATGGGCCGCTGGATGGGAATCTTGCAGAGGGGATGCAGGAGTTGAGATATTTGGTTTTGTCTACGAGGGTAGAAGCTGATGTTGACGGCATGGTATGTTCTTATGTTCTCCACATGGTGAAAGTAATGGAACGCGGGCTGACTGACGGATAGTCAACATACCGGGTATACCTGTGGCTCGTTCTTCTCGATATTCCTCCTGCTCCAACAGATGAATACCTTTCTCTAATTCATCGTGGCCGTTCACCGGCATACACCAAAATCCGCAACGATACCTTCCGCACCCTAGCGACGGATCCCCTGTTCAAGCGGCGCGTGACGGAAGCAAGTTTGATCCGGTTGTTGAACGCGGTAGCTTGGAAACTCGAAGATGCAAAAGGCAACCGCCGTCGCAAGTCACGGCCTTCCTCTCGCAGACGGGAAATGGAATCACTAATCAAAACGCCGCCGCGCATCGCCGAAGAAGACGAAGACGAATTTGTTGTTGTTGATAATAATACCACCTTCACCACTCCTTTCACTTCTACTGCTACTACACCTAATGATAATAACGATAATTCCAACGCTCGCGGAAATGAAAGCGAATCCGCCATCTACGTCCAGGGCATGAACGTCCTCTGCGCTCCGTTCCTCTACGCCGCCCGCAGCGAAGTCGAGGCCTTTGCGCTTTTCCATCATTTTGTCACCCGCGAGTGCCCCGGGTACATTCGCAGCGCCATGGATGGTGTTCACAGGGGGTTGCGTCTCGTCGACCGGTGTCTGGAAGTCGTTGAGCCAAAATTGGCCGCCTATCTCTTCTCCAAGGGGATGCAAGCAGAGCTGTACGCGTTTCCGTCTGTTTTGACGCTGTGCGCGTGCACGCCTCCGTTACCCGAGGTGCTTCATTTGTGGGACTTTCTGTTTGCGTATGGACCGCATTTGAATATTCTGTGTATTGTTGCGCAATTGATTAGGATGAAGGATACGATTCTCGAGAGTCCGAGGTACGTCTACTCCCCGGATCAAAAAAACATGCTAACAAATTGAAAAGCCCAAATAAAATCCTACGCTCATTCCCACCCCTCGACGCCAAGGAAATCATCGCCTTGACCGTCCTGATTGTCCGCAAGATACCCAGTCCACTTTATGCGGAGTTGGTAAACCATGCCAAGTAGCTGCTTTGCCGCCTTATGATTATGATTTATGTTTTTTTTTTTTTTTTTTTTTTTTCTTTGCCTTTCCTTTCTTGACATTGCATTCATCCTGGCACATTTACATTTAGATTTACATTGGAGGCGTTATATTTGTTTTACTATTATACATGGCACGTGCGACGCGACGCTGTATACTGATTTGATTGATTGATGATGAGGAATGATTAATTGATGCTGATTGACTTGGAATTAGATGATATGACGAGTTTTATGTATTTAGACAATTGCATGGCTACTGAGTTGGGCGAATAGCAACGCATTCTATTAACCTGACCTATATCCTAACCTAGCCTAACCTAGCCTAACCTAACCAACCCATACCAATCCCAGTCCCTCCAAAGACGCTCTAATAAATGCAGAATAGCAGGTACTTCTTTTCGAGATATTTTTCGGCAAATTCATGAAAAAAGAAAGCAATCAATGAACAACACCAACCGCATTCCTCCCAACCCCAGACCCATTCACCACCAACGGCTGACACCTATCCACCGACTGTTGCGGAGCAGGTCCATCCTTCGACGCAGGTCTAGACCCGCCCGTAACACTATGCGCAGGACTAGTTCCGGCACTACTATGGCCACGATAAGAATAAGGACCAGGACTAGGGCTAGGGCTTGAAGCAGGTGTTGTCGAGCTTGTGCTTGCTGCGCTGGTTGCTTTTGTAGCCACAGTTGTGGCCTGGTTGTGGTTTGAGATCCGGTTTGGGCTGGGATTGGGGTTGGGGTTTCGATCTATGCAAACGCGGATTCTCTTTGAGCCCATGAACGCGGTGTTGTTGAATAATGTGACGGCGCGTTTGGCAGAGTCTGGCGTTGTGAATGTGATTCTGGCTGATTGTTGTTTGTGGCGGGTGTAGGCGGCAGTGGTTGTGGTTGTGTCGAACTGGCATTGTTCGATAGGGCCGGCCTCTTGAAAGAGAGAGACTAGGTTTGCTTGTGTGGTGTTTACGTTGAGGTTCTGGGCGAGGATTGTGCGGCGGGTGGGTTTTGTGTAGGAGTTGGTGATGTAGCTTGGGACGTTGGAAAGAGACTTCGCTGGGGGGTGTGCGGCTGGTTCGGGGATAGGCTGGAATTGATATGTCGGTGGAGGGACGGTGAAGGTATATAACGATGGTTCGCAGGCGACGGCTGGACCTGGACCTGGGGCTGTCGGTGGAGAAAGAGGATCTTGGAATATATGGATGAATGATGGCGGTGGCTGAGGGAGACCTATGATCGGTGCATACTCTGGGCTCTGGTATAAAGATCTATCTAATTAGCATTGATTTAGGTATGAAGGAGACCGTCACCTTACTCTGGAGAACCGGGGGCAGCCAGATTCTGGGTCACACGAGGTGGCGTCGAGTAGCCAGACATGTAACCAGAAGGAAACACACAAGCCGGACCTCTGGTGGGGCCTGCGATGGGACGAGTCGGGGAACAGGTTCTCGAGAGCGTGACGACTATACTCTGTCCTTCCCAGCCGTTAGCGGATAGTCGATCTATGGAGTATATCAGCGTTAGCGTCGTCCATCCATATACCAGCATCAGACAAAGTAAACGCACGATAAGTCCTCCACGCCTCCTCTTCATTCTTAACAATTATCTGTCCTAGCCCAGTAGGAAAACCATGACTGTCGTCGTAGACTACAGCCTGGCGGATATGAACGGCTGTTTGGCGGATGAGGTCTTTGAGTTCTTGCCAGCGGCAGTGAGCTGGGATCTTCTTTTATCAGCAAGGCTACCGGAGAAGCAGAATACAAGGCTAGCTCACCCCTTGAAGAAAGACTACGAATTCTTCGTCGGACCCACGAGGTCTCGGGCGTGATTTCTCGCGGGTAGGCATATTGCTGTAACGTAGGATATGCAGAAGGATAATGAAGAGCAAGAACAGGTTATGAGTTGAAAGGTGGTTATATGACCCAGTAATCCAAGAATACACCGTAGACTTATAACAGCAGACGTCAGCAATTGACTCAGTTGCAACCGCTGACAGCGATTGAAAAGGAACGCAGCAAAGTGAGAAAAAGAAATAACCCAGTTGCAAAACCCGGATCAAAAACAGCTGACGAATAAAGAGGCAGTGTCAGGTGCAATTGCATTGCGAATTCGATATCAGTCTGCGCTGCGGCTGGAAAATGGGCTTGCTGAGCTGAACATATTTATTAGTGTCCTGTAGCATATGGGAGGTAGGTAACACTCCCAGGATATATCATACGGCGATCCTGTGGGAGATAACAAATCATACAAAAGCAACGAATGGTTCCTGACCAGGGATCGATCGGATCTGTCCCAAGGATGAACTTATGTGGTTCAATTCTAGTGTTCCGTGCCATTGCTGCTTGTTGTGGTACAAGAAGGAATGACTGGGATGTTGGGATGCATGGTAGCCGTGATCTCTCACACCGCCAGATTTCCTCGTACAGAGTACAGAGTAGAATACATACATAGTAGTAATCGAGGGACAAAGCAGGTGAACCCCGTCGTGTAGGCATGGATGAATAATATTATTGATTATCGGGTATGAATCATATTGTTCTGAACAATGTGAATTGGATCTGTACCAACACGATCAGTCAGATGCATACTCCTGCCCAAGTACAGTAGTGAGCTAGTACTAGTATGCCTCTGCATTTATGCTTGTGTACAAGTACAGAATACTCTGTACTATACTGACATACTCAGCTGGATTCGGTTAATACTAGTCTATACTCCGAAGTTCACGACTCCATTATGCCAGTGATGCGAAGGAACAATAGCTCCACTGATCTCCGAGGGGGTCAGTGATCTCTCTTAATCAAATACCGGGGATAGTCTGTACTACAAGCACCACTAATAAAAAGGGGGAGGGGCATAGAGGGGTATTTGTATACAAGAAAAAGGCTTGTAGTCAACAGAGTAAGTAGCGAACTCCTTTCGACTACTCCGTACAAGAACCACTAGTGGACTTAAACTAGTGTTTCATCTTGACCCATCTGTCATTCAGAAACCACACGGTTCACTCTTGACTCCTATTCAATGACTCCGACTGATAGACAGACATCATGATCGACATGTCCGTCCGTCCGGCAGTGGACGACGGTTCATCCTTATCCACGGTTATGGAACAATAGTATCATAGTAGCTTGAGTATGAAGTAGTACTCTTAGAGTAGAGAAACAACGCTCACTGGGTATTCCGCTAGAAACGATCGCTAATAATCAAACACTGACTCGTACTCGGTACATGTCCAGTATGCAATGACAACGATTGAACAAATGGGTATATGTTGTTGAAAAAAAAAAAAGCAAAAGAAAAAAGATGCCAAAAAAAAATCCCATCGAGTCACCGGTTCCATCCACCACAAATTTCATAACATGTCCAAATTGACCGTGTCGAGTCGAGTAATTCCAGACACCGATCGTATAGCCAGTTTTCATATGTACCCTCCCGCAGTTGTAGTGTCGTGTAGTGTGGAACGCGCTGAGATCGATGCCCGAACGAAAAGAAACGTGAAAAATCTGTGCCCGCACAGATTGTTGTACCCAAAAAAGTCGTCGAGACTCGAGACAGATGAATGTAATAACCAGCAAAATCAAGTGTGCCAGTCGGTTTTGTGTGTTCATAACCATCCTCCCCTCACTCATTTTTATTGCCGAATTCCATCGTTTTTTAACGGGGATAGCCGACCATGGAGGCGCAACGACTGCAATAGTAGGAATTCATGCCGAATCGGACCACACCAGGTGTTTTTTCGTCTTTCTCCAGACTCATCGATCGCTGGCAACGCGAACAGCGCACAATGTCAAAATTCGATGCTGTGCCTGGGGCGGAGTTGCCTGTGGCGCCGGAGGGTTGGACTTGGACTGAAGGCGAACTCATGTTGTTTTGCTTTCGTATGTGTTTTTTCTTTTCTTTTCTTTTCTTTTCTTTTTTTTTTTTTTGGTATCAGAGTTGAGAATTGTAGTAATCTGTTCGAGTTTAAGGAAGGAAATGTGGCTGGGGCGCAGGTCGAGGTTTTGAAAGGTGTAGGTAATAAAAGGATTGATCGAGTTGGCTGGTTGTGTGTGTGTGTGTGTGTGTGTGTGTGTGGTCAGGATGAACGACTTGAAGGAATGAATGGGATAAAGACGAGAGAGGCGACGATATTTAATAAATAACACTGACAACCATCACAAGTGCCAAGGAGAAGGCAGAAAAAAAAAAAAAAAAGGGTTTGATTTCTTCAAATCTCCAGATCCGTAGGTCCACTTTGGGTCATGAAAAAAAAATTCACTACGGGGTTTAGCCCATGCAATAAACAAGACAGTAAACTTTGGAACTATAGGTTTCTGAATCAATTTCACCATCCCGATCTTCAGCACATAATAAACGTTTCCATGCCGTTTCACTCTCTGGCGAACTCCGGAGTACGGAGGACTCTCCCCTCATTCCTTTCAACCCCCCATTCTGGAGATCGAATCCGAGAATTCTGGCTGGTGAATCCTTCTAACTCCTCTTCTTTGCCCCGGGGGTCATGGCGTCATGGAAACTTATCGGTGGATCATCCTGTTTCCATGGACATGATACAGGAAAAAGAGATACTTTGTACGGAATAATTGTAACCATTCAAAAAAAAGGTATGCTCGCTCGCTGACAGTGACAATCTGCGGCTGTGCATTCCTGTTGCGAGGCTTTGGGGATCCACCTCCGGCGTTTCAGAATCTGACATTTTAGCAGATAGCCTGCCTTCTGAATGGAGTAGTATGGAGTAGGGGACAAGACACTGCTCGAGGTAGTGGAGAGTTAGTTAGTACTCGGTGTCTACCCCTATTTGACCCTGAATTCTTCTGGCAACTCCGTGCCAACTCGGGATAGCGAAGAGATAAGAGAAAAAAATTAAGGATATACACTGTAGAAGAATGCATAAGGGCAACTGGTAGGCATACCGCATTTGTCACAGCATGAGGCATTTACAACCACCGAGTTCCCGAGAAGGGCACTGCTGTACTCCGTATGACTCGGGATGCCATTTACTACGGAGTGCAGAATACAAGTACAATAATGACCGGGTACACCTGGCAATAATCCTGCCAGGTTGGCAGACAGCGGAAGACTCCGGATACTCGATCCATAACAGCCTAATTAGCGGCTGGCGGCATGCAAGCAGACCAAATGGTTAATGCGCATGCATCAGGACCGTTCATCATCATTCATGAGTGGATAATCCGACACGATCGCTCTCATGTAGCGTGCATGGGCTGACAGAGCTGTGGGTTCCTCACTGACATCATACAGGCGACTAAAGTGATTCCAAGCTCGTGTCATAATGAATCCATTACTGAAAGGGAAGTAGCATTCTCTGCCCATGTGAATCTGCCGGTTAATACCGCCTACTGTACCTAGATTAGATAGCCTTGCTAGCACTATCATCGCGTGTTTCGCTCCCGTAACTTATCACAGCCCAGAGGCGAGGGGATATTAACCCGGTCTGTGCCTCTGTCAATAATATTCCTTCGCTTCGTGCAGTGTCGATCCTCCGCGCTAAAGCTCAGGGGTATGTCCGTCCGTCCTGCTTGAGCTGAACTGTCGTTGCTGCCCTGGAGATGCCTCGATTGTGACGGTGCCCACAAGTTGCCTTGGCAAGGCCCTGACAATGTTTTGCCCATAAAACCAGGCAACTACCGGATGCCAACGGTCAGATGCGCTGGCTCGAGATCTGGCTAGAGGATGCCCAATTCACCACGGATACGGAGTACTCCGTACATCAGCGAGACTCGTCAAGTTCTCGAGCCTAACGGCATTCTCTATAAGATGCCCAATACTGTCGAACTGACTCGCTATCCTTGATCGACAACTGTTGGATTGAGATGAACTTTACAAGCCTTTGATTAGCCAGGGTTTCAGACCCTGTCTATGATGATGTCAATGCAGGTGCCAGCACTAAGCACATCATCTCCAGTCTCACCCTGCACAACAGTGAGATTAGTATACAACAATGTGTTAGGCGGGCAAGAGTTAAGCCACCATAATCACGGTCTATGCAATTCTCGGTTTAAGGCTTGGGTACCAGAGTTAATCACTACCTCACGACAGCTGGATCGGATTTCGCGGTTATTGATAAGCCGGACGATATGGATATATACTCCGTACTAATATCCTTTTTAATACAGGAGTGTTGACAACGAACACGAATGGGACAGCGATTCTATCAGAAACACCCAACTGATCAATTGCAATGGGGTCTCGACTACATCATTGTATATTGCTGTTCTCCCACCACTCGCATCTAATCGACTGTCAAACATGTGCAACAAGCTTTACTTTGCGGCAACACCAAAAAAAAAAAAAAAAAAAAAAAAAAAAAAAAAAAAAAAAAAAAAAAAAAAAAAAATTCACGTGGCTTGCACAGCAACAGGACTTCTCCGCAGTCTTTCAGGGACCGGATAGGAGCCTTCAGATAGGCTGTAAATTAATGACATTTTATCAGCGCATTGTAGGACTTGGCAAGCAGAGATGACCAGCGTAGTGGCCTAAGTGGTTATGGCTGGCGCCGGAAAATGACCTGGGAGTACCCTATCAAAAACTTAGATTCGTGCGATGTGAAATTTTGTATTATGTTTTACCATACGGTATAAGCATAGTGGGATTGAAGCTATTTACTTCATCCGGAAGAGAATGAATGGGCAACGACGTCATGGACGAGTAACCGCTTCACATCATATACAAAGGCAATTTTCCAGCACAGCAGAATACACAGAATTGCTCTACCTTTCTTATCAATTTGCTCCTTGCTTGAGTATAAGGAATATTTACCTATAACAGAACGGCCGTCTGAATATTAGTGTCGTGATCGAATCCGTCCTGCCCCGCCGACCCCGCCAAAACAGGTTGACCGATTCGACATCACTCCGGAACATCCCATTCCTTTTCTCTTCCTCTTCTTTTTCTTCGTCCTTCAAATTACCTATCTACCACGCCTAGCATTGGATCACTATATCCCTCACCATGGCTACTTCCTCTCCCGTCCTCTACAGCTTCCCCAACACCGATACTGTGGCCAAGCAATTGCGGCCCTATGTGCTCCGGGCTCAGAATTCTGCTATCAACCGTCACAATACCTTTCGCCTTGCCGTCTCCGGTGGCTCTCTGCCAGCCATCCTAGCTGAAGCCCTCTTGGCCCCCAGCAATGGCTCCCCTGAAGACACCCCGCAGTTCTCCAAGTGGGATATCTTCTTCGCCGACGAGCGCGCCGTGCCCCTCGACCACCCGGACAGCAACTACCGTCTCCTGAAAGATGAGCTTGTCAGCAAGATCCCCGCGGATTTGGGTACCCCCCACATCCACCCCATCGACGAGAAGCACGTCGGCGACGATGACCCGCAGGAGCTGGCCGACCTGTACCAGGAGGACCTGATGCGTTCTTTTGCCGCTAAGGACAGCGTCAAGTTGCCCGTTTTCGACCTCATCCTCCTGGGCTGTGGTCCCGACGGTCACACATGCAGTCTTTTCCCCGGTCATGAGCTGCTGCGCGAGAAGGACGCCTGGGTGGCGGCTGAGACTAACTCGCCCAAGCCCCCGCCGAAGCGCATTACCCTGACCCTTCCTGTTGTCACTCATGCATTCAACGTTGCCTTTGTTGCTACCGGTGCTGGAAAGAAGGATATTTTGAAGCAGATCTTCGATACTGAAGAGGGTCGTAGCCTGCCTTCGGCTCTGGTTAACCAGGGTGCTGGTGAGAAGGTCAGCTGGTTCACTGACCACCCAGCTGTGGAGGGTGTTGCATTCCCGCGGCGCGGGAGCCTCTAGCTTTGAATGATAAAATGGAGCCCATGTATCTATTAGTTATGATTTAAAAGAGAAAATGAAACTTTGCTATACTTCACTAGTTCCCAATACTTTTATCTAGAACTGGAATAATCTGCAGTTGCTCGAGCTTGCCTCGGATTTATCGCCGCCAAGCTTTGTTGATGATGCGGGATCTCACCGCATTCGACTACAACAACAAAGAACCCCTACCAACCAGCAGACATATCTGTACTCTGCACATTCCTAAAGTATATTTGCCTTTTTTTCTCGCATTGAATTGGAATCTGCAGATGCCTTGATTCATGCTATCATGCCCATTCCAACGCGCTCTGTTTCCCTACGAGAGCCCCGTCAGCAGGCAAGTCCTCCGCACTGTGCACACATCCCTGTCACTCCCCGGCTGTAACCTCCGAGGACGTTTTTCTATGCCATCGAGCTTTCGATTTGACAAATCTACTGACTTCAAATCGTCTCAGGGTAGTTCTAATGTATCCCACACGGCGACAAAGGCGCCAGCTTCCACCGCAGCGAACGAAAGTGCCTTGAACCGGAGAAAGTCGATGCTACTGCCACAGCGCCATAGTTCGGTCCGGGAGACAGCATCGTCGACTGCGAGAACGCAGGCGCAGGAGAGCAGATTACGGGTACCACAACGGGGAATTAACAATAAGCCTGCCACCGGTGCGGCAGCTACGGCTGCGACTGCTAGAGGTCCGACTACGACTATACATCGAAGGACGGCGTCGCAACAACAGCCACAACAACGACAACAGCAGGAAGATGCAAAACGCCCTACATCCCAGAACTCTACGGCAATCACTGCTACTAGTACAAGTAGTAGTAGTGGTGGTGCTGCCATCGCTCGTCGCCAGAGCCTGAGACCTAGTCCGCTGAAGACGGTCTCGAGGACGGTTTCCTCGGTGAGGCCTACTGCTTCTACCACCGCGACTACCCCTACATCTGCTACTGCCTCGGCAACGTCATCGGCTTCTCCACGAAAACAAGCAGAAGCTACGAGAAATGCACCGTCGATTTCCCCTACCAAGAAAACGAGCATGCCTCCGCCGCCTCTTCCCCGGCCTGCCCGATCGGCTTCCCTCAGACAACCAAGTACACCTCAGTCGAGCCCAGGCGTCCCAGCGACGGGTGCTAGGGGTCATACTAGAGTTCGCAGTCAGATAGTGACGCCGGCTACCACGCCGCGTTTGAAACCATCCTCCGCGACACCGCAGTCATCGCCGAGAAAGACGGTCAGGGGCTCGACTACAGTGACTCCTACGGCTTCTACTAATGCGGCTGCTAGTGCACTTGCTGCTATTACTGCAGAAGCAGATCCTTCGTTGATGCCTTCATCCTGGCCTGAGATTGCGGCGTTACAAACTGAAGTCTTACAGCTGTATCTCTTCCATTCGTCCTCGCTTCAGCAACATGCGGAATGGAAGGCTGTATCGGAAGCAAAGCTACGGAAGAAGTATGACTCGGTCGCGCAGAAGTACCGTTCGATTGTGGACGAGGAGAAACAGTGGCAGCGTCGTCTTAACGGACAAGCGCTAGATTTCTGGGTGCAGAACATCCAAGCACATAACAGTCATCTGGGATTCGCCGAACAGATCCAACTTCTTTCGCAAACCATGCAGGATGTGACTGAGCTGTCAGATGAAATCGGAGGAAGATACACGTTGGCTATCCAGACCTTCGAGCACTGGTTCCGAAAAGCAGACGAAATCAAAAAAATCCGCACTCAGCTCGACTCGGGAGCAGCCGATCTCGTGGTCTTTATTGATCCCCTCGATGGTGTTTGGAGGGACGAGGTCAACGACCTGGCAATGAAGCTCGAGCTCTGCTCGCGGCAGCTGCAGAGTCTTGATATTTTAGGCTATGGAAATACGGAGAAGCTAAACGATTCCGCTCTGCTTCGGATCGTACGAGGACTTGATGATATGACGAATTCCATGATGGATGAAATTCATGCGATGCGCAAGATTGAGCGCGATATTGTACAATCGGAGAGGGCGTGGGTGAGTCAGCTCACTGATCCTTTGGTCATGTCTGACAACCGGCCTCGCGAGGATCGGAATTTGAGAGTTGGAATGTGGAGAAGTGCCTTTGAATGATAGTTCTGCACAGCACACGATCCATGTGATGAAGATTTAATACATGTTCGCAAGATAACCACGATGGATTGAACGTCTGACTTCCTGGGCGTCAAGAAGACGCTCACGATTGCCCTGTCAGTCGGTCATGTGCTGGCCCGAACCGGTTCCTTTTGCCTGAGTTTCTGTTCTAGACTATCGTTATCCGACTTGCCAAATAAACCGGTTTTCGGCAACCGAGTCTCCCCCAGTTGGGACAGCGATGCATCCGCCGTTGGTCAAGTGATAGTTCCCGGGCCTAGATGGTTACATCTATTGTGTACAGAGAACAGAGGGCAATGTACTGGGGATCGGGAATACTCCGTATTGCTTGAATGGCGATGGTATTGTCATCATCCCCACGCTTACATGCACGGTTGTGGGAAGAGCGATTTGGAAGGTGTTATATGTATACGGATACGACAGAAGTACTTGAATGACTGAATGAATAATAGCTGGTCTTACTACCACTATCTTTAAATCCTCTGCGTATGCTCAAATTCCTACTTCTGCTAGTTAACTATGCTATATCAAGTTTAGTCAGCAAAATCCCCGGCGTGGCGTCATAGCGAGGCCATCTTGTGAAGACTGCAATGAACGTTCTTCTATGCGGAATACAGAATACTGCGTGGAATCAAGACATGAGAACACAATAACTCGGATAATCCAGTCCTGTGGGCTGTTTTGGCGCTTTTATCCTAACTTGCGGCGGCTCTGGATCCGGTGGAGCTAGACTCCGGCCACTGCTGCTGCTCTCCGGAGGTCTTATACTCCATCTTCTCGCATCTTCTCTCTCTCTTCTCTTACTGATTTTTGCTCTAACGGTTCATTTACTAGTGATATATATACGGTGTATTTTGTTTCTCTCGACAGGCCGCGGTTGGACACTCCTTTGTCGCGAAAATTCGACGGACTACAGTGCAGCTCGGAGCTGCTTTTCTATACCCCTCACTCATATACACGCTCTCTCCGACTGTCGTTTCGCTGCCCGCGATAATAGCGAAAGTAAGCCATGACTGTGTTTCTACTCTAATATTGCTTGATTGTCTTCTCTTATCTTGAATCTCTTAATTGACGTCAGCTATACCGGTCAGTTTCGCTACGTACAACGCCATGATTGGAACTCGACATTGATTCCTACGGCTTGAACTTTGAAATCCGACAAGATCGATTAGCGAATATACCTGCGCCTGAAACCTCCTCCCTATCTGTTTGCAATAATGAAAGATTCGCTGTACGATCGTCTTTGGCGCCGCGAGTCCGGCGAGAAATCGCGGTATGCGAGCCTTAGCGGCATTTACGGATCGAAGGAATGGGTAAACGATCTGGATATTGTTAATGAACTGGGTGGGCATACGGGGTGTGTAAATGCGTTATGGTGGGTTTTATCTATTCTTCAGACGAAGGCATTAGAGAATGGCGCCTGACGGATATAGTTGGTCTGGCTCTGGCCGTCTACTGGCATCAGGCTCGGACGATAAGCATGTCAACCTCTATTCCTACCAGCCAGACTCCTCGACCGCGCCGTTTGCCCTTAATACGACTATAATGACCGGACATCGGGCCAATATTTTCTCTGTCAAGTTCATGCCGCACTCCAACGACCGAACACTGGTGACGTGTGCGGGGGATTCTCAGGTGCGTGTCTTTGACATCGAATATTCGAACAGCAGCAGTAATGCTGCCGCCGCATCGGTGTTTAACACATCTGCACGAAGTCGTCGGTTCGATAACTTCTTCGACGGTACACGTTATCTGAGCGAGAGCAATACCAATGCGAGGGTCTACCGCAGCCATGCAGATCGTGCCAAGCGCATTGTCACCGAATCGTCACCTTATCTGTTCCTTACCTGCTCCGAGGACGGGGAGGTGCGCCAGTGGGATCTACGACAGCCGTCATCGGCATACCCGGAGCCGCGGGGTGGCCAGGGACCCATGGCGTACCGACCGGGGCCTGTTCACGATGATGGGAATGTTCCTCCGCCGTTGATCTCCTACAAGCGGTACCAACTGGACCTAAACACCATCTCCTGTTCCTCTAGCCAACCGCATTACATTGCCCTGGGTGGCGCCCACCTCCACTGCTTCCTTCATGATAGACGTATGCTGGGACGCGACCTCCAGACCGAGAGAGGAGACCCTGGAAGCTCTTCCCCAGCAAGTGATAGTAGTAGTCGTGACGACGAAATGATGGGGCAAGCGACCAGATGCGTTCGACGGTTCGCGCCCAATGGCAAGAAAAGAATGCGGGCCCGTGATAATGGCCATATCACAGACTGTAAAATCAGCAACGCCAACCCGAACGAGATGATTGTTAGCTGGTCCGGCGACCACATTTACAGCTTTGACCTAATTCGGAGCCCTGATGCCAGAGATCCCCAATCTACCCGAGAAAATCCCATAACCGGATCACCCCGTCCACGTAAGCGGAAAAGCTCCAAGGCTAAGAAGCGTAAGCGCCGCCAAGAGCAAGAAGAGGAAGCCTCGTTTTCGTCACAAGCCAGTGGTAATCGGCACGAGTCTCGTCGTCGCTCCCAGGAGAATGAGGATGGCGGCGACCTCGCGTTCAGAGTCCGGTACGGCAATGGGGAGTCGGAGGACATTCCTTTACCAACGCTATCTGAGACGTTCTTCGATGCGCCGGAGGAGGTGATTGAGCGGGCTCGCAATGCGGTACTCACTGATACCCAGCGGCTGAGCGTGCGTATTGCAAAGCGTCTGGTTATGCTCCGAAAGGCTCTCTTCTCATTGGAATCTGCTTTGCATGAATCTAGTAATGTGTCATTATCGGATGAGGCAGAATCAGTACCCACGCATCGGTTCTTTAAGTCCTCACTCGCGCACGCCTCATACTGTCTCAACCAGATGAACGAGGTGATGGTCTCATGGTCATACCCTCTCAACCCAACGCCTGACATGGTGAATTTTCAGCAAACGCTTCGCCGGAATCGGGAGGCTTCCTGGCGACTCGTTCAAGCCGCAGGAACAATGCTCCGTGTCTTGGGAAGCGTAGCTGAGAGTTCATCAGAAGTGGTAGAGGGAAGACCGGGCATTGTTGACGTTAACTTGTTCCGGCAGGTAAGACCGTCTCCTGGGGAAAGCACTCTTGACCCACCGGTCCAATTTGGATTTGACTTTCTCAAGGCTATTCTGCTTTGGGTGGAAGGCGGAAGAGCTGCTCTTTTGTCTGGATTTAAGCGCGATCCTGCACAGAGACGTAATCAGTCTCGATTCCCGATTCCGGAGGGTGCTGGGGATGAAGCGATTGAGACGGTTTTGATTCCATATCTGCAGGGACTTGCTGGTGACACGCCTATTGTTAATGTGGACGCCTCCCGATTCGAGCATGACAGTACGAGGGTATTGTTCCCGACACAATATGCGGCGTTGACAGCATTTGCAAATGCCATAAGGATACCTTTGGAGAACCTCAATAATGCCGCAGCCCGTGTCGATGGCCATTACGAGGAGTCCACTGGATCTCCACAAGTCCAGGCCCTTGATCGAGGTGCAGCAAAACGTTTCTGGGTCCTCAAAGCAGGCCGCGGAATTCTAATGGAGACAGCCTCCGGCGTGAATTTCGAATACTGCAAGTGGGCTTTTGGCGGTTTGCGCACGACTACTGTTGAAGACGATGAGAGCGATGAGGCTGAGGATATTGAATTGGGCCAGGAGAGGTCACAGGAGGATATTGACCCTAATGAAGAGGAACCGATTCGGGATATCAATCTCGTTAGACGGGGCTCAGGTTCGTCTGGGCCCGGGAGGTATGATGGAAGTGACACTGCCGCGAGTGATATATCGGCGTTGAGCCTTTTCGAGAGAATGGAGCGTAGGTTCCCAGGCGGCCAGAATGATGATGAGACTCTTGACGATGCTGGGGATGATGGCGATATTGAAATCGACGGCATCGACGACCTGGCTAGTACTAGCGGCAATAGCAGTGATGCCAGTGATGATGACGACGACGATGAGGACGATGAGGAGGATGATAGCGTTGCAGATGAAGACGAAGAAGACGTTGAAATTGCAGACCTCCTATCCGGAACGAATGGGTTTCCACGAGCACGACGGGAGTATGTCGAAATCGACGCCCCCTGCGATACGCATACTAGGGTTTATCGCGGACACTGCAATATCAAGACCGTCAAGGACGTCGGTTTCTTTGGCCTGAATGACGAATATGTCGTGAGTGGTAGCGACTCGGGCCATGTGTTCATCTGGGATCGACAATCGAGTGATCTGGTTAATATCCTCGAAGGGGATAGTGAGGTTGTCAATGTTGTACAGGGTATTTCCCTCCTCCCTACGCATATATATTGAGTAGTACTGACGATGATAGGCCACCCCTACGAACCAACCATCGCCGCCGCCGGAATTGACAGCACCGTCAAGGTCTTCTCTCCAGACCGCAAAGCGCAAGACGATGCCCGTCGCGGTATCAAAATCCTCAACCCCGACCATCCTGTTAACGCGCTTGGCGACGACTCGAATATCTGTGGCCTCTCGAGTTGTCGGCGTATGCATGATAGTTATCGGATCATGAGCCAGAATGATGTCGATCGGCAGGGTGGGATGAGTGATGCTTATGTTACAGTATGTTTGCTTCCCTTGCCCAGAGACAGAGATGCGGGTGGGTGCTAACTAGGTGATAGAGGAGTATGTTGGCAAGACTTGCTACGAATTTGAGACATAGACAGCTCCAGGGCGATGGTGAGGGAACGACGCTTGTCGTTGATCCTAATTGCGCTGTAAGTTCTTTTCTGTTTTGCGTCTTGAATACAGGCTGATGTCGTTACTATAGATGATGTGATGTCGACTGCACTAGCTTGGCATACTCGATTATCCCATCATATTTTTGTCGATGTTGGCATTCTTTTCGTTGTTCATTCTTGAAAGGGAAAGGCATACCAAGGGCATAAATTACTTCAACATATGAGCGCTTGATAGTTACATATGGTGTTATTTAATTAATACATTAGAGATAGAATGAATTGGACTCCTATTTATAGGGATATCACTTCACGTGAAAAATGACCATATTCGCCAAATAGATTCCGGTTCGGACTCCTATTCAAGACTTAGCACTCAAAGAATTTCAACCACATAATCGCATGCGGAAGCTGCAATCGCGACATATCCTCTCATCAATTCCGCTGCAAAGACCTTCAGCTCTTCAGCAAAGGAGTCCTCTTCTGCTTGAGGCGCAATCTCTGCCAGAAGTTACTCCAAAGCCCACATATCATTGAACATTCGTCTATCGAATGGAAGCTCAAGTGGTGCTATCTCCCTTTTGGTCTACGGTGAGCGCTATTCATACGTTACGACCCCGATACCGTTGATATCATTCAGCACTGCGTTTCCCCGGGCATTTATAATAATGTATGACGGTTGATGTCCATGTGCGTCTTTTTGACTTCATGTAAGGAGCGCAATGCAATTGCAATTTGAAGGCCACTTCTTATAGGAGTATTCAATCATGCGGTTCTCGTTGAGGATTTGTTCAAGTAAGCCGCCGCTGTAGTATTCGGTCAGAATGCCAGTGACCACCAGTAGTTGGTCACTGGTAAATGATGCTTGATAAGATTAGTAGAAACGGCGATTCCAGCTGCTTGCATAATATGCGGTGTCTTCGGGAAATATCAAGGTTTTCCAGTTCCCCGCGGATGACTTCTGTATCGTGGGGATAATAGATTATTCACTAACGGTTTTGAGGACACAGCTTTCTATTTCCGTCACTGCTATGAGTGACCGAAACGTTATCTGTGATATCTTTCTCGTGTAAAAGCTCATTCATGCCAAAAGCCTGGAAATGCGGGTACTCAGTAACAAATGGATAGGTAACTCGCAAAGGATCCTCTTGGATTTTACGTCAGGTTCGGGGCCAGTTTTGCGAATCGGTTCTAACCTTCCACCTCGTCCTTCATCGTGATATCACAAACCCTCTCGGCTTCTGATGCCTCTTCTAGGATTACCTCCGCCATGGTATCATCCAGAAGCGAGAGATTGGTAGAGTGGATGCCCCTGATGAACTCCTGGTATTACTGGGGTCTTCCACGTTTTGCTTTACTCCACCTTCGCAGTCAATGCGCAGGACAATACCGATAAAGGTCACTTTGTCCACCATTTTTGAGTATTTGAATGACAAGCGAGAATCTGGTAGCGAGCGTTGGGCTCTGGAGCGCCTATTATGAGGTGGTCTTGGTTTTCGATGTAGCGTTTCAACTCGATATAGGGGTATGGTGCGATACAGAAAGGGGGGGTGAAAACGTGCCTGAACTTGATTTTTGATATCTAGATAGGCCACATAGGAGGATACAGCATGAATAGTATCGCGACTGAAAAGAAGAAAGGCCGTGTATTCTAGCAAACGACAATAGCACGTGACTTCACACAAACGTTCACGTGATTTTTTTTTGGGGGGGGTTTGCGGAAGTAGATGTTGGAGTACCGGTAGCTCGGTCAATTTGTTGTTCTAATTCGTTGCAATTCATTGAGAGACGATCATATCGAATACAGCAGAGATATCTTGCATCTTTGCATCTCACCCTCGTTCCCTTGGCGCTTCCGATTGGATGTCTAATCTAGGGAATATCAAATTCTAACCCTCATCCCACTTTCTTGTACAGTCCCACTTCACCATTTCACCTTGCCTCCTTTCTTCATTCCGTACCCTAAATCATACTCTGCAAAGTCAAAATGGACATCCTTCAAAACCACTCAGAAAAAACATCCCAACTCTACGCAGACCCGCACAATCCCCATCGCCACCTCTCCCGCGGCCTGGTCAACCACCAGCTCGGATTCTCCGATCTAGCTGCCGCAGATGCGTACCGTGCACTGTCGCTGCTAGAATCAGTGGTTGATCCGGATGGGTGTGAATTTCACGCCAGACGTATTGGCGTTGATGCATCTCAAACTGAGAAACAGGATTATGAAAATGATGGGGACGATGACGGCGAACCGATAACGCAGGAAGAGTACGACCAGATTATCGGAGATGTGTATGCCTTGCTTGTGCTCAGTTTGGTAAATGTTAGGTGTTTTCGGGATGCGTTTGATTTCTGCAAGAGAGGGTTGGAGGAGTTGCGAGCTAAGTCTGATGACAAGAATGTTAAGGTGCTCGAGGAGCAGATGGGGGTTATGAGAAAGGTGTATGTTGAGCGGACTAAGCGCGACGATGTTGAGATCGATGCAAGTGCTTTGCCTGCTCAAGGGTATGCCAGACGGGTGCTGTACCCGTGGAACAAGCATGAGCCAGATCGCAAGGCACCCGAGGAGTTGAACCTGCTTAATGAGCGGTTGAAAGACGTCGCGCCAAAATGTGAAGTGCGTGCTGTCGCACTGCCCGTTCTGCACGCCGACAAGCAAAACCCCGAAGACAAACCCGAAGAAGAAGAGGGAATCTCAATTCAACTAGGCCTCTTCGCCAAAGAAGACATTCCAGCCGGCGACATCATCCTCCGTGAATCCTCAATGCTAACAGCCACCAATCGCCTCCACGACGACCTCTGTGACGCCTGCAACGCACCCCTCCCCTCTCTCGAATCCACATCTACAGATTCAGGACCAGTCCCCTGCACAGGCTGCGACGACACAGACACCATCTTTTGCAGCCAAACCTGCCACGACCAGGCACAGGAAACCTACCATGGTGCTGTCTGCGGCCTCCTTGAAGGCCTCGAGTCCATCGGAAAGGATATCCCCGATCCAAAGGACAAAGCAGACTACCTCTACCTTCTCCTTCTGGGCCGCGCAGTTGCCATGGCCGCCACGCAGGAGAAACACCCCCTCGACCTCCCGGAAGTCAAGTACATTTGGGGTGACTTCCACGATTACAACCCAAACAACCCGACTCAAGTCAGCGACGAGGAGAAGAGTCTCCCCTTCTCCTTCCACCTCAACATCCTGCAACCAATGCGCATCATCGAGGAAATGACACTGGACCCCTACACTACCCTCCCAACATACGATACTTGGGTTCTGAACACGCTCTACGCTAAATTCCGGGGTACCGCGTCGGGGAGGTTATCGACCTGGGACGGCGGGCCGGAGCTATGCGCTGTGCATCCGCTGTGGTGTCTGGCGAATCACTCGTGTGATCCGAATGTGCGGTGGGAGTGGGGTGGGGAGATTACGTTTAGTGTGAGGGGCGTTGGGGAGAGGGCTGTTTGGAAGCCTGCTAAGCCGAAGACGGAGACTGGGGTTGGGGTGGGGGGGTTCGATGGGATTAGGAAGGATCAGGAGATTTTGAATCATTATTGTGATATTGGGTTGGGTGTTAAGGAGAGGAGGGAGTGGGCGAGCGGTGCCCTTGGTGGGTTGTGTTTGTGTTCGAGGTGTATGTGGGAGGCAGGCCCTTGAGGACAGAGTATAGAGTGCAGTACGGAGTACAACGTGTATATACGGAGTATGGGCTAGAGGTAGTGATACCCAGTTGATGAAGATTTACGAAAAGCAAACGTGGTATTATCGTTACAACCCAGTATAACAGATACATTCAATCTTCATAAATGCACCTCAAGCTATTAAACTACCTATCATCCATGCAGATCCTGCTTTTTAACCCCTAGACTAAAAGTGATCACTGGCGCGACCTCTTCCCTCTCGCCGAGGTGGACTCCCCGAAGGCGACCTGCGACTCCGACGAGGCGGTGGCGAGCGAGACCGTGACACTGAATCCGAATACCTCCTTCGGCGCGGTGGTGGACTAGGTGAGCGAGAATCATCGCGAACACCTCCACCACGACGTGGCGGTGACCGTGATACACTGTCTGAGTAGCGTCTGCTTTTAGGCGCCGCAGCTCCACGTCGAGGCGGTGTGGCAGACCGCGATAACGAGCGAGAGTAACTCCGCTTTCGAGGTGGGGTGACTGATCGAGACGGCGAGCGTTTCCGTGAGCGGTAGGGACTTGGGCTTCGCGAGTCCCGCGAGTCGTAGGAGCGGGCTCGGCCTCGTCGGGATGATGTCCGCGATACGGACCGGCTTGGGGATCGACTGTGGGAAATGGAGCGACGGCGAGATCTTGCTGGAGGAGTGCGAGAGCGGGAGCGGGAACGGGAAGGGGTGTAACTGTAGCTTCGTCCCCGAGACGACCGGGACAGAGACCGTGTGTAGGACCGTCCACGACCACGACTTGGCGATCGGGAGTACGAGTAGGATCTCGACCTGGACGGGGAGCGAGAGTGGCGGGGACCTGTGCAGGTCGAGCAAGATGAACGACTGCTGACCGACTCCGAGTCCGAATCTGCATCCCTGGTCGGCGGCAGTGCGGGCGGCTCCGGTTTGGGCAGGTTCTTGAGGTGTTCACGCATATCCTCCGTTAAAATACCAAAGCCGACACTGGTGAAATAGTTGATGGAGAAACGCGTGTTCCGTGGGTTGTCCATAGGGAAGAGTCCTTCGAAACTGGGTCGAAGGATCTCATCCGTCATCTGCGCTCGCAACTTGGGCAGCCCAAGATGCTCTCCGAGATTCTGGAAGAGTATTTTGATAAAGATACGACTGCTCGATGTCGTCTCCTCCTCATTCATATGGATGATAGACATCACATGCCAGCCAATCGCATCAGTGCTGAGCATGTGGCCAAAGAAGCAGGCAATGTTGCGAAGCCGGTTCGTCTCGTACCGATGGATTGTGTCGTAATATTTGGCGAACGCAGCCTCAAACAAGTCCGACCAGAGACGATTGATCTTGGCAAATCGCTCTCCAATTAACCCGTAGAACTTCGAGTATGTGCGCTCTTGCGAGCAACACTCGATGATCATGGATGGAAGCTCTGGCTCCAAACCAGGTGGTAGCGAGACCTTCATCAGCTTGTGACAGCATTCTTCAAAGTCAATGCTCGACATGATTGTCAAGTAAATGGTCCGTCGAAGGTTGACGAGATCTGTGTTGCTTTGATCCTTGATATCCATCTTCTTTTCCTCGTCCTCGTCCTCATCCGAGCTCACGTCCGATTCATCCCCATCATCTTCATCCTCGCTACCTTCTCCTAAGATCTCTGCTTTCAACCGCGCGTACGCCTCTTGGTGTTCTTCCCATTGCTCATCGTATTTGAAGATGTTGAGCCCATCTTGTGTTTCAATCTCATCGTCCAGACCGATGCGATGGGTAATTTGATCCTCCTCTTCAACTAGATCCAATTCCTCTCTTACCGCTGGGTTATCCTTGTACCTGTCCTTGCGCACTTGAAACAGAACTTCGATCATATACTGTACACGCTTGTCGATGTCGGCCTCGTGCAAGATGTTACGGAACTGATCGAATACCGCTAGCGCAATAGGCCCGCTCATCTCTTCCAAATGCTGCCCAACCTCTCGTGTAAGACCGACGGCAATTTCAACGCTATCGTCCGTTGGCTTATGAAGGAGGAGGAGGAGGATCTGGGCGGCTGTCATCTCATGGACGACCTGCTGATTGCAAAGGTGTGCGATAAAGGTGGTGGAGGAAATACAGACGGCTTTGTCGTTCCGCTTGAATGCTTTCCGAAATTGGACAATCAATCGGGAGAGGAGCAGTTCGCCAACTTGAGGCAATTTGGTGTTGACAATGGCGGCCATCGTAGCGTAGATCGGAGTGAATGGCAAACTGGCAGCCTGAGCCTTCATGATACTCCGGCAAAACAAACCACGTCCGCGGACCAAGTTCTCACCAAAAAGTTCTGGAACAATGAACTTGATATTCGACACGTTCACCTTATTGATAAGACCATTGATCGATTTCTTCAAGGCTTCCCACGCCATCCGCTGATACTCTTTGCTGGACTTGTCCGTGATCTGTGACTGCAGGGCGCGCAATCGGGCGGGAGGAATATATGTACCACCAGAGCGCATATTCAACAATTTCTCGTATTCTGCCTTGGCTGATGCTTGCTTCTCTTCGTCCGTCATGGGTTTTCGCGCGGCTTCTTTCTTCTCGTGTTCGCGAACCCGCTCGGCGAGCTGGCGTTCTCTTTCCCGTGCACGCTCATCGTCGAGGTGAGGTGCGTCCCCATCCTGCTTCAACGAATCACCCGGAGCCGAACGGCGACGATTCGGAGACGGAGAACGAGAGGGAGGAGACCGTTTGCGAGAAGCTTGAGGTTGCAACTCGCCTGGAGGAGGCGTTGGCACTCGTACGGCGGATTGCAACACCACAGGATCCGTCATATTCCCGAGACTGGCCAAAAAAGATCTTTTCGAATTCAGATCTTTTGCGCTAAAGTCTCCCAGAGTCGAGTGCGCGAAGGCAGGACGACTAATTCTTTTGAACGTTGAAGCTCCGGATAAGAATGAAGCGGCGAAGGGAGATGGCAAGCTCTTTAGCGCGATAAATCACGTGATAAATTAGAGGCCAAGGTGGACGGCGGCTCCTGAACTAAATGACCAACTGCGACTCCCGCACGGAATTCCTGCGCATCAGGAGCACATCGTTTTCCCTTTTCTTTAGAGTCACTATGGTGAGTCTGCAGTGGATTTGTTTCTGTCTACCAATGGACCACGACTGACTCTATTTTGTTCTAGTTGGGCCCAATCGTGGGATCCGTCATGCTTTTGGTCGCTACCGCGATCTTTCTATACTACACGGCATGGACTCTCCTTATGGTATTACTCCCTCTTCAGTTACCATCCCTGCAATTGCGCTTACTGACAACTGTCAGCCCTTCGTCGACCCAGGCCATCCTCTCCATGACTTCTTCCCTCCCCGGGTCTGGGCGATCCGCATCCCCGTTTTCCTCACTCTACTGGGTTCGGCCGTGGTTGGTACATTTATTGGAATCGTGATGATCAGTAGCAACAAGAAGAAGGCTGCGAAGGCAAAGGCAGCGGCGGCGAAAAAGAAGACCTAAAGGGTTCAGCAGCAGGTTGCATGGGAGAGATTATGTCGGATATACCCCCTTGTGCAGGGAGCTGATTTGAAAACCACAAAAAGGACCGATGTTCTGGTCCATGTAATGTGTATTAGTACGGATTACCAAGTGTTGTTTTTTGTTTTTATGGATGTCGGCGTCTGTTTTGCTTTTCTTTGTTTTCCTTCTCCCTTGTTTGAGACCAGGAACCCAGAATAGACATTGGCTGTCTCAAGGTGAGGCGGATGATCAATGACGATAGCATCGCAACGTGTGTCCAGTTGTAACACGTTGAAATCAATAATGTGCTATGTAGGTACAAATGAAATGATCAGATCATCGGCGTCATCTTCCAGTCACTGCCGTACTCGTAGTTATGTGTATTACCCGGGAAAGCCTTACATGATGGCAGGACAGACCCCGTGGACACAGCATAAGTCGTCGAGTGGCTGACCTGACCGATGCTTACAGAGTAGGATACTTTTATCGTCATCGCCATGCCTTCTTTCTCCTTCTCTCTCTCAGCTGTACCTATCAGAATGAGAAAAACCACCGAGTCCCGGACTCCCGTGGTTGAACGGGCCCTCTTAGTTCCTGGGTTGTGTCCCCAACGGTCCTTTTGACGGAGTAAAATTAATTTGCACTGTTTGTCTTGGGAGTCACGCGGAATGCGGTCATTGTAATTCCACTATTCTTTTTTTGGAATAATTCCATACAGCATCATCATGCTGATACGGCTTCTTTACCAGCCATGTCTCATACCAGATCAGTCATGTGACCGATAGCGTCTTTTTGCCATGATGTGCCGTGACCGTATTGTGACAATAATACCACCACCCCCACTCCGCCCTGATAGTGAGCTGATAGTCGCAGAGCTTCAGTATGCGGTAAACTGGATGTATGGAGTACATACTCTGCATTGGCCACGGTTTTGCTGATAGGACCTTGTCTAGGCATGCGGATGGTCCAGATGGTTGGAGATTCTTGTTGCACTCTAGTTTTGTATGTAGGTTGTAGTCTGAGGGTCAGGAGCAGCAGAAGAATGGCTGACCACTTCTGACTCCTCCAAGTTCCCCTCCTCCCCTCTCGGTCTCTCTCTCCCCTCTTCCTTCTTCCTTCTTCCTTCTTCTCTCTTTCTTCCCTCTATTCTACTGTAAACACTATTGCCAACTATACTTGATCATACTCTGCTTTTGACTCATTCTACTGCTTGGATATATCTATCCTACTCGTCTTGCTTCTTCGATTTGGACAGCTGTTACTCCCGAGTTGTCCCGATTTGGCGTATCTAGAGAGTGACTACTCCGGATACGCTTGCTTGCTCGTTCAGTTGCTTTAGACTGAACTCACGTCATTTTCTCTCTCCAAACTATCCCAACATCTACTAAATACCACCTGGTAGGTATAAATCTGAGGCTATACTCGAGCACCAAGCTGATATGCCACTGTTATCTACAAGTAACAGATACGTTGTTGATAAGGAACGCGTCGATTCACGGTTAATCCTCCTCTCGTCGAAGTTGCCTACACACCCGTTCTCAGACCTCAAAAGGGTCTTGAGAGCGGCTTCTTCGCTACTGAACCCATCTTGCCTCATTTGAGGCACCTTCCACTTGAATGCCACCGGCCGGATCGGACGATTTGTTTCAGCATAGCCGGTCATTAGGTGACAACATTCCGTTCCCTCAGGATCCGAGTCGACCGTCACCAGAGCATGAACCTAGCGGAAAGAACAAGAAAAAAGGGAAGAACGGCTCCAAGGGGAAGGACAAAACGGCCAAGGCTGCCACGAAGACGCCAACTCCGGCTGAAGATCTGTATGTTTTGAGTGTTTATCCGCCATCCCGGGGATCTCCGCTGCAGGGATTCCCCATGTTCATTGGTGGCAGATCACTGACGTCGACTCTCTCATGCACAGAATCGATCCCTCGCCGCCTCTGCAGACCGAACCGTCGTCGTGTCCAAATCCCTCGCTCAATCACCATGCTGAAAACCACATCGTGTCGCCGGTTCTAGATGCGCTCGGCTCCCTTGCAGAGACCCCCGATAACGACATTGCTTATCGTACGGGTACATGGGCCAAGTCCATCCCCTTTGGGAAGAGCCCGCCAACTGATATCACTGATGGGGAGTTTGCCAGTGGCTCGCCACTGAGCTTTCCTACCAATGCAGAGAGAGGTGGATTTAGCAACCCTTCTTCGACATCCCCGCCTCCACGAAGGAGACCATTGAGTTACAACACCGGATATCTGAGTAGCAACAGTAACGTATCGCGGCAGCAATCTACAGACAGGCAAAAGAGCCACTCTGTTAGCACACCCTATAATGGCCAGGTTCCACCGCCTCACCTGCCACAGGCCCATTTCTATGGCGCTCCCGATGTGGATCTTCCCTTGTTCTCAGGCCAAAGCCGGGCCTCTACAGACGGAAGCTACTCTTTCTATGCCTTCGACTCGATCCCTAGCCCGTCTTACAAGACATCGCGGATGGGAGGCAGTGTTTTGCTAGCCGGTACCGATGGAGCATTGGAAGTCCTTGCTATGGAGGATCGCAAGACTCGCCTTATCGGAAAACTTTCCGGTCTCAATGGTCGGGTAATTGGAGCAAAAGTGCTGACAGCCAACTTGTCCCATGACCCTTTCTTGTCCACCCGACCTCACGTGGCGGTCATACTCCATGGACCATGTGTCCCGAACGATGATGAAGGCCATGCTTCCTCTGCTGCATCCGAGGTGAACGATGGTTCCTCTGTAGCCGCAAAGCGATCAAACAAAGAGGATACCAAGTATTACCAGACAAGGGTCGAGATCTATTCGCTCAGGACCGGAGAGCATATTACGACACTCTTCACAACCAAGCCTGTTCCCTACCTGGAAAACATCCCTGGCATGCCTACTTTCGCACCGGGGCCCGTCGGTAATCTCAGGCTCCATACAAGTGGTAACCTTGTGGTCCTCGCCTCAGGTGTTAGTGGGGAGGTGTACATCTATGGCATCAACCCCTCATCAGACTCTGGTGGCTATCAATGTTATGGCAAAACATGGACCACTGTTCAAACCAAAGGAGCCCGACGCTACTCCACATCATCGAGCTCAACTGACCCAGACGGTTCTCGGAATGACTCGCCCAGCTACGCGAATTCAGAGAGTCCCATTCTTGCTCTGAAGGGAAGGTGGTTGGCGATCGTCCCACCGTCGTCGACTCATATGTCTCCACTGCATGGGTCTGTTCCTCCGTCTTTGATCCAAGGAAAGGTCTTCGGACTTGAAACGCGCAGCCCGCCGTCGAGGCCGACGGTTAACTGTGCTACTGATGTCGGTGAGGGCGAAAGTCTTTTTGATAAGGTGGCCAGGGGTGTCGCACAAGAGCTCGTAAGGGGCGCTCGCTGGATGGGTGATCAGGGGATGCAGGCATGGAATAATTACTGGAACAAAGAGCAGTCGCAGAACCAATCTGGTCGCCGCCCTGCAAATGCAGTGGATGGTCCTCAACAGGGCTACAATGCCTTCCCTCCCACACATGCTCAGGACACGCAGACCGCTTCTCCCACCGAACCAGACCTTGTGTCCATAATTGACATCAAACGATTAGAAGATGGTGGCGATAACAAGAGCGCCTTTTTCAACCCGGTCGCGACATTCCAGGTGCCAAATGGTTGTAGCTTCCTTTCATTCTCGCCCAACGGTCTTATGCTCTTCACTGCAAGCAAGAAAGGTGACGTGCAATATGTCTGGGATCTGTTGCAAACCAAGTACTGCCGGGCAGGGGCTTTCCTTACGGAAGACTCGACAGTTCCTTGTGCAAATGTCCGACAGATCGCCAGATATACACGATTGACAACATCTCGTATCGTTGACGTGATCTGGACGGCCCCTACAGGCGATCGACTGGCAATCATCACCCGCAAGGGCACTGTGCATGTATTCGACATGCCTAGAAGCGCGTTTCAATGGCCGCCTTTCCGTCGCGCACGGCCTGTCCCTGGCAAGTCATCTGGCACCAATTCGCCTGCAGATGATTTGTCTGATCGAGCAAATGGTCAAAACCCGTTATCTGCAGCCTTCAAGCTTGTCGGTGGTAGGACACAACCGATTCTTGCTGCAGTCAGGCGCACCCCATCCACTGGCTCCGCGTTCCCAGCGGCTGGCTTCGGGATTACATCCGCAGCTGGAGTGCGAAGTGGCAAGGCTGTCGCTGCTGGTCTCAGTAAATCTGTGGGCGCAGCGACTGGTACAGTTAATACCCTCCGTCATGTTGGTGAAAACCGCCTGCATCTTCCTGGACTTGCCCGTGATCCAGTGGCATCTCGCGTGACGTGGATTACCCACAGAGGACAGCCATTTTTGGGTCTAGTTGACAATGGAACATTCCGGCTGTATCGAATCAGACGTACCTTGTCTACCAACAAGCATCGGTCCCTACAGTCTGTTATTGGCGGCAGAGAGATTGAATACAAGTTGCCCGCCATCCTACAGAATCCTTGTGGCCCGATGCCTGTTGCAAGCGCAATCCCGGAATCAAATGTCCACGCGTCTTTAGCCCTACCCTCATCCAATCCGCAGCCATCTTCTGTGTCAAAGGCTCCACGCCAGCCCCTTTCGCAGGCGGAGATCGAGACAAACGTCCCTTATCAACCCTTCCACACTGATCAAAGGGTCAATCTGTTCGTGCTCTCTCCTCAAAGCGAGGCAACTGATTCGATGCTGTCCGATCCTATTGGTCAATGGGTTTTTGGTGATGAGATATCGACGACCAAGTTACATGTGCGACCATTCAGTGCTGGCGGGGACGATAGCGATGAGGATACAGTCTACGAACATCATCCTGGGTTTGGAGGAGACATGGAGAACCTCATAAGTCTGGGCAACAGTACGGGCAATGTCGAAGAGGTTGTTATCACTACTCGCAGGAAGAAGAAGCACTCGTCATTCCCATCGACTAGCCCTGGTGCTGATATGGATGATGGTTTTTTTGAGGATGACTGTGAGGTGCTGGACTTTGCTCGTGACAGGGTCTAGGCCAGGCATCTGGTGAATTCTCGTAACAAACCCGGAATATGAATTTGCGGGCATGCTATAATTATGTATCTGTTTCGGCGTTCTGGAATTTGGGTTATTGTCCCATTTGGCTTCTTGGGCAAATACTAAACTAACTACATCATACATTGTGCCAGTGGCACTGAAGGTTGACGAAAGAACATTTTACGTTTGATCGGGATCTCATATTTTGTTTCTGCGATTCTAACTCAGATATAATATTGCTCATGTTACATACCCCCAAACACAAGTATTATATTCAAGCTGATAGACAGAATGATTCCCAGTAGTAGTCTGAATAAATTTCTCGCGTCTCAATACCATAGTAGGAAACAAATGAAAAGACAATTAGAAATCTATGTAATGATGCACACATCTTCTCGCTCCTTGTTGTCCCTGGTAGATATGGAGAAGAGACTGAGTTGAATAAGGTGCCAGGAGGATGTCACCAGGGGGCTAGAATGCAGAGTACGTATGTTGCACCGCGATCCATAACCGTCGATCGTTTGAATATATAATTAGGAAATTACAATAAAGCAAACATCATCGGGATATATAACTCATTTGCAACGAAAAAAAAAAAAAAAAAAATCAAACAAACAAAAACCACTTCATGCTATTGTAATCTCCAATCCAGACATAAACAATATACCAGTCTACACCAAGAAAGCCAGTAAAAACCCAACAAAACCAGTCGCAAGCGCACCGAACCGCAAGTTATTAACCGCAGCCACATTCGAAGTCTTCTCAGGCTCAGACCCAGAACCAGTAGCAGTAGGCGTAATGATAGTCGTACTCGTACTAGTGCTAGTACTGCTGCTACTAGTCTCCGCTATATAGACGCTGAACTCAGAACAAAATGCCGGCCACAAAAATCAAGAATATGTACATACCACTGGCAGGCGAAGAAGTGGCGGTGCTAGCTGCACCGGTGGATGTGCTTGTACTGGTACTGGAACTGTAGGTACTCGTGCTGGAATACGTGGAAGAGGCAGTACTAGTCGACGACGCTGACGTCCATGTCGAGGATGAAGAGTAATTATTCAAGATACAGTCTTCACGACATCTGGATAAGGCGACGACTTGCTCTGGCGTCCCGACTCCGATTGGACAGCCGGTCATGCAGCGGATGGCGTCGTTGGTGTTGTAAATGTTGCCGCAGAGGAGGTCGTGGCATTGGGTTACACAGCAGAAGTCGCCCGTATTGCCTGTTGCTGTTAGCATTGTCGTATATGCATTAGTGGGATGGATGAGGATACATCTGGCAACGCAGCTATCTCTTTCGGAAACGCTGGGGTAGATTTCCTGGCTTAGGGCCAGGGTGAGGAGGGAGGAGAGGATGAGGAGAGTGAGCTTCATTTTGGCTTTTGGTATGGTGTTTGACTCGGGCAGACAGAGGGGGTGAATGTTATGGGAAGGTTCGTAGCGGATGCACAGAGAAGAAAGAAGGAAGAAAGAGAAGATAAAGAAGCGACAAACTCATGTTGGTCCAAAACCAAATGCGTGAGTAACATCCGCCATTGCCGTCTGAACTGGCACCCCCGGAATGACTGGACTGTGGATTACACCAAGTCAGCAACATGGAATGTGCAGAGCGATAATCCGGAAGCCTAACCAAGATTGAGCCATCCATGAAGAGTTGTAGACTGCCAGGGCGAGTGTTTGTTTGGAGCTGCTGCATAGTTGCTTCTGGGACTTTCAGGTACAAATATCTACAAAAGCAAGTACTCATTCTTTTTCTGCCCTCACCTTCATTTATGTGAGCCCTTAATGGCGTGTTTTTGCTTCGGCTCTCATTACCAGTTTTTCCCGCCAATTTCTCTGGCAAGACGTGGCTGTTACGCAAAAAGAGTTCTCGTTTGAGATCACATTATCGCTTACTCTAGGTGCCTAGGAACCCGTCTGATAGCTATATGAGAGCTCCTCTCACCTGCGTTACCTTCTTCGAGACGTCGACTCATTATTGACGCCGGTCACAGGTTTTCCGGAAAGCTGAAGATGTCAGCTAGTGACATGTATAGTGAATCAGGTTAAACCAGTCCTACCTGGCCACATTCAAAAACTCAGTTCAGTTTATGTTGTTGACGTCCTGTGATCTCTCAGTAGCGCCATTGCCCCTAGGCTACAGTAAGGACTGATATGCTCTTGAATAGCAATAAACATTGAAGGCTAATTGAGTACCCTGCCATCTTTTTTTGATATTATAGAATAAGGAATAAGTTAAAGCCAATCATCTTACTGAAGCCCTGGTAACAGTATCTCCTTTAACCACTTCGGACACATCAGGGCCTCGAGCTTGATTGAGGTAGATCATGCGTGTCTGAAAGGCCGTGTTCGCCGTCTTCAGCGATACTTCAATTGAACTTTGAATGATATTGTCAATCTATCGGATGATCTTGTTGTTCCTGGATACAATACTCGGCCTGAAGTCGTCTCGAATAGACAACAGAGATATATTGTAGGGCCGGGGTGATAAGATAATAAGTGCAAACATACCAAACTAATCACATGATATCGCGATACCGCGACGCGTCTCTGCCAACCTAACCCCAGCTAGAACGAATTGAAGTGAACTTGGGGGACAGCCAGACTCGATATGTCCGATTTGGATGATGATTATGATGATCATCTTAACGACAATGCTTTCCTAGCTGCTGAAGCCTCCGAAGCAACCGCGGAATCGAATGAAAACACCCCGCGAGCGGCGAAGCGACGTTGTTTGGAACCTGAAGATTATGGCCAGGATGGAGAAAGTGTGGGATCTCAGACCGATTCCTTCCGTTATTCTGGGGATGACAACAAGGACAAATATGCCTCAGATTCGTTCGTAGATGATGATGAGGTCCACTCACCTAGCGCATACGGGGAATTTGACGGAGACTCGAGGCGCAAATTGAAGGCCTTCTATCCGAAACACAGCGTCATGCAGGAAAATATCTTCGTTACGCAGCTAACGCAACCCCCATCGCCGCCTGAAAGGATCCGTGGACCTCGTTGGAAGAAGCCTGATCCGAAGCCCCCCACGCCGAAGCCCCCCACGACTACACCACTTCCATCAGTGCGCGACGAGAGAAGTGGCGGCGGTAGAGTTGACAAACCAACAGGTAATGGGGGGCGAGGAGGAGATAATGAATTTTCTGACGATGAAGGACTGGATGCCGCCATTGCGGCATCACTCGAATCTTTCGAGGAGGAGAACTCCCGGGCAGCTACATCTTCGTTTTCACACGAGCCAGCGCAACCACAACCAACAACAGCCGCTGCTTCAAGTGGCAAAAATAGCAATAATAACAATGTTTCGACGGATTCGTTCCTTGACGATATACCGGAGGATGCGTTTGACTCGGAGCCGTCTTTATCTCCCCCACCCAGAACGAATCAAGCGGCGCAGCGAACTCAGACATGGCCAAGCATGGGCCGTCCTTCAAATGGACCTACTGGCCTTCGTCAAACAACATTGTTCAGCATGGCTGCTCGAAATGCAGAGGGGCCAGCGCCCAGAGGTGGACAGAACCTCTCTCCACCTAGCAAGGAGGAGCCTCCTACTCACCACAAATTGAACGACGACGCCACTGCTACGTGGGTCTATCCTATGAACCTGGGAAAGACAAGAGATTACCAGTTCAATATAACTCAACATGGCCTCTTCCACAATTTGCTAGTGGCGCTGCCGACAGGTCTGGGAAAGACGTTCATAGCGGCAACCATCATGCTAAACTGGTTTCGCTGGACAAAAAGTGCTCAAATTGTCTTTGTAGCACCTACAAAGCCCCTTGTGGCCCAGCAGATTTCTGCATGCTTCGGCGTCGCTGGTATTCCACGTTCACAGACCACAATGCTTACTGGAGAAGCAGCGCCGGGGATACGGTCTGAAGAATGGAAGACAAAGCGCGTGTTCTTCATGACTCCGCAGACCTTGGTAAATGATCTCAAAACGGGAATAGCCGATCCTAAGCGTATTGTTCTACTAGTCGTCGACGAAGCCCACCGTGCTACCGGTGGCTACGCGTATGTGGAGGTGGCCAGCTTCCTTCGCCGATTTAACAAGAGCTTCCGAGTTCTTGCTCTAACAGCCACGCCCGGTTCGACGGTAGAATCTGTACAAGCAGTTATCGATGGTCTGGATATTGCACGTGTCGAGATACGCACTGAACAATCTCTTGACATCCGAGAGTACGTTCATTCCAAAGACATTGAGACTCAAACGTTTGAAAATTCAGAGGAAATGGTTCTCTGTATGGACCTATTCTCTCGAACGTTGCAACCTCTTGTGGACCAGCTTCGCAACCTCAATGCCTACTGGGGACGGGATCCCATGATGTTGACTGCGTTCGGCTTGACCAAAGCGAGGCAACAATGGATGGCATCGGATGCTGGCAGAAACGCAAACATGGGGATGAAAGCCAAAACAAACACCATATTCACAGTTCTTGCGAGTTTGGCCCATGCGATTGATCTGCTCAAATACCATGGAATCACTCCTTTTTACCGCCATCTGTTGCATTTTCAATCCAGTGTCGATGGGAAAAAGGGTGGAAAGTACCAACGCCAGATTTTCCAGGATGATCATTACAAGAAACTGATGAATCATCTTGATCCATGGGTTAAAAATCCCGAATTCATTGGGCACCCTAAGCTTGAATATCTCAAACAGGTTATCTTGAACCACTTCATGGACGCTGGTGAGGGTGACGAAGGATCAAGTCAGTCGGCGACGAAAGTCATGATATTTGTGCACTTCAGGGATAGTGCCGAGGAAGTCACACGAGTATTGAAAAGATACGAGCCCATGATTCGACCACATATTTTCGTTGGACAGAGTAGCGCCAAGGGCTCAGATGGGATGAACCAGAAGACTCAACTTGGCGTCGTTGAGAAGTTCAAAAAGGGAACTTACAACACCATGGTGGCTACGTCAATCGGTGAAGAAGGTCTAGATATTGGTGAAGTCGACCTCATCGTTTGCTATGACTCGTCTGCTTCCCCGATTCGCATGCTTCAACGAATGGGGCGGACCGGTCGTAAGAGGTCCGGAAACATTGTCTTGCTTCTCATGCAGGGTAAAGAAGAGGAATCCTACATTAGGGCGAAAGATAATTACGAGAAGATGCAGCAAATGATAGCTAGCGGCACCCGATTCACTTTCCATGACGAAGCATCCCCTCGTATCCTTCCGGCAGGCGTGAAGCCTGTACCTGATAAAATACAAATCGACATACCGGATGAGAACGCAGAGCAAGATTTGCCTGAGCCAAAAAAAGGAAAAGGCCGAGCTCCAAAAAGGCCCCCAAAGAAATTCCACATGCCAGATGATGTCGAAACAGGCTTCACCAAAGCATCCAGCCTCGCCGGGAATACGAAAAGTAAGGGAGATAACAAGAGCAAGAGGCGTGTTCGAACGCCAACTCCTGAGCTTGTCGAGTTGCCTGCGCTTGATGAAGTGTTGCTTACTTCGCCCCAGCAACGAGAGCTTGAAAACCGGTATCAGAATATTGGGGGCACCAGTCCACAGTTCATTCGCTATCCTCGGAACGATGCCTTTCCCCATTTGCAGCATGTCTCAAGGCCTACGAAGTCAGTGAAACATGGGAGGGTGACTCGTCGTATGATTGGTACGCTGCGAAATATGGGCAAAGTGAATGCCGATTGCGAAAAGCGTTACAAGCATATTCTATCTCTTGTACCTAAACCGCCTCCAAAGCGTTCATCTCCTGTCAGCGAAGCAACCCGACAGAAGCCGAGCGATAGACGGCCAACAAATCATTTCAAAAGATCTAAACCAAATCTGCCGTCTATCGAACTCGACGGGGAATTGGATCTCAATGACGAACCACCTTCTCCGGCTGTGTTATTTTCTTTCTTGGAAGACCACCAAGAACCACCTAAAGCCTCGCAGATGAGCGATCTGGATAGCAACTATGATTTTCCGGATCTCAAGACACTTTTTGAGCAGGCAGATGTAGAAAGTCAGCCCATGCGCAAGCGACGTAAAGTCATGGATGATGATAGTGATGAATGAGTTTGGAGCATCTTTTTGTGTTATGAATCTTGGTTGGCCGGTTCTTGTATTGTGTCGGCTTTTGAAGCGTTGGAAATTTAATATATACCCAGGTTATTGTTTTATCAAAACATAGACATTCATGTACTCTTCATGCAGAGCAACTATACAAGTTCTCTCCTTGCCCAAAGTGGATATTCAAATGCCACGGGCAGTTAATTTCTGCACACGCACCTTTCTCCGCCAACTCAGGTCCCATCGGAGAACAAGACAACAATATCCAGAAGCCCAAATCATCCCCAACACTCACAACAATGGCTGACGCCCAATTCGACAGTGCGCTGTGAGTGACTGCAATTCCCAGAAACTAATCCGTCAAATGATTCCCCATTACATCCCATTCTCTTCAAAGACAACACGAGGCCTTAACCCCACCTCTACCGCATCCCGTTGCTGACCAGATAACACCTCAATCATCCAGGGACCTCCTCCGGCGTCTCAATCCCCGCGACACAAAGCGCAACCTTCAGGCAATTGCTAGTGTCGTCCCCGATCTCACCGAAGACCTTCTCTCCTCCGTCGACCAGCCCCTGGAGGTTCGCCGTTGTCCGAAGACCAAGCGCGACTACCTGCTCTGCGACTACAACCGAGACGGTGACAGCTACCGATCGCCCTGGAGCAATGAATTTGATCCGCCGCTTGATGATGGAACCGTGCCCAGTGAGCGGGTGAGGAAGCTCGAGGTTGCGGCCAACGAGGCGTTTGATGTCTACCGTGATCTGTACTATGAGGGCGGTGTTGGGAGTGTTTACTTCTGGGATTTGGATGATGGGTTTGCGGGTGTTATCCTTTTGAAGAAGGGTATGCTGTTGTCTCTGAGGGGTATATATGCGATGGTACTGGGGGAATGCTGATGGTATCTGCTTCCAGGGGTTACGCCGGGTGCGAAGAGCTCCGGAGAATGGGACAGTATCCACGTTTTCGAAGCCACCGATCGGGCACGCATGTCCCACTATAAACTCACCAGCACCGTCATCCTCCATTTGTCGAACGGAAACGAGACCTTGGGTGAGATGGACCTCAGCGGCAACATGACCCGTCAAGTGGAGGTGGACTTGCCTGTTGAGTCAGATGCAAGTCACGTTGCCAACGTTGGTAGACTAGTTGAGGATATGGAATTGAAGATGAGGAACTTGTTGCGTATGTCTTTGTTGAGCTATTGAAATTTGGGTCTCGGTATGCTGACCAACTGATAGAGGAGGTCTACTTTGGAAAGGCCAAGGACGTGGTGGGAGAACTCCGGAGTAAGTTATACCGCTCTCTCCATTTTGTTGAAAATACTAATGATTATCCCAGGTCTTGCTCCTCTGTCCGAGACAAACAGGGACAGGGCTGCTCAACTGGAAATGATCAAGTCCTTGCAGAGGTAGTCTGTCTGTTGACACATTGAGCTGTTTTCGCGTCTCCTTTTTCAAGCGTAATTTCAAGATATGTAGCTTGTGTTCAAAGGTTCCTGGTGATCCAAGTTGTTTTGTTCCTAGTACATAAATTGAATTTTATTGTAGCTATATTGCTGTGCCATTTCACGGACAGATGCGTTTCTATTTGGTTTAAAACAAAAGGGTATCAAAAATATGGTTTCTCATGAAGTAGTAAAAGGAGGTCTGTTCTCCCTTCCCAATAGCGGACAATCAATCAACTTCCATCTTCTGTCCCCCTTCTGCCTTCACCAATTCCGTTGAAGTTGGATTGCCAATCTGCTCCACAAACTCCCTCGCAGCAGCCCAAAGTTCAGCCTCCTTATCCTTCCCAACAGTATCCTTCCTACTATTCAACCAACTGATGTCCAACGGATTCGCAACCCCCGCACCTCCCCCACCAGCGGCACCCCCCTCACCGGTCCGGGACGCAATTTCTGGAGCAAGAACAGAAGCTTCTTCTAGAGCATAGACTTGGCGACGGAGACGGACATCAATCGAAGAGAGGAGGGCGAAATATTGCGAGGTGGCTTCTTTGAAGCGGGACTTATGGGAGTCGAGGGATGTGTCTGCTGTCGTTGTTGTGGGGGAATCTTCATATTTGGCGTTCGTCAGAGCTTGGACGGCGAGGCCGGCGGAGTGGATGAGCTTTGCGACGTCCTATGAGTACGGGGTGTTATTTGGTGATTCTGTTTGTATGAATGCGATGGAGCCTGTAGAGCTCTTACCTTGTCCACATCATTTAGTTGCCGGATGCGGTCAGCTGACGAGAACTTCTGGTCCAATTTGTCTAATTCTTTGCTTTCCGCCATGCTGATTGTTTACTGGAAATTCTGAGAATTGAAAACAGTGCAAAGCTAATTGATTGAAGCTCTTGAACAGGAATTCCGCACGCCGTCACGTGCAAGACCTGGGGAAACGCGCTAGTCCGAAGGCGGTATAGTGCAATATCAGAAAAGCAAGCTCGCAAAACCTCCGTCTATCCATCACCACGTCTACATCCTTCGTTTAAAGCCCCCTTCTGCAGTCGCTTATTATTTTCTTTATTCTTTAGCATAATCCTATCACCGTAACTAATTACCACGCGCCATGTCAGCGCCAGGTGGGGCCCCGAGCCCTGCTCCTCGGAGTGGAAGTATCGGGCCTGGCGGGGGAGGAATGTCAATGCCTTCCCAGCAGTCGATGCCAGCGACAACTCCAGGGCCGACTCCGGGCCCTCCACCGGCTCCTCCAAGTGGGGCTATGTCGCAGCAGAACTTGAATCAGATAGTAAGTTGATATTGATTGATTTGTGGTTTCATTGGACATCCCTTTTTCGCGTTGAATGGTCGTTGGTGCGTTGTTTTGCATTGTCATTTTCGAATTCTGCGTTTAAATCTTTATGCGCCGTATATTCGCCCTTTTTTCATTTCTTCTCACCTAGTATGGGATGACCGGTCATTGCTGGTATCTTGAAATGTCAAGCGAGCTCTTTGTCATGGAAAGAGGCATGGAGAAGGTCCAGAGAAAAAGCTGCCCTCCCTGTCATCATGACAAGTCTTGCTTCGTGCGTGTCTGGAGTAGTTCGGGTGTGTATCTTCAAAAATGAGAAAGGAAAGGAAAGGAAGGATAAACTACCCATACCCCGCGCGCTTCACTGTGAATGTATTGTGTTTTGAGTACTAGCACTTTCCTTCACCTGACCTCGCTCCCGCCGCTGGGGTTTCCATCTACGTCGATTCTGGTTCCCCCACTTCGTCTCTTAACTTCTGTTGTGCACCATCTCTCTGGTTGTTTTATTTCTCTTTCTCCTGATCCCTTCACCCATTCGCTACCATACACGCCAATATTTTCCATGTTTGAAAGACCAGGAAATGTGGAAGAGCAAGATTAGGGCCAGCACCACCAGCCATGACCAATACGGGCTTTCCTCGAGCACAATGACTGCGGCTCCTTCTGCGACAGCTTCATTTTGTGGAGAAGGGAGTTATACATCGTCTCGCATCGAGGATGGGTACGCATCTTCGCAGACCTCGTCTTTGGGCGCTGAGGAACAGTACCAAAGTGCTACCGAACAAGGCTCTTCCCCGACAGCTACCAGCGAAGAAGTCGTCAAGGGAACTACACACAGGAAAGCGTTGTGGCCAGGCGGGTGGGCTGATCCCCCAAGTCTTGCCGATGTGAGATCACTTCGTCCCCTCTACCCGAGATTCCCAACAAAGCCTGTCGGGGAAAGGGTAGGACTTGTGAACCGCGAAGATGGGAACGCCCAGTCAAGGCATTTGGCTAGTGCTGGCTACGTGGGAATTGAGGCTGCTTCTACTAATGGTAGAGGAGGGAACACCATGAGGCAGAGAAAGAGAGCCAAACAGGGAGAACAGAACCCTAGAGCGTCTACACCTGTTGATATCATGAAGCAGATCATCCCCAAGGTCTCAATAACCTTATCGCATTTCTTGCTTGCTGCTTATACTTTGTCGCGTTTTGGTTTTTCTGAAATCCTTTGTTTTAGAATACACACGCGAAACTTGATCCGTGCTGACATGTCTATTTCCGTAGGTCATCGACTATCTGGCCAAAAAGGGATACAGTCGTACTGAAGCTATGCTTCGGATGGAGTCTGCAAATCAGGAGATTGACGGGCGTCCTTTGCCTCCTCTTGGGGAAGATGCACGCCCAAAATACAGACTTGGGTTTGGTAAGTGAGGGTCGAGCATAGATTCAAGTGGTAGGTGGCTAATGCAAACGGTCATTTAGATTTACTCAAAGTCTGGGTTGAAGACAACCTTGATCTATATAAACCGGAACTCAAACGCGTCCTTTGGCCCCTCTTCGTCTACACATTTATCAGCATGGTCACCTCTTTCTACCCGCAAGATGCCCGACAATTCTTCGACGTGAACAAGAACCTCTTCCTGCCGGAGCATGCGGAGGATGTGCGCGCTCTCGAACCGATCAGCCTTCCAGAACACGTCCAGGACAACTCGACCGCTAAGTTATATCGCAACAACAAATATCGCTTGATTCTTAGTAACCCGGCATTTGGGAACCTTATGCAGTTCCTTGAGAGCAAACAGAAGGAAGGTGGCTCTGTCATGTCTGCTCTTTTGAGTAGTTACTGTACAATCCTTACGCGGGATCGCGCGGTCGATGACCGATTCAGTTTTGCTGCCATGCTGGGCCAAGCTGGCATGGGTCAAACATTCCCTGCTGAGGATGAAGGTATTCCAGGTCATCACCCAGGATCTGCTTATACTGGTGATAACCCGGCCATGGCGGGGACGCTACCCCGTTTAAAACTGGGGAAGCTCCCGATGGAGCAAAACTTGGAGACCGATGTGCGAGGCGAGCTCGTGGACGAGGACACAAAGAACCCTCCGGGACCTGGTCGTAACACGCTCCTTCAGGAGTTTGACCAGATGATCAAAAAGGAGGAAGATGAGGACGCCCCCACTAGGGCTGACATTCCTTACCCTCCATCGACTGCCCGGGACGTGGCTATGGAAGTTCAGCACGTCAAGGAGAATCGTGATAGATTCAAAATTGAAGGTCGGACTGGTGGTGTTGGCCCAGCTGTTAGCGTCTGCATGTTTACCTTCCACAACACCTATGATGGGTAAGTCATGTGGCCCCTACAATATCGAACGGATACTAATAGGAAAACAGAATCACATGCTTAGATTTCTCCGATGATAATATGCTTGTCGCAGCCGGTATGCAAGAATCCTACATCCGAGTTTGGAGTATGGACGGCAAGAGAATTCCATCGACTTACGATAACGTCGATGACACCCCTCCATCCAATTCTCGTCGCTTGATTGGACATTCTGGGCCTATTTACGCACTATCATTTGCACCTTCAGCCACACGATCCGAAAATGCTGTGGCACCAACCAATGCTCGCTGGTTGCTTTCATCCTCCGCTGATAAGACGATCCGCCTCTGGTCTCTTGACTTATGGCAGTGCATGGTTGTTTACAAGGGCCATGATCAACCGGTGTGGGATCTTCAATGGGGCCCGTACGGTCACTATTTTGTAACAGGGGGGCATGATAAGACCGCCCGTCTCTGGGTCACCGATCATATCCGTCAACAACGTATCTTTGTTGGGCATGATCAGGATGTGGATTGTGTGGCTTTCCACCCGAACTCTGCATATGTCTTTACTGGCAGCTCCGATCATACTGTCCGCATGTGGGCAGTGACCACCGGTAACGCTGTGCGTATGTTCACCGGCCACACTGGAAACATCACCGCATTAGCGTGCAGCAGAGATGGAAGACTCTTGGCATCTGCAGATGACCACGGCTCGATTTTCCTGTGGGACCTGGCTCCAGGACGACTCCTGAAGCGCATGCGTGGCCACGGGAAGGGAGGCATCTGGTCTCTTAGTTGGAGTGTCGAGTCAACGGTTCTAGTCTCTGGAGGCGCAGACGGAACCGTTCGCGTCTGGGACGTCACTGGCCCAGCGCAAGACCCATCTCAAGGTCGTGTTGTCGGTGAAGGCGGAGCTGGAACTAAGGTCGACGGAGGCAATCCTTCAGGTGGTGCGCAGACCTCAAGCTCTGTTGCTCCGGGTATGGGCAAGAAGAAGGGCAAGGACGTGGTTGTTACGCCGGATCAAATCAGCGCGTTCCCTACCAAGAAAAGTCCTGTTTACAGGGTGAAATTCACCAACATGAACTTGATCATTGCCGGGGGCTCTTATCTTCCGTAATGGCGGGTGTGAGTTTAATGCTTGATTTGCATGCGATATATGGCGCCGGATACCCGATTTCTGTTTTCCCATTTTCTTTATTCTGTTTTTGGCTCAGATTGCTAGAAGTGCGTTTGCCTTCTCAACATGATATTAGCGTAACAAATGTTCATGTATTTGGTGGCTGGAATTCAACGGCGTCCTGGCACTGCTTATAGAAACGGGAGTGGGATTGATCAGTTTTGTATATTTTTGATTATTCAATGAAGTAGCTTGATCTTTATCATTCGAAATTAATAAGCAAAAATTCCGACTAGATCTCGTTCACGCATATACTGTGCACCTCATGGTTTCCGTATCGGACCCTGCTGGCCACCAACACCCTTGTTCATAGCCGTAGAAGCCTGTATATCAGCCACCTTAGGCGGAAGCACCAGAGCACTGCGATCATTCCGCTTGTAGAAATCCACAAGGACTTGCGCCGTCTTAGCCGGCTGATCCTCTTGTATAAAGTGTCCCGCTTCAGGGAAGATCTGGAGTTGGAATTTACCTTCACTTTGTTGTCAGCTTTAGGCATGAATCAACAAATGAAAGGGTAAACGTTACCCTGCATTTGCCCAATCATCAAGTCCTTATCCAGCCGATCCGTCCCTGCCAGGATGAGCAATTTCCCGCCCCGTGCTTCAAGGAACTTCCGACTGAGCCCAATAAACCAGTTCTCCCAAAATGGTTTCGTGTCGTTTAAGTTCGTCCGCCAGACCCAAGGGCGGGAGAGATCAGTGGGTGTACCCTTTTCGAAGAGAAGGGAAGGTACAGAGACACGAGCTGATGTCCTGTTACGAATTGTGCGAGAGCGCGTATGCCATTCTATTCCGGATGACAGAGATGGAAAGCGGGTTGGGCGTGTTGCGAGATATTTCTCCATGCTCTGGAGGGCGTCCATCGCAGAACCCTCGACGACGTCGAGAACAGCATATGCCAGTAACTTGTGACCCAGGTCACCCTTCTTAGCAACATCAGTAACAACAGCGCCTCCTAGACTATGTCCGACAAGGACAATATCTGGGAGCGTCTCCCAGCCCATCTTCGTCTGCGTCTCACGAATAACAAATTCCAAATCCCGACTAAGCGTTTCAAGCGACAAATCAATATTGATATCCACATCGCCGTCCCCAGCAGAAGAATCAATTCTGCCAACTTCCGTATTCCCGTGGTCCCGCGCATCCAGGGACAAAACACCAGCCTTGGGCAGGATTTTACGGATTTCCTCCGCACACACGGCGAAGGAGAGACCAGAGGAGCCGGCGCCGTGGTGCATTACGAATAGGGGGCCTGAGTTTGAGGGTGGAATTAAGTAGATATGGTGGGCGATGCGGAGATTTGTGGAGGGAATGGTTTGGGTGAGGTGCAGTTCTTGGGTGAAGAAGTCGGCCCAGGTTAGGGATGTTGAGGCTTGGGATCTGCCGGTGTTAGCATCTGTTGCTTGGAATCCGGTTTATTGAAGCAACACAGCAGTCAATTATGATAGACCAGCAGCATTCTGGAAACAATACAATGCAATACATTATGCCACTGGCCTGGAACAAAGCAAGAAACGCACCCTCGATTTGGCCTCGCAAACAACTGCCTCGTAGGCGATGGAACAGCAGTAGCCGTAGACGACGCATCAGAACTATCATTATCGCTTTCCCCGATGGGATGCATAGTAGACCCCCCGGCTGGCTGCTCAAAAATCAAGGGAGCTTCGGAAGGCAGTTTAGCCAGTTTTGCCTTAGCGCAGGATTTCTGCAGCTCACTCATGGGTGAGTTAGAGGATCTTGGTGGGTTGTTGTGGTGTTGGGTTTTATGGTTGTTGTGTTAGGTCGGGTTGTTATTTGGAGATGTTCGTTTGAAGTGGGATATCCGCTGTGGTTCTGGGTCGAGGATGGCATCTCTTTCCATTGTATTGATATATGTTTTGATTAGCTAGCAGGGAACTTAAGGATATTCTGCTAGTGTTTTCTTTTTCTCTAATCTGCAGAAATGCTACCTTATAGCAAAGTCATCGTAATCGTGAAAATGCGTGTATGTAATTATGTATCGTATTGTCATGGATTTCCTCTTTAAAAACACCCCGCCATTTTCACCTAGATTCTTCTACATCTCCTTTGAACCATCATTGTAATTTTATTTTTCTCGGTATCTGGATCGGCTATAAAGGTACACAGGGATTTGAAGTGCTTGGCGTCATAATCCCAAAAGCAACTTTACTCGGGGTCTTCCAACCGGATTCCATTGTTTGTTGCGAGTACAGCATGAGAAGCACTAAGATTAGGATGGTTATATTGTATTATGATATATCGAGAGTATACAAATTTTGGCCACTATCAGAATAATACATAACATCTCAGATTATAGTATAGGTGGTGGCCCTTGAGATCATCGAAGAACACTTGGGCACATGAATCGGCATACCAGCATCAAAATTACCCTTGCAGCTGTTCAAGCAACAGTCCCGGTCCCTCAGGCACGGAAGTCCTGGCGTCGTGTATTGGCCCTGCTTATACAGAACTTCTTCCCATTCAACATGGTACGCTTATATATGTTCTCCCATCCCAGCAGTCTGCGCAGAAGAGACCAATTTGTCTCTGAATATCGCTCTTCAGTGCCCAAAAAGGTAACTGAGGGTCTCTTGTTGAGATCCGTTGTGGAGATTAGAGCAATGGTTCGGAAGGGTTCCCTGCGCTACCAAGGGTCGGGGCCCTCGATTGAAGATCATCGCAGATATCGTATCGATCGAGAGAAGAACAGGTGAAGAGCTGCATCTAAGGTGCGGCTATTATCGATATGTGTTCAATCACGTGTCTCATGAATAGTTGATGACCTCACCATCCCAGTGGAACGCATAGAGTTATGCTGAGGATTAATCCTGTCTATATGCCATGACGTCAACGTCGCTGCCACTATTACATACTTTACTCGATACTACTTTTCTTCTTCATCTCTCTGCTCTGATATTGATTGGGGTTTAGAAGCATTGCAATTCCTCAATACAATTCAACTGAACCAAGATCACTTACGCAGCAAGATGGTTTCGCTTTGGGGCAAGAATAACGACAATGGAAACCGAGAAGACCAGCAGGATCATGAAGATGAACAGCCAGTTACAAGACAGCAACAAGAGGCAGACGAACGAACACGGTTGCTACCACGAGATAACCAGGCTTATCTGAGCCCTGACGATCCTGCTGTGAGTATCATTCCAGATAATAATGTTGTCCGACGAGTATCTACTGACCTCTTAATAGGTCTCCCCATACAACATCTGGGGCATACGAGCCCTACGAGGATTATCAGCCTTATTCCTCGCCATCAGCTTCGTCTGGTGGACATTCCTTCTCGTTTCTCTCTTCGTCAACCCGCCAGTGTTGCATACCCGTGGCTCCGGCTTCTTCCCGTTTGCCTATACCACGTTGACCACCGGATACCTCGTTATCGCATTGCTATTCTTCTCCATTCCATCGAAGCCAATGACAATCTGGGGAGCCATTATCTCAGTCTTCCTCCTCGTCGACATGTGCATCATCCTTGGAGTCCCCGGTCTCCGTGTTGAGGAAGGATGGGTCGGAATCGCATCAGTAGTCTGGGCCACGTTCATCGCCCTATTCAACGTCATCCAAAACCACTCCGTCGGCTGGGGCAAGCGCGAGGAGGAAGAACGACTCACCGGCCGTGAAGAAACCCGCCGACCACTCGGAGAATGGGTAGCCGTCTTGATCGAAATCGTCATCATGGGCGTCCTGGCTATCGTTTCAATTCTCTTCACGCTAACCCTCATCCTCCGCGCCCGGGACGCCTCCCTCGAAGTTCCAGGCAAGAAATACCTCGTCCACGGTGACGCCTACCAAGTTCACCTAACCTGCGTCGGCGAAACGTCCAATAAAAACGGCAAGGGTGACCCGATCCCCACCATCCTCATCGAAGGCGGCGAAGAACCAGTCGAACAATCCCTCCAGCCCTTCATCGACGACGCGTACCAAAACGGTTCCATTCAGCGCTACTGCTACTGGGACCGTCCGGGTCTCGCCTGGTCTGACAATGCACCCTCCCCGCATTCCGCCGGAATGGCCTCTGACGCCCTCTCCGAGGCCCTCGCCCTAGCCGGCGAAGAGGGGCCTTGGATCCTCGTCTCTGCGGGTGTAGGCGGTATCTACAGTCGTATCTTCGCTAGTCGCCATCTTCTCGAAGTCAAGGGCTTCCTGCTCATCGATACCCTACACGAAGACCTCCTCAAGGATCTTGGCAGGCCCGGCCGCGGCTTCGTCATCTGGCTTCGAGGTATCATCTCCCCACTTGGGTTGGACAGAATCGCCGGCGCAATATTCAAGGGCCGCTCGCGCGAGGACCGCGTCTTCGGCCGGTCCGCGTATCAAACCGGTAGCTTCATCCGCGCCAAGTTACAAGAGAATCTCGCCGCGCAGACTATCACGTACTCTGAAATCCGCACGGCGCAACATGTCCAGATGCCTGATACGCCAGTTGTGGTTGTTAGTTCTGGGACTGAAGTCCGGAGGAATGACCAGTGGGCGAAGAAGCAGGAGGAACTTACTAAGATCACGGATAATTTGAAGGATTGGGATATTGTTCGGGGTGCGCCACATGAGATTTGGAGGGCTGCGGAGGGGAGGGCTATTTTGGAGAAGAGATTGCGCGAGTTGGTTGAGGTTTGAGTTCCCTCTAATTGGGATAGGATTGCGATAAATTGTAAAATGTTTTTGTTTTGTGATATGTGATTTATGCATAAAATGTATCTATTTTGGGCACGGAGAATTGGCGTCATTGTACATTATGCTCTCTAATGTTATGCTATGTCCATTAATACCTCACTACATTGCAAGTAGTAACACTACAACCGAGACCACGAACAATGAAGTAAAACCCATTTTTCGTGCTATACATGAGTTAAATCTATATTTCCCAGGAGACATGAAGTTCTCATACAGGGAGGAAAAGGAAAGATACTTGTTGCCCTAGCCCTTCTTCAAGCCCAACCACAAATGACCGTGTACGAAATAATTTCGTGAGAATACAGTATGGTATGGAACTAAAAGCATGACGATGAATGTCGTTCGATCGATTCGGAAGGCAAGCATTGTGCCGTGATAGGGCCCTTTCTTTGATTTCGAAGAAAGACAAGGCAAACAAAACGAAACAGCGAAATCGACCCGTCACTCTAGGCTAGCTCCCTTGAACCTCTTAGCAAGCTGATCGCTTTCTGTCTTTGGTGACTGGGACCTAATAGAAGGTGGGAATGGGCGAGGAGGTGACCGGGGCCGCTTAGGGGGGCGCTCACCACTTTCCTGAAGGATTGTAACCAAAGTCGCCCATCCGGGGGTGTTTATCAATTGGAGGCCCTCTGAAGGGGAATGGGATGTCGCGACGCGGCAGAGGAGGGTTTCTTCGTCCTGTTGGAGAGGAAACATGTATGTTAGCGAAAACCCATGCAATCCTGGCCTATGTGTCGCCTTACCTTGCTAAACGTGGACAAAGAATGAAGGAAGCATAGAAGATGGAAGTCAGATACAGCGAAAACCACCTTCGCGGGATCGCCACTGGAAACGAGCTTTTTGGCAATATGACTCAACTCCTGGCTCTCGCCAACAAGCGTGCGATTCTCGACAGGGAAGGTGTTCTCGAGGAAGAGAGGCGATGGTACCGTTGGGAAACCGTGTGTAAGGGTGACCAGAAGGAAATCCACTGGGAAAGATGGCTTCGCGTTCTGCTGGGCGCTTACACCATACTCGTTGATTTGTCGGTAGAAAACCTCGGGGATATACCGTGCTTTGTTTTCGGGGTTGTCGTCTTCTGACTGCACGAGCATGACGGATGGTTCTGCAGAGGGTTCGATGATATCTGCTCGCACCATTTCGACTGCTGAGACCGAAGTCTGGTAAGAACTAATCGTAATGGCTCCCTGGTCATCACCGCTGAGCACACAGGTTACGAAATTCGAACCAAAGCGGCCAGTCCGACTCCATTTCGTGGGTTTTGGGTATTGAGCCTGCAGCCGAGAAGCAAAAGCAATTTCCAGAGACGAGAGAAAGTAAGAGTCGACATGGCGCTTACAGACCACAGTCCCGTCTCCTTGACCAGCGTCCAACAAATCCGTGAAGATAATTCCAACCTTTTCAAGACCACACATACGCGCAACTTCATCCACCTCCTTCTCATCTTCCCATTCCTGAATTGTCACACCGTCAAGCTCGTTCACCTGAGGCGGCTCATAGATGGCTTGCACCACTGCCTTGACCCCAAGTGGAACTTCTGTGTACTCCTCGTAGGTACCGTAGAGGAAACCCAACCGCTGAGCCCCCGAATTCCGCCAGAAGTCCAGAATTTTGTTAATCAAATCCGGAGTGGCAAACTCCACATGGTCGACCATGCGGAATTCTTGAGGCTGCAAACTGATTGCGCTCGGCTGACACTTGGTGCAAATCCCCTCCGGCCATTGCGGGTGACCGGACGGACAGTCTTGTCTTACACGGTAGAACGGTTCGTTGAGAGGTGGCATGTAGGAGCTCCCGGATTCGGGTTTGTTGGCGGCGGCATTGATTTTACGTAGGTAGGAGTGGAATGACAGATGCTTGATCTTCTTCTCGGCTAGGAATTTCGGATCGTAGGGTTCGAGGGGCATACAGTAGTCGCACATGCCTTTAGGGCCGTGCCTGCACATTTTCGTATCCCGGTTGCGAGGAATCTTCCCATCTTTCTTGTCCAAGTTGTTGTCGAGCGGCGATTGCTTGACGACCTCCCAGGGGTTTTTGATCGCCTGCGGGCGGATACTGATTGTCTCGTCCTGTGTGAGAGGAGCCCCGTTCAGGCGCTGGGTGGTATCAGACTGGGCATTTCCCTGCTGTGAAGATTTGTCTTGATAATCAAGGAAAAGCTTGTCTCCATGGCTTCCCAGGTATCAGCACACTGCACCAATTCCTCCCCGCCCATGTGGAGACTCACTTGAGGCCAACCTGCCCAACAGAGATACCCCCCAAACTATTCAATAACCTCTCATCGCCACCGGTTCCGATCGGTTTGTTGGAAAGGGCAATCGACGCAGATTCGACGTCTTGGGGTAGTTTCTCGACAATCTGACCATCAATGAAAGTCAGCAACCCACCGACCAAGCTTTACAACTCTCCCGCGAGCGCAATATTGAGCAGGGAGAACCGTACCTTCTGCTGTAATGATGGGAACTGCTCCTCTGGGCTGACGTTCAAGCGGAATTGGCCGTTGCGGCTTTCGAATCGTAGGACAATCGGCCTAGAGGCCATGTTGAAGAGTGTTTAGGAGGGGAGGGCTGTCGGAATATATACTATGAATGATTTCGCGATTTCCAATGGCGGATGAAATCAAAGACGGGTATACTTTATGGAATCATGATAGAAGATGTCAAACTGTGGGAAATGAAGGCAGACGGAGAGCTCTATCGTCATCGCCGGTGACACACCGCCTTACAATACGCCCCGCCGACTAGTGCCTAAAAGCATGCTATGGTATTTGCTACTACAGCTACGAGATGGTTTGCTCCAGACTTTTTTCCTTATTAAACGGCGTATGTATTTGATTTTATTATATTACTGAGATGATATATCGATATTATCATATTCTCATAATAGACGCCAAGGCAAAAACAGACGGACAGAAACAAAGAGCAATAGAGCAAAGGGGTATCCTGATCAAAAGCCAATTAGAGAATAGTACACTTCCTAGGCAGACCACAAGGCCCCTCTTTGCTCTTCTCCTCCTGCTGCTGAGTGCCTTGTTGCTGCTGGCTGTTCGAAGCAGGCTGGGCAGTCTCTTTCTTAGTTGGCTGAGTTGCAGGCTCAGACTTGGACTCCTCAGGCTTCGGCTCCCGGCCGCCATGCAGTCACGCGAAGTTGACCTTGGCAACGTGCTCGTAGAAGGCCTTACCCTGGGCCTCGGCGATCTCGAGCTCGAGGGGAGTGGGCTGGCGAGAGCCATCGGCACCCTATGCATGTTAGCATCCTGGTGATTTCAATAACAGAGAAAGAACTTACAGCAAAGGTACCAGCACCCCAAGCGCTACCACCGTGGATCTCAGTCAGGTTCGAGAGCTGAGCGAAGGTGGTCTTGTAGCCCAGAGGGACGTAGAGGAAGCCGTGGTGAGCGAGGGTGCTCATGGCAGCAATGGCGGTCGACTCCTGGCCACCACCGAGGGTACCGGTGGAGACGAAAAGACCGGCGTACTTGCCCCAGAAGCCACCAGTAGCCCAGATACCGCCGGTGCGGTCCCAGAAGGTCTTCCACTGAGCGGGGAAGTTACCGTAACGGGTAGGGATACCGAAGAGAACGGCATCATACTGGAGGAGGTCGTCGGGGGTGGCAATGGGGTGGGCGGACTTGGGGGGAGCGTGCATCTTAGTGAGGACTTCCTCGGGAAGGGTCTCGGGGATCCTATTGAGTGGTTAACTTTGTTGTTTGGTCGGGATTAGACTAGAGTATCAACTTACTGGTAGATGTCGGCCTGGCCACCAGCGGCCTCAATACCCTTCTTCTCAGCCTCGGCCAGCTGGACGATGTGGCCGTACAGCGAGTACTAGATCGGGTCAGCGGGTAAAAGAATAAGCAGAGAGGCAGGGTCCATCATACGAAGACGATAGCAACCTTGGGAGCCATGGTGACTTGTATGGTATCTCAACGGAGCAATTGAGGGGGATTAAAGTGGATGATGGGGATAGAGGAGAGAAGAGAAGAACAAGAAGGGCGGACGACCCATAATATATAGGAGCCCCTCATCTTGTGCCAATATTAGTGTACAACAGCAGTGGAAGAGAGAAGCTCAGTAATCGATTACAGATGACCCCACTACCCACTTCCAACTGGTTCCAGAGCTTGGTTGTTGGCCAATAAGCAGTGGCATTGATGGGTTAGTTGATTCTTACGGAGATCTGACAAATGGACCGAAACCGCAATTCAGCATGGCAAACTCGGGATTGGGGATTATTACGGATGATCTGATAATGGGATATGCGGTCTGCCTCTGCTCTACTCAGCTTACTGGCGCTTATACGAGATTATGGAATGATGGCTAAGAATTAGCTGTTCGCACGCGGTGCCGTCATGATGTCATTAAGAGACTCATTTTCCGAAATAGTGATGGCATGGTATTCCTCCAAGGTAGCATAAAGTAAAGCATCAAAAGTCAATTCCTGGGTATCTCTAAATGCAATCAATCTGCAAACTATGCTGCTCTCCATACATACAACCAGAACCCACTCAGCCGCGCCCCCGACCACGAAACCGACCACGCATAAACCCACCTCCCCGACCTCGTTCATTCCTCCACTCACGCTCCCGCTCCCTTTCGCGTTCCTGCTCATCCCGAATTAAAGATCGTTCCCGCTCTAACTCCTCCTCGGTCTTCTCCACCCGCAATGACGGTCTTGGCAAATGTTCGTTCCAACGAGGATGACCATCGGGACACGCTCTACCGTCCGGACAGAACCCGGCAAGGTAATACTGACACAGACGGCGTCGGACATGGCGCTTTGCGCACAGAGGACCTAATTCGCAGAATCCTTGGTCGTAATTCTCACATGGCGGAAGGCGAGCGTTCTCCCGTACATGTTGGTATAGACAATCATCGCCGTTGGGGCAGTATCCGGATCGTGTGAAAGACTGGCATTCCGGCATGCGCCGAAGGTTGTATTCGTGTAGATATTCACATTTCAGGCCCTTCTTGCAGAGCCCCTTTAGGAAATGCTTGCAAACGAGGGAGCCGTGTGTAGTCGAAGGGGCGAGACCCGACGCCGTGGTCGTAGATGTGGTAACACGTGTCGGAGTGGGATGGCGATCTGGGCAGGCAGGCCCTAAAGGACAGTGGCCTTCGCTGTAGGCTTTGCAGACAGGGACGTCGCTGGCGAGACCGAAGCCGAAACTATTCCGGAGGAACGGGGTGAAGGAGAAAGAGTTGGATTCGGGGTTGCGGGCGTTGTCCGTCGACAGGATGCTGGAGGCCGCATATCCAACGTCTGCTGCCATGCTGATTCTTCTGGTGTGGAAGGTGGAAGTGCCCGTGGGATGCGGAAAGCTAGAGGGGGCTGCGTAGCGATAGCACCGCGCAAAGTCAAACTGGGCCTTTCTGCCAAATGATTATTATAATAACAATTTTACCAATACAGGCACAAGAGGGGAAACAATAATTTGAGGTCAAATTTTGCGCGTAATTAGGAAAACAGAGCTGTGATAGAGAACAAGACGAAAAGACAGCAACTGTGACAGGATTATCAGTTGTAGCCTTAATGATTAAGCAGCAATGTCATATACGGAAGGCGGTGGAAAATTGAATAGCAAAATCTGTGGCAGCCAATCACATATATCAAAAATCACTGCCAGGTTCCTCGGGCAGAAATGTCAGATTTCCCTTTCGGTCTTATTAAATCCGCAGAACTACGCTGTCCCTCTAGAACCCGATAGAATCATACACGGCACGCGCTACAGTGTCATCCCACACTACGAGCCGTGAAGCCTGATTGACATCCACAGGCCGTCCAGCATACAGTTGCTTTCAGACGATCACCAAAAGTACTGTATGGAGTACGGGCCTAGTGATCCCGATTCGTGTTGATGCATTGGGCTTATGGGTCAGTGTATTCGCCTTTCAGGATATCACAAGGTATCAAAGACCTATAGAGGACACAGTAACTGTATGAAGTATTCCGGAGTGTGTCCAGCGCGGTGCCATGTCGCCCAATTGATGGTTCTCATAGAACTATGCCCTGGACGAGTAACTAGTTAGTTGGAAGTACACCTGACAAATCCGACAGACTCGACAGGCTGCCTGCCAATGATACTGATTTTCTGCCAAGTTTTCACTGAAGTCTCATTAGTGTGGTGGCCAATAGATTATCGATGCACAGGCCATCGCATCAAGCCACGATGCAAATCGTTTCACTTGACAGTCCCGGTCTACCCTTTTCATTCTCCTTCTATTCCCAGCATTGACCGCAAATTCGCGCGACAGTAGTAGGTGCAACGTGATATGTTCGTGCAGGCAAAAGTACCATACGGCATCCTCCGTGCTCCGTTAGGCGCAATGCGATTTCAGCCATTGCGGGGATGCAAATCGCTAGTCCATGGCCTGCATTATCCCCACACGGTCGACATCGCGTCTCCCTCTTCCAACGAGGCGCAGCAGAAATAAGCAGGAAAAAGCAAACACATCTTTTGTAGAAAAGCCAATTCCCATCAAGTCACAACTGGCTTGGCTTTGGGGGATTCTCATAGGTTCACTAGTTCATTTAGTTGCGATCTGAGACTTGTCTGGGTCCCTTCAAATCACGATCAGCCGGTCCGGTCAAGGTGGTCTGAGTAATGTCTGTTCTCTCACAGGGCGACACGATGTCTCCCAACACGCTGTTGTCTCCGTGAGCATCCAGAAAAGATCCACATCCGGTAGTTCAAATTGAGGCTGAGAGAAAAGAAAAGTGACATCTATCGCCATGAGATTATTCACCGAAATGAGATTTTGTACAAAAATAGTAGCATTGTCCCGGCACTTATGCCTGCGGACTATCCCGGCCGAGCTTTGAATCATCCAATAATCACGGTCACATCACAATTCCGAAGTCTTGCATCTACTCTGTATACGACTGAGGTAGAGTTGAGCGGGAATTCGAGCATCGTCTCTCATCCGGAAAGGCTGGCGATCACAATAGCAGTCCTTATACTCCGTAGATAACTTAAAACAATGAATGACCTTGTCTGACATGTAATGCATGCATGGAGTGCTGTCTTTCTGCCTGCCGTGTAGGGCGTAGGGGATGTTGAGAAAACGAGCTGAAGGGCGGGGGATTGGTATTTCAGGCCTGCACGTGAATGACAGAAGGAATAGGACCTTTTTTTCTTCCCCTAGTTTTTTTTTTTTTTTTTTTTTTTCCTCATCAACCATTCTGCTGCGTGTAATTTCGAATCAACACCAACGGTTTGTCAGACTCAAATAAAGTCGAGCGAAAAAGCAAAACGGGAGGCCAAAAGTAGACAACAAAAGAGCATCATCCCACACGTGACGTCTGTTTTGGGCAAGTACGAGTATTTACCTTCCCTTCCTTCAGGATTCTTCAATCTCAGTATTCTAACCTTTGAAGACAGTCTGTCCTTTTTCAATTGCTGTCACCATTCCCTATCTGAATTGAGTGGTCCAACTCGTCTCATTACGATATGCTATCCGGCCTCTTCCCCCATTGGCGTCGCAAAGCGGCAGAACGCTCCAGCAAGTTCAGCAGCTCCTACGAAATCCCAGTCTATGCAAATGCAGCTTATTATCCGAACTGGAGGGTCTATCGGAAGCAGCCTCCTTCGTCCCTGAGATTGGGATTCGTCTCACATGTCTTTTACGCGTTTGCTTGGTACGTGCTACTATACTACGGAGTACACAGGCAATAAGTACTAACTCTCAGTTGACCAGGGTCAAGGAAGATGGCACAATTTATGTATGTCCACTTTGCTCAGACGAGTACGAGTATGTACGGCTAACTGGTGCAGCTGAGTGATGAATGGGCAGATGCGCAAATGCCAATCGACGGGACCAATGGCTGCATCCGTGCCTTCACACAATTAAAACCGCAATATTCCAAAATGAAAGTCATCCTCTCAGTTGGTGGTGGAGGGAAAGGGAGCGAGAACTTCGCGCTGGTGGCTCAGAGCCAATCCCGACTGGCCACCTTTGTCCGGACAGCGAGGGAATTGGTGGATCAATTCGGTCTGGATGGGATTGACAGTAAGTGTCCATCAACTCATCATTGTAAGTGATTTTGTACTAAATAACAACTAGTCGACTGGGAACATCCCGCAAATCCGCAAGAAGGTTACTACTATGTCAACATGCTCGCTCGACTGCGCGAGGTCCTACCCGCTCCACGATATGTGTTGGCCACATGTCTTCCCGCGGGACAATGGGCACTCCGCAACATCGATCTCGGCAAAGCTTCACAATACTTAGACCTGCTTAATATTATGGCGTACGATTTCTCTGGTCCATGGACGAACGAAACCGGACATCAGGCGCAGCTTTACGCACGGGGCGGTGGCCATTCTGGTCAGTCGGCTGTTAATTACGTCCTGTCCCAAGGTGTGGAGCCTAAAAAACTCCTTCTTGGAGTTCCCGCATATGGACGGTCATTTCTGGGTAGCAGCAAGACTGGTCAGTCGTACTCTGGCACTGGTGGAGAAGACGGAGTGTTTGATTATGCCGATTTGCCGCGTCCCGGAGCCAAGGAACATCACGATGATAAAGCCGGGGCTGCATATTGCTCTGGAGGGGACGGTGGTTTTGTGACATATGATACACCACGGACGGTCCAGCAGAAAGCCAAATTCGCGACCAAACTGAAATTAGGAGGGCTGTTTTACTGGCATATGGCGGCGGATGCACGGGGGCCGAGGAGTTTGCTTGAGACAGGGTACAATACTTTGCACGAGATGTAATTGTACATTGAGGATAAAATGGCGGCATACTGTTATTTATGGTTTGTTTGTATTCATTAGGTTGATATTCTATTCTATACCACAACTTTTCTAGTCTTACTATACATATCCAAGTCCAAACCTACAATCCAATTAAGCAGCAGCAGCTTTCTCAAACACTCCCTGAATCTCCTTAACACCCTTCTCCTCGGCCAACAGCAATCCGAGCAGAATCCGCGACTGCTGCGGGTTCAAGAACCCACTAGCAATCTGGTACTCCGCGGCATCGCCCGTGATAGCAGACGTAGGCACCTCCCCATTAACAGTCCGATGGCTCTTAACAACAGGAATGCTCTTATTCTTCACAATATCGTTAATGGCAGTGTCAAAGTCACTTGACACACCACCAGCACCAGCACCAGCGATAACAATGCCCTTAGCGCCGTGCTCAACAGCCGCATACAGCAGATCAGCCTGCATATCCTCGTACGCATACAGGATATCCACGCGCGGAATTTTGTCGATACCGGAGACATCGATCTCCGTCTTAGCCCTAGGCTGCACAGGTGGATAGAAGAAATATGGCTCGTTGGAGACTATCATGCCCAAGTTGCCCATCTCCATGGCCTTGAAGGTGTCGACTGTGTTGGCTTGCGTCTTGGTGACGAAGAAAGCGGAGGCGATGCGGTCGTTGAGAACGACCAACGCACCGCGGTCCTTAGAGTCCTCATCAGCGGCAACGGTGACGGCTTGCAGGAGGTTCATGGGGCCATCTGCAGAGAGTGCGGTGGAGGGACGCATGGAGCCGACAAAGACAATGGGCTTTCCGCAGTTAACTGTAGTGTCGATGAAGAAGGCGGACTCTTCGAGGGTATCTGTGCCGTGCGTGATGACTGCACCGGACATGTTGGGGTCATCGCAGACCGTCGTTTGCAGAGTGTGTGTGAGGTTGAGAAGGAGGGAGGAGGAGACATCGCCGCTGCCGACGTTAGTGGCTTGCACGGCGGCGACGTTGGCGATTTCAAAGGCCTCGGGGATGGCGTTGAGAAGTTTGTTGATGCCCAGGGCGCCAGATTCGTAATCTGCTGTGGCGGTTTTGTCGGGGCTGGTGCCGGCGATTGTTCCTCCTGTTCTGCTTTAGCACTGTATTCCGGCTGTATGGAAGTGAAGAAGGAGGTACCAGTTGCGAGGATAGTCACGTTAGGAAGGGACTGGTTAAAGTGCGTGAACTTCAGACCATTCGAGTTGGTAAAGGCAGAGCTGTTGGCCGCCCGAGGGTAATGTACCACAGGCGTAGCAGAGCCGGTAGCAGCCAAGAGAGCAGAAGCACCAACGGCAGTGTTCTTGAAGAGGACCATATTGCTTATTCTTTTTCTCTTCCTTTTCTTGTCAAGGATGAGTCGTTCCTGGATCAGTGAACACCCCGGTGACCTCCTTTATATACCCATCCCGGTACTTCGTATCTACTCCGGAGTACATAGAGCTTGGCTACTTCCTTATCGACCCAGGAATCGGTGTCCCCAAGAAGCTAAGAGAAACCGGCCCGGGATCGGGTGAGGTTATGGACATTGACAAGCCGATAGAACCCGTGATTCCTCTTTGCAGTATGGTTGATGATAATCGTTGGTTTTAACTTGGTTTAATATAGGTGGATTGGAGACGAGTTGGAGAAGCCAAGTTGGGGTAGTATCAGGTACGGGGACCTTGTCACCCCGGTTTTCAAAAGGTACATTACATAGTTAATTGAGGACTATATTGTATGGTCTGGTCATTTCAATCGCATGCTTTGGAAGCCCATGTAGCTCTCTAGTGACTGTACATAGCCATTGAGTTACGACAATCAATTGACAGCGCCAAGATCTCGAAATCAGGCACAATTGGAGAACTGATACCAGCCAAGATAAGCATATCAATGATATCCACTGCCAAGTCCTTCTATATGATTAACACCAAAACCAAACGTAATAAAATCCCATTCCTGATTAAAAGACTCATAGAAAACACAAAAGAAACACTCATTTACGGAGTACAATGTTACATCCCATTCAACAACCCCTTCCCAACATCCAATGTCGTACGGAGCTCATTCGCCGCCAACGCCTCGGAGAAATACGGCAGTTCGCGGCCATGGTACAAGCTAGAGTTGCCGCGGATATCCACGGGGAGCATCGAATTCGACGGAAGCATGGTGATGACTTTGAGTTTGTCGACGGTGGATCGCATCGGGACGGTGTTGTTGCCTGGGTTGAGGACGAGGTCGTCCAGGAAAGCTTGGCCGATGTGCGTGCCGTTGGAGGAGAGGTCCATCGTGACGTTGCCCTGCGTTTGTGTTAATATGGATCTATATCATCGGTTGAAAGTCGGACATACCAAGGTGAGAGTCATAACGGTTGGGTTGGGAATATACACTGTTCCCTCCGTGTTGGTTCCGTCGGCTGCATCTTTGGTCAGGATCTTGAATTCGGTAATGTCGAATCCGTTCAACTTGTTCAGGCCTGCCACATTGCATTAGCTACAATACGCTAGGGACCACGGATAAATGACACCCACCTTTAATAGTGACGGTCTTGTTGTACGTCACATCCACCTTGGGCAAAGCCCCCTCCTGCAACTTGGGCTCCCCATAAATATTCATGTCAAACTCCTCATTCAACAAAACCGCCTTCGCAAAATCCCCAAACGCAGTCTCATTGCTGAGCTTGATCTGCTCCTCGATATGCACAACTGCTCCATCCTCAGCCTTAACATCCGGCACCTGGGCGTTGCCCCAAGGCACAGCCCCAAGCAACGACACGGCAGCCGAGAATCCAAAGATAGTTGGTTTAAATGCGCTGCTAGTTCCGATTACCTGCGTCTGCTTCAGATGGAACGATCCCGGGGAAGGGTCGGTGATGATCATGCTCGTAACGTTCAGGGTTGATTTGTTCACGTCGTTTCGTGCGATCCTTGGGTAACCGACGTACACCCTGCGAAACAGTCAGTATCCTGGTCCCGCTTGACTGGATTGTCATTGGATAACATCGAATCCACATACACTGGAAGGACAATCACCAAGACCACCACTCCCGCGATGATAACATGCACCCACCACCACTTCTTGAGGTGGGCTTTAATTCGAGCACCCACGCTGGGCTTCGGTGCTGGAAGGTCCATTTGGGAGACTTCTGTTGTCTTACCCTCGACCATGGTGACTGGTTATTCGGTAGGTTTCGAGTATACTCTGCTTGCTACCTGTCAGCTCGCCACTCCCATAAACGACTGAGTCCCACATGGTTTGTTTTAAATTACCAGTCTGTCCCTTGTCAACATGCAGATTCTCCTCTGGTTCGAAATTGCAATGCAGGTTGGACACGGGTTGACCTATATCTCAGAGTACAGAATATTTGCAGCTCTCAAGTATAATGGTCAAGGGGCGTGATAGAGACAAAGAACAAATCAATACAGCTTCCCCAACCAATAACTAAAGCTTAAACCGAAAGAAAGAAGGCAAGAAGATAGAAACAATAAAGAAACAAGAAGATAAACCGAATGACCTGTATGAAAAGATTCAATAAATAATAAGACAGGAACCCTGGACCCTAAATATTTACCATCGCATCAAATTCCTGCCGAAACCTGAAAGAAACTACATAGATCCTCACATGCAAATAGCCACCAAAATGGGCGCGAAGGGGAAAAAAAAAAGAACGAATGGCCATGGATTATCTCAGAGTGGTTTGTGTCAGTCTCACGGAGATCGGCCCCAAAACATAATAGTACTCCCCCGACTGCTTATTTAGACTCTTAACTTTCTTTTGTCTATTATTCTTTCTTTTTATAAAGGGCCAAAGAAAAAATACGCCAGGAGGAAGACGCGCATGATTCTATCCTATTCCTGCAGTATTAGGGGATGCTTGGTTGACACATGCCAATTTTCAAAGCAAAGCGCGCAGGCGTTGATGCTCGGATTACGCCGGGGTTGATATTTCTTTGAGGTTACATCCTGAGGCCCTGCAGCTTGTAGCTCTAGTCTGTCATACTATTGAATGCCGTGAGACCCTCGAGCACGAAGAACCACCCATGCGGTACCACATGGAACTTGAAACCCTCCTATAATATCATCAGCAGCCATGACAATCACTTTGAACATGTGCCGCTTTAAGCTTTGTATCCGAAACAGCCGGGATGGGCACTAATGAAGAGGCAACAAGGAGCATGAGAAACAAGATTCAGGGTGTCGCAGGCGAATCAAATCAGTGAAGCCCATAGGACCAGAATTGAGATCTTGAAAAATGCGGAGTTGGTCCTAATCTGTAACAGCCGTTGTCTGTCGCATTTTTCAGTCTGTCGAGGATTTGAGACCTGTCAAGCAAGATTTCCGCGATTTTGTTGCCCCGGGTTTTTCGAGTCGTGTACGAGGTTGAGGGGTATATTCAAACCAATACTATTGGAGCCAAATAATACACCGATGCTACTGTGGCGTTTCTCCCCAAACTCAAAATGGCTGGATCCAATACTCAAGTATCCCAAAATACCCCATTAAAACAAGCCGGATTGCTGCTGTATGTATTCAGAAACCCAAAAGCACACGATGATGCAAGAAGAGCGTTGCAATTATGATGAGATTGTCATGAGTATCATCAAATATGATCTCTGCGAATGGACCACACAGCTAGATTGGACAAAAATAAACAAACAAAAAGTAGCAGAAGAGAAACCAGAGAAGCGAAATGAGAAAGAGCAGCCTATGACAGCAACACTCGAAGAAGGTCAGAATAATAAACAAAAAGAAATAGAGTGACTAGAAATTAAGACCTCACTCATGGGTCATAAGGGGTATCCAGTAAGAAGAGAAGCATGGCGCCCAAAAGGCAGATGGTATGAACACCATCCACGGACCAAGAGCAGATTGCAAGTCCTGCTCGAATTCAAATGATAAGAGAAAAAAAAAAAAAAAAGAAAGAAAGAAAGAAAAAAGTGGCTGTCAAGGCGCAAAGGAGTGTAAGAAGCAAAAGTAAACGCAATGAAGCAAAAGCTCAAAAGCTCACTCTGAAGATTCGCATAAGGAAAAGCATATGCATGAATGGCAAGTAGCAAAAGCAATCAAAAGAAAACAATATTAAGGGAGTGTCAGAGGGTCGGACGCTGTAAGAAATGAAAAAACCACAACGAATGCAAGTTAAGATAATTTAGCATCAATTAACAGTCGTACCCAGAACAAAAACTGCAAGCGAAAATCTATGCTTCAGCTGCACCGGACTTTTTTCGGTGGAAAAGACTGCGAGTTCGCGATTTACTGCGACCACGAGATTTTTTATCCGACGTCCCAGCCTGTCGCCCACGTGAACGATCGTTGGGCTCGTCGTCCGACATATATTTGTCTTTGTAGATCCTGTAACGCTCGCATTAGTCAAGTCAAGCATACCTGGAACAACTATAATACTTACCAGCTATTCCCCACCATGTTAACACCTTTGGCCTCGGCCTGGCGGTAGTACTTGGCAGCTTTCTTCAGGTCCTTCTTGCATCCCACACCTTGAGCGTAGCAGTAACCAGCCTCAGACAGCGCATCGGCGTCTCCCCACTGACCGGCAATTTCAAAACAACGCAAAGCCAAAACCTTATCTTGCTCAATACCCCAGCCATTGAGATGGCTCACACCAAGCTCGTAAATGCCCAGAGCGAATTGTGCACGATAAGCCTTCTGCATTTCCCGGAATCGCGCTGGTACAGGGGTGTTGCTGTCGCCCATCAACTCCAGACCAACGGAGTCTACTGCTTTCCGCAGCCACCGGACACCCTCCCGTTGATTGGGACGCATACCCCAACCATGACGGCAGGCCAACGCATAAAGGAACATGGCCGTGGGGTGGTCCTTTTTGGCTGCAATGCGAAGGTGGTAGGTCGACTCGTTAAGAGATCCCTTCTCATGACATTGGATGCCCACGGCCAGATGGTCGTCCGCCGTGACAGGAGCGGACACCAGATTAGCGGAGTCGTTGGACCGGGCTGTCTGTGGTCGAAGAGTGTTACTCGACCCAGCAGACGATGCCGCATCGCTCTTATTGGCCTTCGGACTGAGTCTGCTGGCCGCTGCTGTGTCAGGCGATGGAGAGCGCCGCGATGGCGCCACAGGCTCCGGAGTCAACAGCTGGCGATCAGAAATGGGAGCTTCATACATCGATCGGGCCTTAGGAGCCGGCACTGCCTCCTGATCCGAGGGAGGTGGAGACGGTGTGCGTGTGGATCGCTCCGATGGATGCTCATTAGTCGGGCTCTCGAACAAGGGCTCTTTCCATTCGAAATTGGTCTGAAGACCGGCAAATACGACGGAATCTCTGCCCATTTGACGACCCCGAGGAAGGGCGTACTTGGCATAAGTGTATGAGGCTGATAGGGCTGATGAGGGTTCCTCCGTGGACGGAGTAGTCGCTTCCGTCGACGTTGGAACGACAATCGGGCCTGGTTTGTGACCTCGCTCAATAGATGCTCGGTTGCCCGAAACATGCAACTGTTCAGAGCTTGCCATTGCAGATGCGGAGAGATTTGTGCTGGACCGGCTCATGGGACGCGAAAAGTTGAGCGAAGGACGCTGGAGGCGGCCGCCATTATTCGAAGCCTCGGAACTCTGAGACGGAGATCGGGGTTTCCCACGGGGCACTGGGGCAGCAGTGCTGGACATGGGCGAATGCGGTCCGGACATAGCGCTGCTGGACGACAGCTTCCGCGGCGGCTGAGAAAACGTGGACCCGCCATTAGAGCTGCTGTAGTCATCATCTGAGCTCTCTAGCTGGGCCCTGGAGCTGCTGGAAGGTCGAGACATGGGAGAACCAGGCGGGGCCAGGCTGCGTGGGATCAAGAGTCGCGACGAAGCTGAATCAGTCGATGAATTCATAGACGGGGCCGCCAACGAGACGCCCACTGCCGGCGGTGCTGCTGCTGCGGCGGCATAGAAGCGACGGGGGCCTTGGTCGGGCATTCCACGCAACGAGAGATCCTCCTCGGGCGATTCTGCCCGCGGTACCTCGAAGCTGGAAAGAATAGTCGAGCCATGCTTGGGAGTGGCAGTACTGTCTTCGTCAATGGTGACATCGTCGTCCTCGTACTCACTAGCCTCGGTGTAGGCATTGGAAACGCTACTGAAGCGTGGATGCTCCGACACGGGGCGGAAATTCTGCTCTTCAACTTCGGTGTTGATCTTCTGCGTGGGACGACGTTCAAGACTTCCCTCAGTGTTAGTGGAGGTATCGCCGGAGGAGAGCGACCGAAAGTAACCCGGTCGGGGCCGCGATAAGGAACGAGCTACACTAGAGGGCGGTAACCTGCTCAGGCGACGATCTCGCCGTGCGGATTCTTCCAACTGTCTTGCGAGTAGACGACCCTGGGCGGCAAACGCATCGAGGGGGGACAGAGCGGGAGGGACTTCGCCATCATAGTGTTCGATGCGTGGTGAGGGGATGCCACTCCGGAGAGTGTCGTGGGAGGGGGAACGAATTTCCCCCAGGTTGGGACGATACGACATCTCAATAACCCAGTATATTCAATTCCTTCGTTCTTCCAGTTGCCTTTCCCAATTCGAAAAGCGAGTCGATGGTTATATCGGTTGTGACGTTCCTCTTCTCGGTACGTCTCCACAGAAGCAATCCAAGTCCGTGAGCACAATCAGTTGTAATGACCTAGAAACACGAAAATCTACCGTCTGCGATAAGAAATAATCGAAGCGATTTGCATCTGGAGGACGAAATCGATCAATTAGGCCGGATGAAGCGAAAGGGGGGATGTGGTTTTAGGAGGGCGGAATAGAAATGAACGACAGCCCTGGGAGAGGATAGAGAGAGCGGACAGCTCCACACAGCAAACCAGGCGTGGAGAGCTAAAGAAAAACAGAATATAAAAGATCAATGGGGTGAAGATGAGAAGAATAGAATAGAATCAGATGAAAATCAACAGCCAGTCATGGTGGGCTGAGATGATGGGCAATCGATGGAAGGTGGAAGAGAGTCGGAGGGAAGTAGAAGGGGAGAAGAGAGACAGTAAGCAAAACACACAAAGCAATGGAAACGAAGAAATTCTCCCGCCCTGACGATCGATTGACAGTTTTTGCTCCACGCGGAGTCCAGAGTAATCCTTAGTGAGAAGAAAGGAAAGAAAAGGCAAGGGACCGTTTCAGGGGTATCTTTTTTTGACCCTCTCTCCCTGGTTTTTATATAGTGTCAACAGCGTTGATAGTATCGGGATCTATGTTTGCTAGGCGCTTGTTTATTGTTTGCTTACTCTGTGTCTATAATGCTATAGACAGTAGTAGAAAGCACTGAAGCATCTCTACAGAATACAAATACATACAGAGAGAGTATGGTCTCTTCTCAACGTCGCCTGTGCTTATTATGGAAATGAATATCCTCATCTGGCCAGCCTTGGCGCCGGTCCACTGCTTCTGGTGCGTGCAAAATTCTCCGCGTACAAAGATCACACAACAGTGTTATACAGAGTACACGGTCAGATCCTGCAAGGGGCTGGATTTATAGATTATGATGGCTTCCGTTCTACTAATCTTTGTACTGATACTTGCTCTCTAGAACTGTTGACTACTAGGTCCCAATTCTTGAAATTGTATACTGAGTCCAACCTAGAATCCATACAGTGGGGTCAATAGTCGGTTCAGATGCTCCTTTAGTCATTTACTCCGGGTCTCCAAACGATGGAAATGGGTCTGGATCTTGCCATTGTGTCAGATTGCAATTAGCAATTGGCTTCCGAGTCGCTTCCAAACTATGTCCGTTGCAGAATGACTCGCGTACAGGTACATACTATTCTACGCAATGTGAATGCCATAACCTGAGTGAAGATTCAATTACCCATAATGCATACACTACCCGGCCGAGAACAAAAAGCAAGAAAAAAAAAAAAAAAAAAAAAAAAAAAACACTTATATATAAACGTTAAACCTTCTCCCAACTCGCCTCATGGAAGCTTCCACTCATCCCATCGCCTGCAGTCGCGTATCCACTGCGAAGCCCGAGCATCCATCCTACCAAGCCGCCTGGTGCCAACGCCCCAATCACACCATACGTACGCGCTCCCCGGCCAGCATACACCACCGTCATCTTCGACGTCTTCTGTCCGAAGATATTCTTCGACGGCGGTTCCAATGCCTCAAGTACCGCGTGGTGCAAGTGACGCGCCGGGGATCCTCGCACCGCACTCGGTCCCGCGGGTGCCACCGGCCGCTGTTCAATGCTGGATAAGTACTGAGATCCGTACAGAGCGCGCTGCTGGGCATTCCAACCCAGAGTTTCTGTCCCTGCAACACGGCTCTGAGGTCGAGATGACCCTAGATCCAGGTTGCCCAATTTCATTTCCACCACGCTCACGTTTCCATTCTGCAGAAGACTAAGTTCCGTTCGAAGGGATGTTGCAAATCCTGACAGGGCACGCGCCGTTGCAACTTCGGGGCCTGCAAATGGTGCAGAAAGCGAAGATGAGATCGAGGGATAGGCGAGGACGATGTTGCTAGGGCTGTTGCGCAGCGTGAGAAGGGGCAGGAAGAGCTGAGTCACCAGCACCGGGGAGAGAATTCGGGTGTTAACCGTATCGGCCCAGGCAGACGGAGAAATTGTGGCCACAGGCCCATGTTCGTATTGGGACGAAGGGATCACGATGAGACCACTCAGCTGGCAAGTGTGTGGCGGCACACCAGGCATAGGGAACTGGGGCTGGGTGATCAAGGAGCGGATTCCTCGTAAGGACGGATGAATATCAGATGGCGATGGAGGCGTCTAAAGGGTCAGCCATTATTCTCCGTCTCGAATCAGTGGAAGATTCGCATACCGTAGTCAAATCGAGCCAAAGTGCCCTAATATCTATACGGTTCTCCGACTGAACAACATGTTCCTCCTCTGCTGACGACACTGTAATATAAACGATGTATCCTCGTCGCTCCAAGTCTGAAGAAATCGACTTGACCATCGGGTCGTGAGGTGAACCGGCGATAACTGTCCCAGCACTTAGTCACGTTCCCAACTAGAACTTAGACCCAGCTTCACAACATACCGACTATTTCCTTCCGGGCACCATTCCCAGCCCTCCTAGCCTTTCTCCGCTTCCCATTCAACGTCTTGTTCCCAAAGTACAAAACGCATGTCGTCCCGATAAACGCCAAGGCGGCGGCACTCAACGCCCGATTCGAAATAACCCAATCTTGCACGCGACCCGTCAACGACCGGGTTGGAACGACATCAACGGTTTTCCGTGAAGGTCGTACGGATGAAGGAAGCCATGATTGCTGTGATAGCGAGTCTCGAAGGGTCGTCGCGGCGCTGTCGACTTGCCGGTCGATGGAGTTTGCGACCTGGAGCGAGTATCGCTTTACGTCATGGGGGATGGAAGCGAGCTGGACATCAGACCGCTTGGTTAGTACTAATTGAGTTGGAGATGGGGCATCGTAAAACATACGTAGTCAAAAAAAAACTGATCGTCACTCGTCATTTTGAATTATTGTTGAAATTTGATATCCGGATGCTGGTGGATGCCGGAGCTTGAGGGGCGATAACAAAAAGTTATGCTGATAACGGCGGAGTCACATGAGCACGTTACATACTACGCCATTGAGTATGTACAGTCATTCTTCATACACCCCTGGTGGCTAGTTTGGTAAATAGAAGAAAAACAATATAGCAAGAAGTCCCATCTTATATTATTATTACATGATAATAGATTTCTTAAATTAGTTGCTTATATTATACTAGAGCTGATGCTAACTTAAATATATTGCGGTCCGGACATTTTCAGAAAAAGCCATGCAGGTCCGAACAGATATTGACCATAATTTATTTCTTTATGACTTCTATCCTACCATAAATCAAAAGAGCATAGCAATATAGTAGAATGTTTAAAGGTCCGAGAAAGACGTACCCGGTCAGAGGCGAATATCATAGATCTCTTTCACCTCACGCTAAACCTAATCAAGTATAGTCTATATCAAGGGCCGATAATCTCCTTCCAGCGCATCATCCTTTCACCCCAACTTTCTACCACTACAGACTGCCATATCAAAATTTCGCTGGGCATCGGAGCCTGGGGAGAGGGGGACTTCTGAGTGTCAGACCCGATGTCTATTGTACCATTATCTGCTCCTCTGCAGTGATGCATTTTTATCGGGGATAGTCTTTATACTTTGGGTACCCGTTTTGAATCCCCGCGAATCCGTATTCATAGATCTGCCAAGATGCGCGAGCTCGATTCACTCATCTCGGAGTATCAACATGAAAGACACCTCCCCAGAGAATCCGAAGCGCTGTTGATGCTTCGGAAAGTCGCTTCGCTGGTTAAACCAATCATGCGACAACGGGCGTGGCGAGTAGGAACACTCTGCGAATTTTATCCTCATCAACGGAACCTCCTGGGCTTGAACGTGAACGCCGGCCAGAAGATCTGTCTGAGATTACGATATCCCTCTGACCAGTGCCAATTTCTACCTTTGGAACATGTGGTGGATACGATGTTGCATGAGTGAGTGAAGCGGCTTATATGCGCCTGGTTCATTTCTAACTCGTATAGGCTCTGCCATATTGTACATGGCCCGCATAACCGAAATTTCCATGCTCTCTGGAACCAGTTACGTGATGAGCATGAAGAGCTGGTCATAAAAGGATACACTGGGGAGGGCTTCCTTTCGCAAGGCAGAAGACTAGGTGGTCGTAAGATACCTATGGAAGAAGCTCGTAGACAAGCTCGAGCAGCGACAGAGCAGAGAAGGAAACTTGCCGCGGGGTCAGGGCAAAGACTAGGCGGTGTACCGGTACTACGAGGAACAGACATGCGCAAGGTAATCGCTGATGCTGCGCAACGGCGGACAGATGTGACCAATGGTTGTGCCTCAGGTCGTGGTAATACTAACGACCTTGCTGAGGAGGCATCCAAGAACGGTTTCAGGACTAAAGCAGAAGAAGAAGATGCTAACGAACAAGCGATTATGCAAGCTTATATCGAGTTGATCCAGCAAGAAGAACGGGAAAGATATGGCCCTTCTTATATCCCCCCAAGCCAAGGCAATCCAGCTGGACCTCGATCTATTGCATCTCCTCCCCCGGTTTTGGAGAGCAGCAGCCATCCTACTTCATCGCCAGCACCGCCAGCACCCGATCCAGCCGATCTCATATCTGACAGCCGTGCTTATAATCAGCCTTGGACATGTCCTATTTGCACGCTCGAAAATCCACCCAACTTCCTATGTTGTGATGCATGCGCAGTAGAGCGACCCCGGCCGTCTAATTCAAGGCTGGTTTCAGGGCCAGCTACCGCAACCTCCGAAGCCACAACGCCTCGCGGCAGAAATAAGCGGACACTGAGCGAAACTGGCAGCAAGCCAAATTTCAAGAATCGAACGAAGGCCGCCAAATCACTTGCTGATATAGAGAGAAACGTGCAGAAACGTCCGTTAGGCTGGGTCTGCCATTCCTGTGGATCTTTTATGGAAACAGAATATTGGACATGCTCGAATTGCGGGTTGATGAAGCAGTCCTCATAATTTGATACACGTCTTGATATGGAGTTTTATACCCGTGATGTTTGATTTTACTATGGCTTTTTTGTATGGATCTTGCTAAAACATGATGCACAAGTATATGATAGACTTTGTTTTACATCCTATGTTCTTCTGAATATTCTCCAGTTCTTTTTCATCTTTTCTTTTTCATTTCATTTCCACTATGTAGTTGATTGTGATGCTGACTAACATCTGACTAACGTGTATTTCCACTCTAAAACCAATTTTTCTGCGGACAATTTCTTCCTTTCCCTCCCACAACAGATCGTGAGCAAAGTTCGAAAAGACGTTCGCAACGCATGCTGTGTCAAAACACGATTGACTAACTGATAATACGACAGGTATTTTCAATTCCTCACTCCTTTATGCTCAATTGACAACCGCATCACACCACACCCACAACCATTCGCACAAATATCTGCAGCACATCCAAAACTCTTAAATGATGAGAACTTTTTCCGAACCGGTATTTAGGAAGAGCCGGAAGAGGTATGGCAAAGGCGAAATCGGAGAACGACTTTTCCTTTCTCTTTGTTGTCGGTGCTTATAATGGTTCTGCTGAGAGGAGTTTTGCGACGTGCTGTGGACTGTCATCTGGACAGCATTGTGGTTGTGTGTTGTGGTGTCGTTGGATTGTGTTGAGCTTATTGTTTGCTCTTGGGCTTTGCTGACATTTTGAAGATTGTATAGGTACCTACTTTGCGTTGAGACTGGTGTAGCTTAGATTTAAATGGAACGTGGCCGTCAAGAATCAGGATGAGATGTATAGCTTGTCTATATATTCAAGTTATTTCTACATAAATACATATTATCTTCCCTCCAAAACTCCGGATATAGAACTTTTCTTGCAACCGAAAGACAAACAGCAACGCCATTCATGATTATACATGCTATCAAGAAGCAATCTGCACAAACTGCCGCTTCTTCCCAGTCCCTGTAATCACCGGGTGATCCTGCTCCCAGGTATCCTCATCAACGTAGTCCTTGGTACCCTGCTCGCGTACCTGGTTGCCGATAAACTGCAGGGCTGACAGGTTAAATCCCATTTCGTCCTTCTGAGCCGCTAGCACCCGCCGCAGCGACGACCGGATGCTATCCAGCATAGGCCGCATCATCTTACTCGCAATGATCTGACGGTGGTGCGTCTTGAGCATGAAGAAGAGCACACGGCACACAAGAGGGATATTCCATTGGCGGTTCGCCCAGATGTTGAGGAAGGTAAAGAGCGCGGGAACCTTGGAGAAAGGTAGGACGAGAAGGGCATCTTGCAGCGAGGCCGGAGGGATCTTCTGCACGGTCTTGAGGAGGTGTTGTTCGGCGGAGATGTTGCCGAGCGCCATGTACACGGGGTTACGGGTGGGAGGGGCGGCGTTGGGGTTGGAGGCCTTGACGGCGCGCCATTCGCGCATGATCTCGAGATCCTCCATGCCCAGGTCTAGAGCTTCGATAATCTTTTCACCAGCCATGAGGGTGACGTTTGTTTGTTTGCCGGCGTCGACGGCTTCGGCTTGTTCACCTTCGCCTTCTTCGTCTTCGAGGGAGGCGGTTAGGGTGCTGTCGTACATTTCTTCGAGTTCTTTCTCGCGCTCTTCTTCGAGGAAGAGGGGTTCGTCGGTTTGGATCCATGTGCGAATACTCTTGTCGTGGCTGGCGCTGACGATGAACTCGCCCGTGTGGCTGATGGCCAGAGCCCAAATTTCGCCATGGTGACCTTGAAGCTTCTGGATGTGCTCAAACTTGTCACCGTCCCAGTACTTAATGACGCGATCCTTACTGGCACTGAAGAAGTTGTGTCCGTTGCCTTCTTTGTTGTTTGGGACGAAGACAACACCCATGATACTGTCCTCATGGGCAAGGAAGGCCTTGTGACAGTCACCAAAGTCCAAACCCCATAGACGAACAGTCTTGTCAGCTGAGCAAGTCACGATGAGTTTGCTGTCGTAAGAAATGTCCATGCTGAGGACAGGAAGCTTATGTCCGTAAAGGTTGAGGAACAGCTTCAACGAATCGGCGAAAAACACTTTGACAGTGTTGTCCAAGAGCGAAACGGCAAGTAGGCGAGAGTCAGGTGAGAAGCGTAGACTGAGGATGTCGTCCGAAACCTTCAGGGTTCTTGTGTGTGCCAGCTTGAGCTTGGGCGTCGTTCGCTTGGTACCAGGGATCTCTTCTTGAACCACCTGGAAATCCCAGAATTTAGCTGTCTTGTCAGCACTACCGGTCACCATTGATTTTCCATCAGGATGAACGTGTAGAGACCAAACGGGCCCATCGTGTGCTCTGATAGTATCTAAGAGAGTGGACGAGGCAATATCAAAGACCTCCAGTTCGCCGTTCTTGTTGCCCACGACAACGATCTTGTCACCAGGAAGGAAGGATGAACAAAGAGAATAACCACACTCGAGGGTACGCAGACAGCTCTGGGTTTTGGTATTCCAAATTTTCAGACTACCGTTCGAGGCCGAAGCCAACATCCGGTCATCGGAACTCAAAGCAATCGACCGGATATCTGTCCGGTGTCCAGGGATATCCACCGCCAGGCTCCTGTTGTAATCCGACTCATCGTCGTCTTCTTTCTTCTTGTTCGCTGTAGGGACGGTGTAGACCTCAAGCTGGTTGTTGGCCGACGCCGCAATAAGCTGGATATTGCCGCTGGATTTAGTCCGCACCCAATCAAACGAGCGGACCTTTCCGCCTGTACGGACAATAACGTGGGAGACGAAGATCTCTGTGATCGGAGCAGAAGAGATATCTTCGGGCTTAGACTCCTCTTGTCCATCTGTGCTGCGTTGAGTGTCCTTCTCCTTTCTCCTCTTGCGCTTTCGGGCCAAGCTTTTCTGAACTTCTGTCTCTGAGCGGATACGCCAAATCTCGATAGCCTTCTCTGAACCGTGAAATCCGACGTAGTCTGCGCGCGGGTGGAAGCTGATACCGATAGTGCGGTCCTTGCCGGTCCTGTAGAACGTTCCCCTAGCGGTGAGAACTTTTTGGTCCTCCGCTCCAACCTTCTCCTTAGAAATCTCGAGCATGGCGGCTTCGTCAATAGACCAAACCTTAATTTCACCATCATTACCGGCTGTGATACATCCACTTTGGTCTGGCGCAAGACCCAAACTCCAACATTCTCCGTTCGACTGTGCCACATGTGTCTCGATGCAGTGCTGAGATGCCAAATCCCAGACCTTGATAAGCGAATCTTTGCTAGTCGTTAACAGGAAACCTGCGTGGTCACTCATTCCGGTGGCGTTGAGTAGCTCCATGGACGGGAAGATGAAGTGCAACGAAGTGATCTGGTCGGTATGCCCACGAAGCTTGAAAAGCCCAACCTCGGCCACCAAGTCCCACAGGATGATATCCGTATCTCTCGATCCGCTTGCAAGGCGCACACCGGCGTTATCAAAGGCAAGTTGGGTGATGGCAGACTTGTGGCCGTTGAAAGAGATGATGACCGTGGCGGTTCTTGAATCCCAAATGCGAATGCTTCCATCTTCGTACCTAGAAGAAGAAACAAAGCAATTGTTAGATATTGTCGTTTGAACAAGCGATAGCCATGAAATAACTTACCCGACCGCGAAAATATCCTCATCAGTTTTGCTCTGCGTGATTGCAGTAACCTGTGCTTTACACGACGTGTCCCGCCATCTTCCTAGTAGCTCTCCCTTCTTCACATCCCAGCTGAGAACCTCTTCACTCGCGCCCACAAAGGCTCGCCCAGCGCCCGTCTTGCGCGCAGCTCCAGAGAGCACATCGTCCCGGGCCCAGATCGCATTCGACGATGCGGACGTGACGAGCCCGAAAGTATTCGAATGCTCGAACTTCCTGCATGAATCAGTATTTGATAACCAAGTTATTCCCTCAAACAACTAAATTCACTTACAAGTATGACTTGACCATTGTTGAGCGTCCGAGTTGAAAAAATAAAAAATTTGGCGGAGAACGCTATCAGTAGCGATAGAGACCGCACTACGGGCGGCGACAGCGACCATCCGATCTCTCCACCGCCTTCCGTCATGGCAGCTGTACGGGGTACATACGTATCCAGATATGACACCAAACCCCCTCAAATAAACACTCAACATTCCTCTGAATCTATCTATTGCGACGATTCTAGTATATAGCTTTGATTGGATTAGTACGGAGCTTCCGGTTCAGCCACCATGCTTCTTCTCGATTACCAAAACGTCTTGATCGAGAACCTCCTGACGGAGCGGTTCTCTGGGTACGGAGAACCACCCCGCCCAGCATATGATAGATATATCAAGGCAGGATCTAATGATATCTTTATGTTGCAGAGCTCCCCCGGTGTCAATCGATCAAATTGCGTCCGACTTCGACGGCGTCACCTTCCACCTGTCCACTCCCGAATCCAAGACCCAAATTCTCATCTCAATCAACGTGAAATGCTTCAAGGACCTGGTTCAATATGGCGCCTTGGACGTCCTGCAGAGAGAATACGGACCCTACATTGTCGACACAGAGCCCGGATATGATTTCTCGGTATTGATCGATCTGGAGAATCTCCCCGCCGAACAGGAGGCCCGAGAAGAGTTGATTATGCGGCTTGCGCTGATGAAGCGCAATGCCATGGCTGCCCCATTCGAAAGAGCATTCGATGATTTTGGGAAGCTGGCAGAGGAGGCCTCGCAGTTCTCCCCGGAAGCGACACCGCCGGGAGTCAAAGAGGGAGGACAAGTGATGGCAATCCATTACCGTGAAGAGGAAGCAATCTATATCAAGGCTAGCTATGATCGGGTGACTGTGATCTTCAGTACTGTCTTCCGTGAGGAGACTGACCGGATCTTTGGCAAAGTGTTCTTGCAGGTTGGTTTTGGTTATCATATAGCTGGGATAGTCGGTTGCTGACTCGACAACTAGGAATTTGTCGACGCCCGGAAGCGTGGAATGGCTCTGCAGAACGCCCCGCAAGTGCTTTTCCGTAACGACCCTCCATTGGAGCTGCAGGGTGTACCTGGTGTCAAGCCTGCAGGTGAAGGCGAGATGAGCTACGTTACCTTTGGTATTACACCCTCCCTTCCAAGAAATTTCGTGCTCATTGCTAACCTCTATAGTCCTTTTCCCTCGCCACCTCACTCCTCAACGCCGCTACGCAAACATCTCCCACATTCAGACCTTCCGCGACTATTTCCACTACCACATCAAAGCATCGAAGGTAGGCTTCAAGGCGTGACATAAGAGTTACAGATTACTTACTCGGTCAACAGGCATACATCCATACCAGAATGCGCAAAAGGACGGCGGACTTCCTCCAGGGTGAGCTTTCAACTAAATTGTTTGTTCGAACGCTAGCTAACTGGCCTCAGTCCTCAACCGAGCTCGACCTGAGAACGAGGAACGCGAGAAAAAGACGGCCAGTGGACGTACCTTTAGGGTTCAGGGCTAAACTGTGAACTTAAATTCTCAACAGACACAACCCTTGTTCTGAGAAGGTAGAACCGCTGTGGGGTTGTGAGGTACGGGTGGTATCGGTGTACGCGGCTGGAACCTCGTCGCATTGCTTTAGTATTTCCGGTGGACTAAATGGATAGGACCAAGCAAAGATACCAGCATGGAGTTGTCAACAGATTTCTGAATTACCTTGTTTAGTAAATACTTTATTGATCTATAGAGTTGATTGAGCTATTAACTGTCATTTGGCTATTTTTAAGGCTGAACTGTTGATAATTTACAGCGTCCTTTTGTCGTTATGTTTGGCTTTACCTCTTTTCTCATATTATCTTTTGAAAGCGAATCATCATTGCACTGTTGGCTTGGGCGGATAGCCACCAGGTTACCATAATCAACAGAAGTATATTTCGTTTCACAGCACAGCCAGCCATGGCACAGCTCCAGGCTAGAAGCTTGCAGGAAGACAATTATACTTACATAAGATATACATATTTCGAGAGTAAAAGCGGATGCGGTTTGATGTAGTAATAATCCACAGGGCTGCACTCCGACTCGTCAGACCCTGTATCGTCCCGTGTTTAATGATGAGACTGCTCATTAGCCTTCCTGCTCCAAATTTAGACCCCAGCTTATAGATAAGCATAATGCGATGTTATCATTGGCCATTAGACCCACTTATAGCCGGGTTCCCAATGACTTGGTCTTGGTTTTATAGTGTATTTAGGGTTCAGTGTATGGCTTTCCGAACTGAGGCGGACACCACGGAGAGTCCGAATGGACATCCCATTCTTTAACAATGGAGAATCCTGTTTCCCTGCATTACCAGGTTCGAATTAATGCAATAACTGCCTCGACGATCCTTGTTGACGATGGTGAAAGACTGCGTTTTACTCCACAGCACGAGGCTCAGTAATAGCCTTGTCGCTTCCGCTCATAATTCGAAAATAGGACAAAAGCAATACACACAGTTCTATTTAACAGCATCATGATGCCGCACTGTCCCTTGAAATAGGCATTTTACTTTGCTCCGACCTTGAGAACCGAACAAACGCACTATGAATGGGACGCCGGCATCGTTGCAATCCACAAACCAACCTCGGTACTGGCCATTTAGCCGACTAAAGTATTGCCTGATACGACATCACTTAAAGGTTACAGTCGACACCGAGGAGTCTGAAATTGACCGGTTAGTATCTGAGTACACCAGACATATGAAACTTGTTGTTAATTGAACTTCAAAGGACCTGTAAATCTTCCAATAAAGACCTAAATGGCCCCAATACGCCCATGGTATTGAAATTAGCCTCCTGTTTACCTCAAAGTCTTGCAGTTAGGGTAGAACAGAGGGTTCAACAAGCTCAAGAGAATCAGCGAGAATGGGTCACAGGTGTCCTTTGTGCCTTTGCTGCCGCAATTGTCTTATCCCTCAATGTGGTCCTAACCATTGTCGCTGCTTCCATCGCATATTCAAAAGCTGGAGCCCAGTAATTTACCCCTGCCACACTCTACCGCGGCAAATGTTCTATCTCAAAGAACTGGGTGCGTGGCCTGCATTTATTGATAAATGCACTCAGCACAATCATGCTAGCAGCCAGCAATTATTGCATGCAGTGTCTATGTGCACAATCTCGCAAGACAGTTGATAATGCCCACAGTCAACGAAGGTGGCTTGACATTGGAGTACCTAGTATAGAGAATCTTTGCTTTTTGGGCTGGAGAAGATGCATTTTATGAATCTTGCTATTGATATCCTCCTTGCCCCTGCAGAATAGACCCCTAAAACCCACCGGATCATGACATGGCTTTTAAAAATTGCTTTGAACAGAACGTTGCTATGAATATGTTGGAATTTTACACTCAATTCGCGCACTTTATACTCTACACCCTGGTCACTTCCCTTATTTAATGCGACCACTCCGTCCAATATCACCCTCAATCAAGATGGTATGCATGCACTATCTGCTCTTGAATTTCATGGTGATGAATATGATGAATTCTCGATTCTCATAAAATTGTTGCACGATTATCATGGGGAGAAAGACTTGCAACGATATCTTGATGATCCAAGTCACTGGAAGAACAGTTTTTGGGCAAAGAATATCACAATTTAGACAATTGGTGCTACATGCGCCAGCAACATAAGCTTTGAATTCCGCTACGCTGAGGCACTGCCGCTCGACCATTGTCCAAGTCAAAAAGCCGATGAAAAGTGTCAACTCCGATTCAATCTTGCTGTATGTCTCACGGCCTTTTTTTTTTTTTTTTTTTTTTTTTTGCAACGCCATTTAAAGTCATTTGTATGTATTTGGCAGCTTATAACGATAGGGAGGATGTATTCCTGACAATTGGTGACGCTATATCATCTTTTCTCAGCAACCCTGATGCGACGACTGAGGGTAGGTGCTTGTTGTCCAAGTCAAACGCTACAAAATGCAGACAATCATGGCCCACTCGCTGGTCAATTGGAAAGTCTGCAGCTTTTCTGAGCAAAAGATGGATAAAGTCCGTGAACGGTTTGAATTGGACAGCCACAATCTCCCTGTACATATATTGCACTATTTTGATGACTGTCAATCTAAATTGTACAGTTGTCTGCTTATTCCCTCAGTCTCAGGCTGCCTTCTCTTCATGAGTATCTGTGGGGTAGATGGCGATACCACAAATTCAGCTCTCTGGAAACTGGGTTTTGACTGCCACATCATCCACGATACTAGAGATCTGTCAGGAATCTAAAAGTTGTGCTCAATTTTCACCCATGGTTTTTCTTGCAAAAAGCCCGCAGTTGCCAGTTTCCGTTGCATATTTCCTCTACAACAATATTCTGACTAACATGCTTCTTGCGGCCGAGCATAATGATTATGCTGGGCAACGCAAGCCATTGCGCATTTCCTGGCCCAAAGGATCCCAACGCCCAACCTACTACCTCAGCCTTCTATATCAATATAGCATTCCGCTCTTGATAACCCATGCAGTGCTGCATTGGCTTGTATTTCAGAGCCTATTCTACGTGGAGATTCTCCCATATGACATTTCTGGGAATCCTTTAGCAGAATACCAGGTAATCAATTGTGGGTACTCACCAATTGCAATCATTTGTGCCATTGTTCTCGGGCCTGTAATGGTGTGTACCATCTTAGGGTTGGGGTTGAAGCGTTTCAAAACCAACATGCCCCTCGCTGCCAGTTGCAACATGGCAATTAGCGCAGCATGTCATCCTCCACCTGGCGATGACCATGCCCTCAAGCCTGTCATGTGGGGCGAGATCCAGCAAAACAACTCGACCCTGCCAAAGCAAGCAGCGAAACGAACGATGAAGAAGAAACAATGCGATTTGCGTCCAATCTAGATACAAGAGACTCCGGATCAGATGGGGAGGATTTGAACTTAGATCTAAATCGGGGACAGTTGACCGAGAGCCAGGCTCAGTCATTGACTGAAGGAAATGGCTCTATTGGAGGGAATTGCACAGGATATGGTCATTGCAGCTTTTCAACTCTTGAGATCATTGCTACTAGTCCTTGGCGGCTCTATGTATGATTACAGTTTATCATGCTTATCATCTGTCTTCGAATCTTTTCCGTGCAGAATGCTGAGGATCGAGTCATCGGGCAGGGAACTGAGGGCAACGATGCAGACCCAATGTTGAACTACACTTACTTGGGCGGTAAATTGTGAGATGGTAATTTTACGTGGATCACTGTGATGGTTAATTTTCTGCTGTTCACTACCTCGACTACACCCACATCCACGGCCAACGGAGGAGTCGGGTGGAAAGAACCAGTAAAGATACCATCGTGGTTGTTACCAAATTATATTGATTGTCCTATTTAGTATATATATATTTCTTGCCGTGATAGAATAGGATGACCTGTCAGCCGTTGCTTTGAATTTAACTGGAAACTGTTCCAAGCACCTGCTCACCACCCGGAATAGACATTGACAATTTATGAACGTCTTCGGGAATAACAGTATCCCTTGTCCCGTTTAGACTGAGAATGGCAACTTCGATTAATCTATTTAGAGAAGCATGAACGCCATCCTTTGTCTACATACTTACCTGTTATCGCTTAGAACGTGTGGCTAGCGTGAGTCGTGAATTTTAATATAGAGTCAGTATTTCGATTCGTAAGCCTGGCAAAGCTTTCTCAGTCATCGACTGAAAACAAACTGAAAAAAGCACAGAGTATAGACTACTGTTATCCACCAGTGCTCTCACGTTTGCTTGAGCGCGGAATTTGAAGAATTTCTGGAGACTGCCTTACCATCAGTATGCATCTGGAGCGAGAAGATAGCCGTTAGTTTCAGTGGAGATTTTGATTTTATTTACGGTCAGGATTGTGTGAGGAGGGGCTTGTATGAAACACTTTCAGGTCAAGATAAGATAAATATGATAACGTGCGGTCGAGCCCTAAGATATATATATAGCTAACAAATACCAATGCTTGCTGATCCTAACAGCAACTGCAAAACAATGATAAAAACACCACCTGCACAATCCACTCCAAAGAAAGAAAGAAATGATCCAAGAAATAAAGGCGAAACTAAGCAACGGCCGGTGTGTGGCTCAAGAACAGCGAAGGCAGAAAAACACGCATATATATGTGGCAATTCAAAAAGATGGGTTTGAAACAATCGGATGTGCTCAACTATCTATCGGCTATAGTTTTTACTGTAGCCTAGCTCTACAAGTCGGAATCTACCTTCATTGGCGATCTGTGTCGAACACCATTCTCAGCATCGCCAGGAAGAGAACAAACAAAAACGCCTATTGACTACAGATATTTGCTTGAAGTGCGTCCGCAAACGCCTAAAACCGTTTAGGAACTGAAATATGCCTCCACGAAACAAGTGACTTGGGACTGAGGCTCCTACGCGATGGTGGTTGTTATCTTTGGACGTCCTGTGCATTAATCGTTGGCCTAGGCATCGGGGATTCTAATTCGAGCAGTTCACGGTATTGACCACCTATCTCGAACAACATTCAGTCATCAGCTGCTATAAATCATGGCAGCTGGCGGCTACCAGGAATGCTATGTGCTTTGCTTCGGCAGCAGCGTCCCTGGGATGTATAGACATCCTGGAACTTCTCGTCTGCAGAAATTCCGTGGGCAAGAAAGGGCATATCAAGTTTTCAGAATGACCAGACGTTCCCTCAACGCCACAATGGTCTGTGTTCCGGTACATGGGTAAAAGATCCGAAAGTTAGTATCGATTCGTAAAATTTCTATCTCCCGGTTGAGGTCGATTTGACGTCGATGTATGAAGCACATGCAGTTCGGAGGCAGAAGTGGCGATGAAATCCAATGAGACTGGCTAACGTACCTAATATCTGAAGAGTCCGATGAAGTCAGTGAATCTGTTAACTATAACGTGGCACATAGAAGTCACGTATCTGTCCAACCTGTTTGACATTGATGATATTGGGGTGCCTGCATAGTGGGAGTGCAAGACACTGAGATCCGTCTCGCAAGCATGTCGAAAGCGAGCCGGAGTGTTGCGTGCACGTACGGGGTAGACGATGTTCAGGGATAGTAAGTGATTTCAGAGCGACTGTCATCTATTGGTTTGGCTCCACTCGGCAAGCATGTGATTTACACGGAGTACTATTAATGGTGAGGCCTTTACAACTCATACAATCAACCGGGTTTCTCAGTATTTTCAGTCTTATTGGTCGGTGGCTGCACATACGTACACATAGCATACACATACATCATCAAACTGCATCAACTCTGCTTGTACATGTAATGCATGCTGGAGTCGGTATAGAGTCGGTTCGGGATCGTTACGGTATCGGTACTCAGGTCGGCAAACTATCATCGCCTGAGGCATTAATACCATCCACGCGCTAGCGGGGAGATAGCCAAGGAAGTTACCTATTTCAAACGGCAGCTGCCAAGTGTTAACGTCGCCCCTGGAACAGTATTTTATTTTTCTGCATTCCTTTTTCTTCCCCCAAACACAGCCCCTGCATCGAGCATTGCTTGTTTACTTGTATATGGAGATTGGTTTGGGATTGTGTGAACGGTTCAATTGTTTCAAAATTATAATACGTATATTATTATTACTGTCAATTTGCATATGCTGTACGTATGCCCTACACGCCAGCCAAAGCAAGGGGAGATGGCTATGGCGAAAGTTTACTTGTCT